TATGTTTAACATAAAATGTATCAGGCCATGACGCAAAGGGAGTGTTATTGTTCCTATCGCATCTGTATCAAAGTCAGACAGTTGAGTAGGATGTCGCTGAGTGTTTTATCCAGGGAGCAAACTCACTCCGAAACAAAGTAAGATGAATGTTAGTGTTAGAATCCACACGCGTTCACGATAAAAGTATCCAATAGGCTGAACATTGAACAGAAGCCCTCCAACAGATTTCAACATAAGTGTGATTGTCCTGCAACAGACGGTCATATTCCTATCATAATCAATCATGATCATTTGTACTCGTGGGCAGAAAGGAACCCTTCAGAGAAGAGACACCATATAAAAGAATACTTGTACTTTCATGTGTTCCCTTATTCGTTTCCATGAGTATGTAAGACAGTGCATAATATGGATTGTCATGGGTGGGTATGCAATTTGAGACATTATTATACAATTTTAGTCCATTAACCAAGAGAGTGTCCTTGTAAACACAGCAATATGCCCTTGAACGATATGACGCATTTTTCACAGAACCCATTCTGGTCCTCGTGTAGCACCCGCTAACGTTACTCCACTACAAACACGCAGACCCGTTGTTGTATACAATGGAAAGTACCGGAGCTCATATTCAGTGTAATAGCAGGTCCCCGGCAGCCTGCTATGGTTACATCACAACACATACACAACACAAACCATGTCAAGCTGACATTAACAACTTCTACTTGGAGAATCATCAGGTGGGCCATTCTACAGAAAAAGGCAATATGCTGTTTTATTGCATGAAATAATTTACTGAAAATTACTTATATTTATACATATTATATGGTACTAAGCATATACTAACCCCTTAAATAAAAGATATTTCCGCGCGTCCGATAGTTCTGCGCAGCTGCAATAGCGTACTTCCGTATCGAAGGTAAAGATCGTCTGCCACCACATTTACGCTTGAAATCGGGTCATTTCTACCAGGGACTGGCTTTTAATCACTAAACTTAAGTAAATAACAGTAATTGACAGATAAATTAACGTCGTTTTCTTCAGACTTTTAAACCGTTTTCGTCATTATTCATAATTGGATTTAATATGAAACACACTTCCTTACATTGATGAAGTGATTTTTGAAAATAATCTGGCCCTTATACGCTTCCATACCTCGGATCTCCAGCGGATGTTATGCTCATCAAGTACTGCGCAGAAATACCGGAAGGCAAGCGATTTCGTCAGAACGCCGGTAATTAGCAACGTTAGATTCTTATAGTCGTCAATAAAACTTATATTTCTAGGTAAATGTGATGCATACTAGCATGTTTATTCACGTAAACCACAAAAAAGAAGAGACGTTAGTTGCCGTGTTGCTGTGATGCTTAGGTGCGCGGAATTACCGGACGGCATTGTATCCCCCCCGGCATGTAATGGACGCGGGGGATGTCGTGGACGCTCCGTCTGTTCGTACGCCCGTCCGTCCGTAATCATTTTGTTTCCGGAGCATAACTAAAAATTGGTAGATATATCAAACAGAACCTAAAGTGGTGCCTTTTGCTATTTACAGATTTTTTTTGTCATTTTTATTTTTCTTGGTTACCATGGAAACATTTTGGACTTATAAGGGAGGGGTGGGCTTTGTTTCCGGAGCATAACTCGAAAACCATTCAATATCTTTCCAAAATGTTGGCAGATATATGAAATAGACCTTGAAGTGGTGCCTTTTGCAGATTTTTGTCATTTTTCTTTTTCTTGGTGTCCATGAAAACATTTTGGAATTAGTTTCAAAAAGGAGGGGTGGGCTTCTTTTTCGGAGCACAACTCAAAAACCGTTCAATATCTTTCAACAAAACATGGCACATGTATCAAACAATCCTTGAACTTGTGCCTTTTGCTATTTACAGGTTTTTGCATTTACATTTTTCATGATTTCCATGGAAATGATTTGGATTAAAAAACCTCAAGTTGGACTTTAAGTAACTGATTTGTTCTTTCAAATTTGTAGGGGCCGGAGGGATTTATCATCTTCTGAATACTTTACAGAAATATATATTTAAAGGAACTTATAAGTATATGGAAGATCAGGAGAGTTGAATTTGAATGAAAATGGCCTTATCCTAACCAAGACTGTGGTAATATGAAGGTGATGACGTGTCACTACCACACATGTGATAACACTAGTAATCCCATATAGAATGCAACAAATAATACATTGTTATGTCTTAAATGATACAAAGTATCTTGTATGGTAGGGCTAGGATAGAGAACATGACTACAGGACAAGGATTTTAAAAAATGCATCACAATGTCATTACCGCCAGGCTCCAAGCATCCAAACCTGTACATTTAGTCTCACAGTAGTATTAAAGTTGATAAAATAACAATATGATAAAAGCAGTTGCCATGATTTTCTGAATCCAGTGTTAGTGCTTATAAATTACTTCGTTAGTTGAGATTAAATTATTTTTCAGTTAACAAGAAAATAACATTTATCATAGTTAAAATATGGTAAAAACACTCAAACATGATAAATAATATATCTGTCTTGTTGAATTGGTAAAAGCAAGTTAGAAAATGTCATTAAAGATATTTGATTGATCCTTAAGGCAAAGTTATTTCAAGTTATCTACTTTGGGAACCAAACAATTTACTGTGGATCTGGTGTGTGTTGTCTGTTGTAGCTAACTCTGGTTACAAAGAATAAATTATTAAGCTTCAATGTTTTATGTTCATAAATCTAATGTTTTATAACAAGTCAATTGCTTGGAAAAGCAATTGTTTAACTTTATTCTTAAATACGTCAATGTCATTACCAAAACGACATGTCACTACCGCAATTTCTGTGTCATTACCAAAACGACATGTCACTACTGCAATTTCTGTGTCATTACCAAAACGACATGTCACTACCGCAATTTCTGTGTCATTACCAAAACGACATGTCACTACCGCAATTTTTATGTCATTACCAAAACAAGACAAATTATTTATAATTATACAACCAGTTATTTCTTTGAAGCCTTTTAACTTATGGGAGGATCATAAGGAATTCAATATTTTATCGTTTTCTGATAACTGTTTGAGATAAGAGCTATTGTTGCCTCAGTTATAATGTTTACACTCATGCTAAAACCTAAAAAAGTCATAAATGCATCAAAACAATTTAGAAGAATGACCATTTATTGCACAAATATACTTGTAAACAGCCATATATGTGATGCCTAACAACTCTTTCCATTTCATAGCTGTTTTTTTTTACTAGATTTTTCTAATTCAGTATTTTTGCCATTGTTGCGGTTATGACATTTTGATTTAAAGGCACACTTTCACGCCACACTTCTCTACAAATCAGTATTGCATTTCTCTCATTAATACTAACTATCAACCCCCAGTGAAGCTACTTTATTATTTATTCCCCCCAAAATTATGTATTAAGATTACAATATGAAATTAAAAAGTTTGAATTAATTAATGCAATGTTGCATTAAATAAACTCTCGCGCCCTCTATCAACCGAACTTTTCTCAAGCGAACCCCATACAGTTATGTCCCTTGGAACGCTCTTTACGAATATCCTATAACGCAACTTGTATTGAGGCCAGTTCAGCAAACACCGACAACAGCCAAACAAACAGTTTCGATGTACAGAGCAATCGTTTACATTCCTTATATGGCAAGTGTTATCTGTTTGGAAGCTGTTCGCCTGAAAGTTTCAGCTATCGATTTCAGGCAAGTCGTAAGGGATAGTAAGTCATTTATTGTATCAATAGGAAGCTATAGTGAGTGCATATACCCCAATATATTTTATAGACAAACATATTGTCGAGAAAGCGTGACATTGTGCCTTTAAAGTTGAAAAGTCACAATAAGTTTGTGGAAAATTCTTGTCCAAACTGCTCTGCTAATGCAGTTTATACCAATCATACAAACCAAAGTAGTTAGCATGAAGACGTTCATAATATATGGCTTTGGGGAGGGGGTGGTGGTTTGTTGTTTGTGATGGTGATTTTAGGAGGGGTGGGGTGTTCACCATCTTGTTCTTTGGAGGTATACGGGGGTCATCAATTTTGACACACATCCGGGGTGGGGGTGGTTGGGGTCTGTCAGCAACTTTGTATATACACATATTGAAAGATTATGGGAAGAGGGGGGTGGGGGGAAAAGAGAAAATGAGTTCATGACATGTGGGTTGGGGGGTAGGGTGGGGGAGGTGGTGTCACTTTATATATAAATTTTAGGGGGTCATTCATATTGTACTTGCTTCTCTATAAAAATCATCATCATCCCCCATACAAAACTTCATGGACAGTAGATGACCTGGTTACCTTGTGACATTTAAGCCTTGTCTATTGCTGCAGCTACCCAGCCCTTTCCCCATGCATAATACTATCAAAGCACAAGGCCTGCAAACAAACAGAAGACTCATTTGTCTGCCGCCTGTCCATTGATGACATCATCAAGGGATAAGAATTTTCCTTGGATCCATGGAATTCTGCGGATTTGATCACACTTGGGTCATTCTTGTGAATTGGAGGTGCCCCATGGCTCATTTTCCACTTTTGTCACTCATACCCATTCAAGGGAGATGCAAAACTAGTCAAGGTGCATGGCTTGCCCTCCAAGAAGAAAGCCGGGATCTACATAGTACCCACTCCCGCATCAAACAGGGTACACGTCCCCTCAAGCAAAACACCACTGTGAATGATGTCCAGTTGTACTTAAAAGCTGACCCCATTGCCAAATATGGTCTGCTTCTGTGCCACTGTGAATTCCTACAAGAGAGCGCGTCGCAGCTTGGGGCGCGAGCCTGAGTGGAGCCGCCTCGGGTGCAGATCTTGGTGGTAGTAGCAAATATTCAAACGTTCTTGAAGGTTTTTAAATTGTCATCCACATTCAACGTTACCACCCCTCATCGTTACTTTCATGCCCTTGACATTGACAAAGTTATTGAACATGTATCCAACAGTTCTCATTCTGCTGACTGTCAAAAATACCTCTTTACCTAATGGCTCTGTCCACCAATGACCCCCCAGAAGCAACTGGTATGCTCTTTGCAGCAGATGACAGCTCACAAGGATATAGTGAACCATCTAGCAGTTGCACTCAATGACACAACTGAAGTTGGACACTACATAAGGTGAGGTGAAATTGTGTTTAATGTCGTGCTTGAGAATATTTTGCTCATATGAAGACATGCATGCGTGTGTATGTGTATGTGCAGCTGCTTGAACTAGCCCAGACTGAAGCTGGGTTTATAGTGCTAGCCCACTGCGATACCATGCCGCAGTAATACCCCACTCAGACACATTATACTGACTCTGAGCCGACCAGTCCTTGTTGTACCCATCAATGCTGAGCGCAAGGCAGGGACCAACAAGTACCATATTTTAACTTCTTTTGGTATGACGCGGTCCGGGATCGAACCCTCAACCTTCCGCTCTCCGGGCGGATGCTCTAACCACTACACCACGGAGGCGGTCTGGGCACTGCATAAGATGGTTTGTTGTGGGTATGTAGTTGTGAGCTGATGTGTGGTATGTTCAAGGATGAGGCTGATCTGTGTTGATCAAAGGCAAGGTTTAAATTGGCCTCGTCAATGACGATTCATTTACCCACCATGGCATAGCCTTTGAAAGTCAATGATCCCAAAACCTCAAAAAGAACCCAGTTGCAGAAACGGCACATTAGGAAGTTCATATCGTTGCAGTACATCAAACTGAGTTAGACTGACCGATTTATACAAGATACAAGATCAGTGCATCAGACTGACTAAGACTGACCGATTGCTACAAGATACATTGAAGATATATTGTATCTTGTAGCAATCGGTCAGTCTAAGTCAGTCGGTTGTATTGATATTGCCAGTTGTGCACAATAAAACATTGATCTATTTATTATCATAAGGATGTGGAATTGCCTGCCATTCAGTTGGAAGATGCTGTCATTATTTGACAATATTTGTGGATAGTCGATTCTTTCTCCCTCTCTTTTGTTCCATGCACAATCATGACATGATGTGGTATACCGTTATCATCCTGCATCATGAAACATTGATCAATATAGGAAGATGCAGTGACTCTGAAGTAAATAATTTGGTCCCTGAAGTGGTGTGATGCTTAAACTTGAGCACCACCTGCACATAGGGCAACCATTTGGAGGGAGAGTATAGAGACTCAGCATTATGTGGCTCACCTTTCAGTAGGACTTTCCTTCTGAGCATTATTAGTATTTAGACTACAAGGGAAGTACAGCTCAGCTCAGGCTTATACAAACCTAGAAACAGATGTCTGATCCCTTTGTCATCTGAACCTAATCGAATGCTGTTTCTCTTAAAGATTTTTCAGATAGCAACAACTTGCGACAAGACATTGTTTAGCATAAAACTGTGGTGACAACTGGAACAAGATGGACCAAGATACACAATCGACTGGTGGGTTACGATCTGCTGAACTGATTTAAATAAGTAAAAACATCTGTGTAAAATAGCTAAATGTTTGGCTGGTGTTTGAAATCTGTGCATAATAATGTTCACACTGCCAAACCATTTAATATTTATTATTAATTCAATTTGGCTCACAGCTAAAAAGAAAATGTTCATCTGCACATATGTGTGCTTCCATACAGATTCAGAAGATGATGGCTACAGATGTATGGAGCTTCCCACCCTTGTCAAACAACTGCAGGTCATTTTGGACCAATACCCTGATGATGGACAGATACTCAAGGTAGGTCATTGTTGGACCAGCACCCTGATGATGGACAGATACTCAAGGTAGGTCATTGTTGGACCAGCACCCTGATGATGGACAGACACTCAAGGTGAGTCTGTGCTGGACCAGCACCCTGATGATGGACAGATACTCAAGGTGAGTCATTGTTGGACCTGTACCCTGATGATGGACAGATACTCAAGGTGAGTCTGTGTTGGACCTGTACCCTGATGATGGACAGATACTCAAGGTGAGTCTGTGTTGGACCTGTACCCTGATGATGGACAGACACTCAAGGTGAGTCTGTGTTGGACCAGCACCCTAATGATGCACAGACACTCAAGGTGAGTCTGTGCTGGACCAGTATCCTGATGATGGACAGATACTCAAGGTGAGTTTGTGCTGGACCAGTACCCTGATGATGGACAGATACTCAAGGTGAGTCTGTGTTGGACCAGCACCCTGATGATGGACCAGACCTGATGATGGACAGATGAGTCTGTGCTGGACCAGCACCCTGATGATGGATAGATACTCAAAGTAGGTCATTGTTGGACAAGCACCCTGATGATGGACAGATACTCAAGGTGAGTTTGTGCTGGACCAGCACCCTGATGATGGACAGACACTCAAGGTGAGTCTGTGCTGGACCAGTACCCTGATGATGGACAGATACTCAAAGTAGGTCATTGTTGGACCAGTACCCTGATGATGGACAGATACTCAAGGTGAGTCTGTGCTGGACCAGTACCCTGATGATGGACAGATACTCAAGGTGAGTCTGTGCTGGACCAGTACCCTGATGATGGACATATACTCAAGGTGAGTCTGTGTTGGACCAGTACTCTGATGATGGACAGACACTCAAGGTGAGTCTGTGCTGGACCAGCACCCTGATGATGGACAGATACTCAAGGTGAGTCTGTGCTGGACCAGTACCCTGATGATGGACAGACACTCAAGGTGAGTCTGTGCTAGACCAGCACCCTGATGATGGACAGATACTCAAGGTGAATCTGTGCTGGATCAGTACCCTGATGATGGACAGATATTCAAGGTGAGTCTGTGCTGGACCATTACCCTGATGATGGACAGATACTCAAGGTGAGTTTGTGTTGGACCAGTACCCTGATGATGGACAGATACTCAAGGTGAGTCTGTGCTGGACCAGCACCCTGATGATGGACAGACACTCAAGGTGAGTTTGTGTTGGACCAGTACCCTGATGATGGACAGATACTCAAGGTGAGTCTGTGCTGGACCAGTACCCTGATGATGGACAGATACTCGAGGTGAGTTTGTGTTGGACCAGCACCCTGATGATGGACAGATACTCAAGGTGAGTCTGTGTTGGACCAGTACCCTGATGATGGACAGATACTGAAGGTGAGTCTGTGCTGGACCATTACCCTGATGATGGACAGATACTCAAGGTGAGTTTGTGTTGGACCAGTACCCTGATGATGGACAGATACTCAAGGTGAGTCTGTGCTGGACCAGCACCCTGATGATGGACAGACACTCAAGGTGAGTCTGTGCTGGACCAGCACCCTGATGATGGACAGACACTCAAGGTGAGTCTGTGCTGGACCAGCACCCTGATGATGGACAGATACTCAAGGTGAGTTTGTGTTGGACCAGTACCCTGATGATGGACAGATACTCAAGGTGAGTCTGTGCTGGACCAGCACCCTGATGATGGACAGATACTCAAAGTAGGTCATTGTTGGACCAGTACCCTGATGATGGACTGACACTCAAGGTGAGTTTGTGTTGGACCAGTACCCTGATGATGGACACTCAAGGTGAGTTTGTGTTGGACCAGTACCCTGATGATGGACAGACACTCAAGGTGAGTCTGTGCTGGACCAGCACCCTGATGATGGACAGATACTCAAGGTGAGTCTGTGCTGGACCAGCACCCTGATGATGGACAGATACTCAAGGTGAGTCTGTGCTGGACCAGCACCCTGATGATGGACAGATACTCAAGGTGAGTCTGTGTTGGACCAGTACCCTGATGATGGGCAGATGCTCAACGTGAGTCTGTGTTGGACCAGTACCCTGATGATGGACAGATACTCAAGGTGAGTTTGTGTTGGACCTGTACCCTGATGATGGACAGACACTCAAGGTGAGTCTGTGTTGGACCAGTACCCTGATGATGGACAGATACCCGAGGTGAGTTTGTGTTGGACCAGTACCCTGATGATGGACAGATACTCAAGGTGAGTCTGTGTTGGACCAGTAACCTGATGATGGACAGACACTCAAGGTGAGTTTGTGCTGGACCATTACCCTGATGATGGACAGATACTCAAGGTGAGTCTGTGCTGGACCAGTACCCTGATGATGGACAGACACTCAAGGTGAGTCTGTGCTAGACCAGCACCCTGATGATGGACAGATACTCAAGGTGAATCTGTGCTGGATCAGTACCCTGATGATGGACAGATATTCAAGGTGAGTCTGTGCTGGACCATTACCCTGATGATGGACAGATACTCAAGGTGAGTTTGTGTTGGACCAGTACCCTGATGATGGACAGATACTCAAGGTGAGTCTGTGCTGGACCAGCACCCTGATGATGGACAGACACTCAAGGTGAGTTTGTGTTGGACCAGTACCCTGATGATGGACAGATACTCAAGGTGAGTCTGTGTTGGACCAGTACCCTGATGATGGACAGATACTCGAGGTGAGTTTGTGTTGGACCAGCACCCTGATGATGGACTGATACTCAAGGTGAGTTTGTGTTGGACCAGTACCCTGATGATGGACAGATACTCAAGGTGAGTCTGTGCTGGACCAGCACCCTGATGATGGACAGACACTCAAGGTGAGTCTGTGCTGGACCAGCACCCTGATGATGGACAGACACTCAAGGTGAGTCTGTGCTGGACCAGCACCCTGATGATGGACAGATACTCAAAGTAGGTCATTGTTGGACCAGTACCCTGATGATGGACTGACACTCAAGGTGAGTTTGTGTTGGACCAGTACCCTGATGATGGACAGATACTCAAGGTGAGTTTGTGTTGGACCAGTACCCTGATGATGGACAGACACTCAAGGTGAGTCTGTGCTGGACCAGTACCCTGATGATGGACAGACACTCAAGGTGAGTCTGTGCTGGACCAGCACCCTGATGATGGACAGACACTCAAGGTGAGTCTGTGCTGGACCAGCACCCTGATGATGGACAGATACTCAAGGTGAGTCTGTGCTGGACCAGCACCCTGATGATGGACAGATACTCAAGGTGAGTCTGTGTTGGACCAGTACCCTGATGATGGGCAGATGCTCAAGGTGAGTTTGTGTTGGACCAGTACCCTGATGATGGACAGATACTCAAGGTGAGTTTGTGTTGGACCAGTACCCTGATGATGGACAGACACTCAAGGTGAGTCTGTGTTGGACCAGCACCCTGATGATGGACAGATACTCAAGGTGAGTCTGTGTTGGACCTTTTATTGAAAATGAACTTCATGTATATTTTGGTATGTGAGCATTACTCATCTCTAAGAAGTATGAACCACAAACAGTATATCAAGTCTCATACTAATTACATTTTCCGAAGGGTAATGAAAACTAGTGCCTGTGTTTCCCAAGAACAGAAAAAACATCACACATGAACGCAACCCCAACCTCAGTCAGTCCACAGAAAGCATGTGACCAGTCAGTGAAGTCGTCGCTCTCTGATTTTCGTGCCAAAAGAGACAGTTGAGGAAAATCAACAGTGCCTTCATAATCCTTGAAAAATCAACCCTTTTTGAAAACTTGTGCTTGGATTATATTCTTCAAACTTTTCTTCATCATACTGTATTGTTTACTATTGGCTAAATATTTTGTAGAATAGTTTTAGACCTTGTTGGATTTTGTTTTTGTTGACATAAATAAGGCTTTCTGAGATCTGTCAACATACGTGTTCCAGAGATACAAGATGTGTACACTGCCCTTCCTTTGCGGATGACCAATTCCAGAATTACGTGTTTGTTGTTGAAGGGAATAAGTATGACAGGAAACAGTGTGAGTCCAGGTCATCATCAACTGACACGAACCAACCTGCTGAAATAGTTAAGAATACTGTAAATTCCTCTGATAAACACAGCCTGAAGAAGAAGTGATGGGTGCATCTTCTGACACCTCCCGGAAGCCCTCAGAAGCCACTTTTGTGGGACAGAAAAAGATGTCATGTGCAAGAAGGTCAGAGAAATTGACTACTACGTCACACAAATTCGGCACCTGCATGAAGCCCTCGACCTCTCCGCAACTCCTGGTGTTGTTGGACCTGCTCAAGTGAATGATAACCCTCCATCCCGGACCAGAGTCTCCAGCAGGTCCAGGGCTTCACACAGCCCTAATTGTATATGCAGGCAAATATACCGCAATCACGACTCTTTGCACACCTGGCATGTCTGAGCCAAGTTCAACAGACTAATCTACCTTCACCAGCAAACGACTTTGTTGCCAACACCACTCAATAAGTGATTCTTGCCATGCAGCAACAGAGCTCTATGAATCCTCCACCATTGGCATCATCTACACCTCAACATAAAGATGTGTCAACACAACTCTCAACATTTGTCTACTTCTCAATTTCGAATCCCGGATGGGGCTCAACTAAAATAGTACTAGAATTTGTACTTTACTAAGAAAGTGTAATCCCAAATATAACATATGTTACATTTGACCACTTTCTAAATGGCATTGTGTAATCGCACTTTAAGTCATCATAGAATTCCATGTTTAGACAGTCTTCTCAGATATCCTCCTTCAAGAGAAGATTCTCTAGCATCCAAAAGGCAAAGGATAAGAGATATTCCGGCAAGAAGCAGCCCTTTCGGAAGCCGTACATCAAACTGAGGGACCAATCCTTCTGTGGCCGGGAACAGGGGTGTTAGGTCCTAAAGAGGGACCAATCCTTCTGTGGCCGGAACGGGGTGTTAGGTCCTAAAGAGGGACCAATCCTTCTGTGGCTAGGAACAGGGGTGTTAGGTCCTAAAGAGGGACCAATCCTTCTGTGGCCGGGAACAGGGGTGTTAGGTCCTAAAGAGGGACCAATCCTTCTGTGGCCGGGAACGGGGTGTTAGGTCCTAAAGAGGGACCAATCCTTCTGTGGCCGGGAACAGGGTGTTAGGTCCTAAAGAGGGACCAATCCTTCTGTGGCCGGGAACGGGGTGTTAGGTCCTAAAGAGGGACCAATCCTTCTGTGGCCGGGAACAGGGTGTTAGGTCCTAAAGAGGGACCAATCCTTCTGTGGCCGGGAACAGGGTGTTAGGTCCTAAAGAGGGACCAATCCTTCTGTGGCCGGGAACAGGGGTGTTAGGTCCTAAAGGTGAAGGGGCACACTAGAGCAACTGGGATTTTCCACCTCTAGTTGTTCGTTATGAAAACATCATCCTGAAGTTCAGTCTGGACGATACTTGTGTAGTCTTCCTCCTATTGCTGAATGCGACACTTAAACAACTGGGGGCACAAAATGCCAACTGCTCAAGTGTCACATTCAGCAATAGGAGGAAGACTACAAAAGTATCGGCCAGACTAGAGCTTCTGGACGATGTGTTCGTTACGAACACTTTAAGGAATGGCTTCATCATTCGGGTGTTTGCAGCACTTCATTCATCACAAATAAATTATGCAAAACCCTACTGCCACACTTAACAGAAGCATTACACTATAGAGATTATACCTCAACAGGCACTAGATCTGGGATATTATTCACCAGTCTTCCTTGGACCCAAAACAAATTCTTCAGAGAGGTTCAGGCTAATTTACGGCATGAAGCTTTTGCCAGTTCTACACAGATCCATTAGAAGCTGGTATTATGATAAATGGAAGACATTTGACCAACTTGCGAGGACTAAAGGGTTGCCAGCAGGCGGCCTTGAATATTAACACTCAAACCAGCTAAGCTTGATCCGAACATTTGATGCAGAAAGCACTGGCCCTAGCTACAGCAGCCAGAATCCATGCCATAGATTTCAGTCGTACCATTTGATAATGTACCAAATGTATCAGTGCACCTTGGTCTTGTTTGGATTTTATTGCCCCAAATAAATTGCCAGGTCAGCCAGACCCTCAGTTTCATATCCCACCATTATCTTTAGTACTTGGCAACAGAGATGAGGAGGATTTATTACTCTATCTGGTTAGAGGATTTATTACACTATCTGGTTAGAGGATTTATTACTCTATCTGGTTAGAGCCCAATGCATCTATAGACGTGAGCATATAATGAGCACTGGAAGCCAGACACTAAGGCGTCTCTTCATCCCACTCACACACTATCACTATATGGCAACTGCTCTATCCATACCATCATGGAAGGATGTTTCTTTCAGTCGGACAGTGTTTTGCAAATCATTATCACTTCGCTACTGAGGATGATCCATGTAAGATTATGGATCATTCTCTGAAAAAGTTAATCGTAGGTAAGCAAGCTGGAATCTAGTTCTAAGTGTGCTTACCAAATCCACAGAATCAAAATGATTCATTCTTTCTCTCACAAGTTTGGAGGTGGTTGCCCAATGGAAGAAGGAAAAAGGTATGTCCAGAAGTATACAGAAAAACGTTTGGGGCAAGTAGAACGGATGGTCATTCTGAATCTCACAAACAGTGGATCCCACCGCCAACTGTGGGATTCAAGCAATTAGTCAGGATGAGGTAAAATATGTATTTATTGTAATAAAAACATCATTTACTTACTGACTGAGTTTGGTTTTACGCGCCGCTTTAAGCAATATTCCAGCAACATCACGGCGGACATCATTTACACTTATCCTGACTCATATGCTAGAGCGCTCGCCCAGCCACCACCGCTATCCAGTTTCAGATACAGACTGATTGGGATATGCAAATGAGAGAGTTGTTGCATAATGATTACTCCCTAAGAGTCTGTGCACAACGACTGGTCCATGGGCAACGTGCGTCCGTGTAGCAAAACCAACATGGAGTAAAGTGATTGTCTCCCACCACAGTTTTATGTTATCGAGTCTTCCTAGGACATCACCAGGCATGACATATAACATAACATGGTGTCAGAAGTGTTTTGAGGTCATCTACAAGAGGGGATCTCAAATGTTCTTTGCTGACGCTCTGAGTAGAGCATATCTTCCACATGTGAAACATACTGAGACTGATGACGGAGATGTGTTTGCTGTTGATGTTCGATGTCAGACAGCGCTTGACGTTGAATCCATCCACATGGTTGAGTATGTGCCAATATCTGAGGAACGAATTGACCAGTTACAAAAAGCAACTGTGGAAGACAAATCAATGATGATACTGAAGGATCTGATTCAGGACGGCTGGCCAACGTCAGATGATGTGCCATGGTGTGCCAGGGTCTTTTTCCCCTTTCGCGATGAGCTCTCTGTTCAAAATGGCATAGTGTTCAAGGGTGAACGTGTTGTTGTGCCAGTCAGTATCCGCCCTGACATCATGGAAAGAATTCACTACAGTCACTTGGGGATACAAGGTTGTATCAGAAGAGCCAGAGAGTCTGTGTATTGGCCCAATATGGCCGCTGACCTCACAGATTTCATCAGCAAGTGTGATACTTGCAATACGCTGCAACAGGATCAAAGAGGAGAGCCATTGGTCAGTCATGAAATACCTAGTTGTCCATGGGAGAAACTAGGGTGTGATCTTTTTGAGTTTGATCAAAAAGATTTTTTGATCACTGTTGACTACTACTCAGACTAATTTGAGGTTGACAGACTGCATGATAAAAGGGCACCTGAAATCATTAAAAAGTTGAAATCCCATTTGGCGAGGGATGGACTTCCCAATCAGATTGTGTCAGACAACGGACCTCCCTTTAATTCTGAAGCTTTCCATACATTTGCAACTGAGTATGAGTTTGATCATATCACTTCATCTCCCAGGTACCCACAGTCGAATGGGAAAGTGGAGAGTGCTGTGAAGATCGTCAAGAGACTCATGAGTAAGTCTCAGCATGCACAGTCAGACCTCTTTCTGGCCCTATTGGACTTAAGAAATATGCCGACTGATGGTGTAGGCAGCTCGCCAGTTCAAAGGTTGTTTGGGCTCAAGTCAAGTCGATTGCTGCAGCCGAAAACTATTGAAAACATCCCTGCCGCACTTTCCAGCAAGAGGTCCGAACAAGCTTACTACTACAATCGCGGTGCAGCTGAACTTTCAGAACTGAGAGATGGAGATGTAGTTCGGGTGAAGCCATTCTGTCATGACAAAAAGAAATGGAAGAAAGCTGTCGTAGAACAGCAAGTGGATGTACAATCGTATGACATACGTACAGAAGATGGAAAATCTCTTTTGAGAAATAGATGCCATCTAAGAAAATCTCAAGAGGCTGCCCCTGAGACTAAAGATGTAGAACTGGATTTGGAAGAGCAGAAAATGGATGAAAGGTCAATGAAAGAGGTTCAGTCAACTGTGAACTCTCCTGATAACACTCCTGTGAAAACCCTGTGAAAACTCCTGTGAAAATTTTGAACACTCCTGTGAACACTCCTAACGTAACTAGGATCATGGACAGTTCTATTCATGGCACAGCACCTGGTCATGAGATCAGAACGAGGAGAGGCAGGGTGGTCAGACCACCACCCCCGATACAGGGACTTTGTGCCTTAAAAAAAAAAAAAAGCAAAAAGGGAGGAAGATATGATGTGTGGTCCTGCTTATCAGAAGGAGAAAAGACTTTTAATTTCTCAAGAATAAGAGATAGACTTTAATTTTGTTCATTTTAACCTGTTTTAGCATTGTTTAAATTGTTTGCTGGGTTAGTGTGTTAATTGCTGTCTTTACTTTTCTAAAGAAAGGGAGATGTTGCATAATGATTACTCCCTAAGAGGCTGTGCACAACGACTGGTCCATGGGCAACATGTGTCTGTGTAGGCCAAAACTAACATGGAGTAAAGTGATGGTCTCCCACAACAGTTTTATGTTATCAAGTCTTCCTAGGACATCACCAGACATGACATATAACATAACTAGAGTGACGAGTTCACTGGCTTGTCATGTGCCTCTGATGGACCGACCAATTCATGGTTTTAATTTGGGTGAGATGTTTTTCTATTCTTGGGAAGAAGAGAAGAGATAAGCAATTAGTATGAGTCAGGATAAGTATAAATGATATTTTTATACCCCAAAAGACATTCATCTGACATTCATCTGTAATAGTCCAACAGCTAAGAGAAACTTAATTGATTACTTCACTGGTGTGCATGATTCATGCAACCAAACAGAACTGGTTTTATGGGCTTTTACTGAATAATGCTGTCTTTATGATATACATGTACTTCATGACTATGTTTATAATGAAACTGTTGTTGTGTAACAAATTGCAGGAGCTGATACAGAACGCTGAGGATGCAGGAGCCGAAGTTGTTGACATCTTGTATGATGGAAGGACTATTCAACCTGATATAGATGCCAAGGAACTGAAACAGAACGCGTTTCTGAAATCCTTGCAGGTATTCAGATAGTAATATCGCATGATTAGACTGTTCTCAGTGGTTAAATCGGGTGTGAAGTAATTCAATTCTTTCAATACCGACAACCAGGATACAATGGCTTAAGTAGCTATCAATACTTACCAATCTTGATATTCCTTGTCATTGGGATTTCCAATTTTATAACTAACTCCAATAGGAGAAATGTTGAGAGCTGTTTGTTCATATTCATTCATGTGTCACATGGACAATAAGTTCAGTGCTATCAGTATGTATTCATGACTTCATCAAATTGTTCAGTTAAATTGATCAATATTTTGGCAGGCTCCTGCGTTGTGTGTCTACAATGATGCTTTATTCACAAAGAAGGATTGGACTGGTGTCAGTATGTTGTATACTAGCCTCAAGGATGAACCTCAGAAAATCGGACAATTTGGACTTGGTTTCAAATCAGTATTCCATATTACAGGTTGGTATAAGAGAGTTGTTTGCAAATATTTACCTATCTCTGATCCCATTCTGCAAGAAAAGGCTCTTCAGTTTGCACAATGTTGTTTAGTGCTGAATAAAGAATAATTATCTGTCATCAACATTGTGTTAATTTGTTGCACAATTACAAAAGATCAAAGGCATTATAGAGATAAAGAGATTGACAAGTGTGAATATCAGCCATGTTGGAAAATGATCGTCACTGTCTAAGCCGCCACCCTGTCTAAACCGGCATTTTATTTCGGCCCCGTGGGGTGCTGGTTTAGACTGTAAAAATATTATTTTTTACTCCTATGCTGAGTATATCCCATTACCCAACCCTTATATTTACAGAATACATACTTGATAGGATTACGCCAACCAAAACCCTCCCCCTTGCAAATTCATTCACGTGTGGAAATGTGTATGTACAATTATGTACTTAAGTACACAGTAATTACATTTACATATTATTTTTTTGTAAAACTGTTGAAGTCATTTAATATCTTCCAAACAGCAAGGACCCTTAAATTTTCAGGGAAATTGCATATAATTACAACTTCTTTTTAGTCATCCATGTTTTACTGTATGAGCCTTTCACTTGCATTTCTCGTCATTCACATGATGCTCAGTTGATGACTTTATTATAGGTATTATTTAGTGCTGGCAGAACTGGGATTATCTAGACTGTGCCAAATAACTCAATATAGATCAACCCTGCCTCTGAAGGCGTCAAGGGAATTATTTAGTGCTGACAGAACTTGGATTATCTAGACTGTGCCAAATAACTCAATATAGATCAACCCTGCCTCTGAAGGTGTCAAGGGTATTATTTAGTGCTGCCTGTATATAGCAATTAGTGGTTCCTATTTGTCATTTTTCCTGTCTTGTGTTATCCAATCTAGATGGTGGCGTCTGTATAATATCTTAGGTAATATGCATGTGACAGTGCAGCAAGAGAGGTATAGCCAGTTGAGTTGCAAAAGACTTCAATCAAAGAATTAACTGATAACATGTTGATGACATGAATAATCACTGTCATCAAAGTCCAGACCTTGACTGATATTATCTTTCTAAAACTTGTGCTGTACTTTTCAGATTACCCATGCATCATCAGCGGTGATCAAATCCTCTTCATCAATCCAGAACAAGTGGCACATAAAGTGTGTTTCTCCAAAAAGTTACGGAATCTGTCTGATAGAGTGAAGAGTATTTTAACTCTGGTCCTGTGTGGTACATTTGGGTTCTCAGACAAGTCTTTGACAGATGGTTATAATGGCACTCTTTTTTGGTTTCCCCTGAGAATTCAAGCATCAAACCTTTCTGGAAATTTGTACACAAAAGAGAAAGTCATGGACCTATTTCAAGCTTTCAAATCGGAGGCCCCAGTGACACTACTTTTTCTTAATTCAATTCACAAAGTCCAGTTATTCCAGACTCATGCAGCTACAGATGAGAAGATTCGTGCTTTCTGTGTACAGCTTTCTAATAGCTGTTTAACATCTGTCAAACATCAACGGAGAGATTTTGCCTCAAAAGTGCAGCTCATTGATTTGGAATTGATGTCCCCATCCATGGAAAACAGACTTCATGTTGTAATAGAAACTGAAGATTTGATCAACTCTAAAAACATCAGCCAAGCATGGATTATTAACAATGTGTACAAAATCAGAGATATGTCTCACAACTTTAGTAGCCTCTGCAAGGAAATGTCGCGTTTTCCATATGTGGGCGTGGCGGTTCCCGTCGGTCAACAGTGTGAAGGTCATGTGTTCTGCTTTCTCCCACTTCCCCTGCAGAGTCACAGTCCCACAGGTCTGCAGGTTCATGTCAATGGCTTCTTTGCCTTGAGTCAGAATCGAAGACATGTCAAGTGGCCCACAGCAGATCAGATGCAGAATCAGTCACACACAGATAAAGCTATTGAGTGGAACAAGTGTCTCGTGAGTGAAGTGCTTCCAATGGCTTACTGTAACATTCTGAATGAGTTGATACAACATTCTCAACAAGAACAGAACCCTGATGACCAAATAAAGCAAGTGTATTCCTTGGTTCCAAAGCAAGAAAATGTTTGTGTACATTGGAAACCAATGGTGGATGAAGTTTTAAGAGAACTGCAAAACATACCATTTTTGTTTACTGAAAATTCTGGTGGATGTTGGATAACAGTTCAATGTGCCATTCTTCTGGATTCCAACATGGCCACTGATGTCAAAGAAGTTATCAAGAAGATTTTTCTTTGGTGCAATGAAGACATAGTTGATTTGCCTGGAGATGTTTTGGCATTATTGGAGAGCACAATGCACACATCCATAACAATGGTTTCTACTGAACAGGTATGCTCACTCCTGAAATCCAATGACTGCTACATAAAACAACTGTCCCTGCTTCAAAAGAGGATTTTGCTTAGGTATATAATATCTGGTGGGCATCTGGACTTCTTACCTGGATTAAACCTTTTACCTACAATGGATGGATGTTTCACAGAAATTGGAAAGGAGGATGTTTACGTCTGGCAAGATGTAAAAGCTTCAGAGTGTTTGCTTCCTGGCCTTGAAGCCAGCCTAGTGGACATCGAGGCATCCCCTGAACTTGGCCATATCTTACAAAGTGAAGAAAATCGAGGTATATGATTAAACTAATCTAGTGTTAAATCAGGAACTATTTCAGGAATCTTTATAGCATTTTTTGCCTTCAAGTAATTAACAGACAAAGACCTTGATGATAACATCTAGTGGTCCATATTATTGTGGCATAATGTTTTCATAAACATTAGAGATTCAGGCAGTTCTTTGAGTGATGTCATGAAAAGGTCAGTGTTCATGACCTACTTACTACATAGAAGGTAAAATCAAGTAAAGCAAACAATAATGATTCCAACAGTGTTTGTATAATCACAGCAATAGATAACAGATTATGTTTATTACTTCAAAGTTACTCATGATCTCTAGATTAAAATTGGTTTGAATTCTGTGAAAAACACTTTGAAATACCTCTGTGACTCTATCTGTAACCATTTGGTGGTATTTGAGTGTATAATTGCATTCCATCTTCGTTCCAGATCTTTTCAACGTGGGTCTCATTACCAGGGACATATTTCCAAAGCTACTGCAGAGATGTATTTCACAACATTTCATTGCAAACAATCCCAAATATCTACATGAACCTGTTGATGACTGTTGGTTGAGGGGAGTGTGGACTTACATTGACAACAACTATTCCTATGACCAGCTGGGCCAGACATTTGGTACACTGCCTCTTATTCCAGACTTGGAAGAGCAAGGTAAAACACGTCTGCATGATCTACAAAAGCCACTAATCGTTGAGATGGTAGATGGTGTCAATTCCCTTTCCAGGCACATGGTTGATTGCCTGAGGAGGTTAAGCATTGTAGTGTTAAAACACATTACAGAAATTACACCCAACGGTATTGTTGGCGTGATAATACAGTACCCAACCCATGCTGGTGTCTTGAAAGTACTAGATGTTGTGGCAGAGGATGACAATATACAGGAGAAGATCAGTCAATTCAACACTCAGGCAACCCATGAGGAAAGAGAAAGCTTTACTCACTTTTGGGGAGAAGCTACAACATGCTTCACAAAGTCAGTGCATATTTTGCGAAGTCTTCAGATGTTCATGGCAACAGATGGGTCACCCAAATGTTTAGAAGATGTGGACACTCTTGCACCTGTTGTGGAACCTCCATTTCCTATTCCTTCCCCTGAGGTTTATCTAGTATCTACCTCCAGAGCTGTAAGGTCGCTAGCTTTGTCGCTAGGGGCATCACAAAAGGAACTGGATGCAGCTGTCATACTCACTTTACAGCACATGATTGAAGGAAAGCATATGGCAAAGGCTGACAAGGATTCTCTTAAACTGATGGAGTTCTTAATATTGTCCTGCTCTTATCTGCTTGAACATGACATAGTTGCAAAACTTGCAAGGGGAGTGAAATTTCTTGCATCTCAAAATGGATCAACATATTTCAAAGCATGCCAGCTGTTTGACCCCACATCATCACTTTTGACACAGCTATTCCAAGAGGAGGACAAATTCCCCCCACTCAAGACATGTCAGAACCAGTCAGCTGAAGGCAGGCCTAACACTGTTGGGGTTACGAGGGGAAGAAGATGTGACATCTGCAGAACTTTTGACAACGGCAAACCTCATTCAGAGTTTGAATACTTCCAGTAAACAGACTGCATTGTCCAAAGCGAGAGCTCTTGTTACATTTCTCACTCGTCATAAAGAACTATGACCAGGATTCTCTATCTGAATTACAGGGAATACAGTGCATCCCGTGTATTTCACAGAAGCCAGATTTCTATCCAAGTCTACTTCAGTTTCAAGGGGAAATTATGATGCTTGGAACATCAAACAATACTTGCAGTTCTAAATATGTACATGTAGTAGGATCAGTCACAAGTGTAGCTGAAGAAATGGCACAGGCAGTGGAAATACTATTTGGATTGAATGTTCCTCCTTCAGCTATTGCTGTCATTAAACATTTACATAATCTCTCAGCATCATACCATTGTGTAGGACATCACTTGTACATGACCATGTTGCACAATGTCTACAAGCATTTGTCATCAGAGAGGTTGAGCATGGAACACATTCAAGCACTGAGTGGATTCCCCTCAGTATGGGTAGACATAGATGAAGGGTTTAAGCATCCTTCAACAGTATTCATAGATCCGAAGATTGTAGACATTGATTTAAAACCTTACCTATTTGCTCTTCCATCCATGCTTCATCAATGGCGCAGTTTGATGCTGGCATTTGGATGTAACCAGGAACTTACACCACAGTTGCTGACAGGGGTTCTCCAAAACATCAAATCAAAACATGACTCATACAGTGAAGGTGACTTCAGAGAAGATATTTCCACCATACAATTGGAAGTTCAGAAAGATTTACCCATTGTTCTACAAATTGTCAACAGTTTGTCAAAAGAACAAGTAATGCTTGAAAATCTCCTTCTTCCTATCCATCAAAAGGACAAATCACGCCTGACTCTATTGTGTGTCAATGAGTGTACATACAGCGACTGGCTGAATGAGGAGACTGAGTCAGAGGATGGTGAGTGTGATGTTCACTATCTTCATCAGTCTATTTCCAAAACAACTGCACAAATGCTAGGAGTCAATATTTCAGATGATAGAGACTATGATTATCATCAGTCAGAATCATTGCCAACACGACTGAATTCTATACTGACTGCATATGTTGATGGATTGTCTATTCCAAAGGAAATGATTCAAAATGCAGATGATGCTGGCGCAACAGAAGTATGTTTTCTTTATGACGAGAGGCAAAATTGGGATGCAAGAACTTCTCTTATCGAAAGGGAAATGGCTTCATTACAAGGACCTGCACTCTGGTCTTTTAACAATGGTACATTTAAGGAGACAGATTTTAAGAATTTCATAAAGTTAGGTGGTGCCACAAAAGATGCAGATACTTCCACAATAGGGAAATATGGGTTAGGGTTTAGCTCCGTGTTCAATCTTACAGATGTTCCAAGTTTCATCAGTGGAAATACTATGGTGATTTTGGACCCACATGGCTCATACTTAGGAAAACAAGGGTTGAGAGCAAATCTGAAAAGTGCCAGAAACAAAGCTACAATGAGAAATCAATTTAAACCATTCCAGGGTGTGTTTGGTTGTGACTTCAATAGGGAAGTAATCTGCAATGGCACTTTATTCCGGTTGCCACTTAGGACAGCAGAGCAGGCTAGTGCAAGTGACATCAGTAGTACTTGTTACAGTAGGAAGGAGGTAAACGCTCTGTTCAAAAAGTTTGTTGGTGCCTGTGGAAACCTCCTTCTGTTTACACAGAATGTGAAATCTTTAAAGTTTTTATTTGTGCCCTCCGAAGGAGATCCTCAGTCCCCACAGCTATTAGTGGAGGTTGTAAAGCATGTTAAAATACCACCTACTACTCTACCGAAAGGTGACAAAATAAAGAGGGAGAGTATTTTGGTTCATGCGTCTAAGGAGTGGCAGAGACTAGCACAGCAAAATGATAGTTTATCAATAGCTGAAAGGGTTGACGTTGAGGTAGGTCTTTCCAACAACATAAAAGAGTTTGAGCGGAAATGCAGTGTGGGGCGAGGATCAGTGGAATGGGTTATTGTATGGAACACAGGAGGGAAGGAGTCCTACAAGTTTGCATCATCTGGAGAACTGAAGCATCTGCTCCCACTGGCTGCAGTTGCAATACCAGCGACAGATCTGAGCATGTGTCCCTGTGGGTTCTACAAGAAGGGACATCTGTTCACTTTCCTTCCACTACCAATACAAACTCCATTTCCATTTCATATCAATGCAACATTTGCACTCACCAAAGACAGAAGAGAGCTACTTAGAAAAACAGAGGATGACAAGTTCATGTATGGAGTTGAATGGAACAACATATTACTTCGGGATGTTGTGACCAGAGCATTAGTTGCTGCATTAAAATATGTAGACTTACACTCAGTATCAACAGCACAGTATTACCAGCTGTGGCCTTGCAGCCCAGAACAAACTGACTATCTTGGTAAAGGTTTCTATAGAATGATTGTTGATGAGAAACAGGAGATGTTTGTAGAAGAAAGAACAAAAGAAAGATGGCCTCTCAAAACCATCAGGTATTTGGATAAGGTCATAAGAAACCATCCAAACATTGGAGACATTTCTTTCAAAGCTGTGGAGAAGTTTTGGAATTGTGAAAGTGAAGTTGTTATGGACATCCCAAGCATTGTACTGGACTGCCTCTTCAAACAGACAGGCTGTGGCAAGGATCGCTGTGTGACAGTAGAAAACTTCTTCTGTCGTGTCTTTTTCCCAAATTTTGATGATGAATATTGGGAAACAAGAGATAGGGACTCCCTGACCGTCTTTGCAATAAAGTGCAATAACACTGCAATTCATCAGCAAGTAGAGGCTAAGAAATGTATCCGGACATCTCATAGCGGCACATTGAAAAGACCGAAGGATTGCATTGATCCATTTGGAGTATGTGCTAAGCTGTTCTCAGCCGAAGATGACATGTTTCCAGACAAATATTTCTGGCCAGTTATTGATGGTCTTCATCGAGCTGGAATGCTACAAGACAATTTGCCCTGGAATATATGTGTTGAAAGGGCAAGTACAGTCTCTGAACTATACTTCACAGATTATGAAGGGGCAATTCAAAGGTGTAAGAATATATTACAGTATCTGGGACACCACATCAATCCATCAAATGCATGTCTCAAACCATGTCCACAAGTTGTTTTAAAAAAACTTCGAAATATCAAGTTTCTGCCAGTGCTTCTATGTCCCGAGAGCTGGAAGTTTGTTTGGAAGGCGAATGAAACAGATTGTGCTCTGTCAGCCCCTAATGAAACATTTCGAGAGGACACAAGTAATTTGGTTGGATGTACTCAACTTATTTTAGATGAAACTCAACTGCGCTCGGACATATCTGACAAGAAAATGACTGATGTTCTTCACTTACTTGGTGTGAAGAGCAGAGATGACATTACAGTCAAAAGTGTTACCTTACAACTGCTTTCTATTTCGGAGGCTTTACAAGACAGTGGGCTAGATCTAGAAATGCCTGACTGTGAACTCAAAAAAATATGTACAGAAATTTACAGTCACATGAACACATTGTATCAAAATAGTTCCAGCGAAGGTAAGAAGGAGTTCAAAAGATATGTGTCAGAGCACTTGCATGGAAAACAGACAATCTTGGTAGGAAACAAACTGGTGAAACCCAAACAGGTAGTTCTCCACAAGCAAAGTAGTAGGAAACCAGGCATGTATACACTGGACCAAAGTTTTGAGGAATATTTGCAACTATTTGAATTATTTGGCATGGTAGAGAACAATACCACAGGTTTTGGATGTTGTTTTGCAGTGATGTGTTTGGCTTTGGTCTTTGCACTTTCTTATGGTTTATATAGTCTATAGACTTCTGTTACACCTCATTACGCTCAGTTTTCTTGTCAGTCTGGTTGATTGTAGAGTTTCAATGTTGTACACTCTCAGAGACTATACACCATCATATACTGTGGTACATTATAAAGCTCAGTTGTACACTCTCAGAGACCATACACCGTCATATACTGTGGTACATTATAGAGCTCAGTCCAGGGAACACTGGCCCTAGATCCGTTCACCAGGAGCACTCCTAAGATTTCTGCTTGTGTTTATGAACCTATCACCATGCGGCTTTATCTTTGCTTGTATCATCCAAGAATTGGTAATCCTGCCGCTCTGTATTAACACTGTTAGAATCTTGGAGAAAACCTACAATGACAGATACATTGAGGTCAAGATTGCAGTGGTGCTCTATCGTGGAGGAAATGATTTTGTTGAAATACTACCCATGACAAACTGCTTAAAACATTCACTTGGTAAGATTAAGAGAGCAAGACTAAGCTGGAAAGTTTCACTTGAATGTAAGAACAAGGAGAAAGTCTAAAGACAAATGTTTGTGGTGAGATGCATAATTTGCCAAACCCACGGAATTGGTTACCCCTTGCTTCAGATGTGGTGACACTGGCTGTTCCAGATTAAATACCTCAAATCTGTTGCCTGGCTGCATAAAGTAGACTTGAATAAACTTCCTGTCCAAACATTGCTTCAGATGTGGTGACACTTGCTGTTCCAGATTAAATACCTCAAATCTGTTGCCCGGCTGCATAAAGTAGACTTGAATAAACTTCCTGTCCAAACATTGCTTCAGATGTGGTGACACTTGCTGTTCCAGATTAAATACCTCAAATCTGTTGCCCGGCTGCATAAAGTAGACTTGAATAAACTTCCTGTCCAAACATTGCTTCAGATGTGGTGACACTTGCTGTTCCAGATTAAATACCTCAAATCTGTTGCCCGGCTGCATAAAGTAGACTTGAATAAACTTCCTGTCCAAACATTGCTTCAGACAAACAGCAACTGGAGAACTTGAGGACCATTTTGGACCAGAATCTCACATGACTGCTAGGCTGTTCAATGCTGCTGGAGAAAATGCAAAACATGTGGAAAATGGATGCAACTCCATAGAAAGTTTGAAGGAAAAAGAGGCAGTTCACTTCACCCCCTGTTTAAACGTTAAACATAAGTCTGTTGAACCTGATCTATAAATGTGAACATCCATATCTGCTCACATCATGAAAACCTATATAAGAAAGCTGTGACATTCATTGGCCATGACTGTATTCATTAAAGATGTGTGTAGGAGGAGGGACATCAGTACAGGAACACCTGATGTACGTTTTATGGACACTATACTTACATCGGTATGGGTAATACATACAATATGTGTGTCTATGTATGCATGGGAACTGTATCCATGTGAAGCAAATAAATGTGCAGGATTCACATGCACATTGAATTATTATTGCATTGCTACCGCAATATATTTATGTGTATATCCTAAGAAATGTGATGTTACAAATAGAAGATGTATCCAAGATAGAGTAGTTTATTTGTTGTATGTTCTATGATGATTATATGAAATGTGTAAATCCAACTATTTACTGACATTTATTTCAGTGAGTTGGTAGTTTTAAGCTTGAAAAATGTCCATAGATTTCATTAAATATTTGAGTAATTTCAATAGATTTTTATGACAATATTTTGATGCACTAAATTTAGCATTTGAATATCATGTATGAATAGTTCATATGCTGATAAATGTTTTGTGTCAAAATTGCAGATATTATATTTCTTAGATGAAATAGAGAGGTGGACTGGTGTTTATTCTCCAAAAACTATATAATTTTGAAAGAAATACCACAGTGAAAATTGAAGAAGAGCCCCGGCAATATGAGATATTTTGATTCAGATTCAGGGATTTACTCTTTTCCAAAACAAGCTCTGCCTTGTTGAACAGCAGCGGAATCCCCGTCACGTGTCATCCGTGATCACACTGTGCTTATGCTTACCCTTGCAAATACAAATGTGTGTAAATGTGTACGTACAATTACGTACGTCAGTATACAGCAATTACGTGTAATGAAGTTCACTTAATAATGTACTCAAAACAGCAGCATCTCTTTTCAAGAAATTGAACACAATTCAACAATTTCTAGACCCTAATCTTGTCATCAATGTTTTGAAAAACTTCAAAGGATTAACCAATAATACACTGATTGATTAATTGCTGTTATTTTGCATAGTTGATTTATCAGAAGTTTTTATATGTAGTTAGACTAAAGCAGACAGGAATACACACACATCTTGGCACCTGTGTAAAGGCAACACTTTGTTCAAGGGGTTTGCTGATAAATGATTGATTGTTCACTGTTGTATAACTATAGAACCATAGATATCATGAACCAGAGACCATATACATGTCACATGTGCTGTCTCAGCAGACCAGTGAGACATGACATTCATATTAAACAGCTAAAACAAAGTCAGTTAGATATGAACACGGGTTGAAACGTTTTATATTATTTTAAATATTATTGTTACAAAGACACATGACATTGAACGAATCTCTTTGTAAAACATCTGATGTATGGGATGTTGTTCCTGTGTTCCTCGAACATGGTAACTGCCTGATATTATACTTATAACTTTGGGGCTAGATTTCTCTTCTGTCGCCAATGGCTGAGGGATGGTGTAAATCCAACAAGGGTCCATGCAGGTAGCAAAAGTAATGTAAGTCCCCATGGTCCCTGGTATGGTGATCTACCTTCAGTTATTGGCGATTTATAGCCCATTTGTATACTGTATTGTTTTTCCCCTATAGTTAAAACGTTTTAGATGTAATTACTAGTTTTACATACATATCTGTGGTATTCTAGTTGTTTTACTGTCCTTCGTCGGCATGTTTTTTTATAATATACATATATTTCATTTCAATATCAAATATTCTCATCACGATATGGCTGAAATATTGCTGATGTGATGTTAAATATTAACTCACTCACTCACTTATAACTTTGGTTGTAATTATGACTTTGGTTTCATTCATTTGCTGTATCAGGAATGCATGTCACCACAGTGGTTACAGTTCAGACTGTTCCATATGTACAGATTATCCAGCAATAGCAATCAGCCCTTCCAAAGTACTATTATTTTATTAGATATATTTAGTAAAAGCTGCAACTAAAATAACTTAATATTGGGATATGCAATTTCTAATAAAATAACATTTTCACTTTCACTTAGTATTGTCTCAAACATTGTTATCTGTTAACGGTAAGGTAAATTGATAATTTTGGCCTAATATTGTGTTCAAGGCACAGAAAGTTTGTTCACTAAAGGTTCGTTCTTCTTTTTTCAGTCAATTGATTACTTCTACATCTAGTATTGCAAGAAATATTAGGAAGAAAAGGATAAAGAATTTCTTTCTGTATGTTAAAGAAAACAAAACAAATTTCACGTTTAAGTTTACATTATGAGGATTTATGATAAGTAATGATAAAAATATGTTTTTCAGTATTTTCATATTAGCAAATTTGTACAGAAAAGAAATTTGGCCACTGCACTGTAGCCCACATGCTGAGTGGTCCGATTCAGCATGCAACACATAATTGACTTAGTGAGTGAGTGAATTAAGTTTTACCCCGCTCTTAGCAATATTTCAGCAATTCACAGTGGGGGACACCAGAGATGGGCCTCACTCAATTGCTTTAGTACAGCAGTTCAGAGTGCATGTTTAGTCAGTATACTAGTAAAGGGATATACGGCTACAAGGAAGGCAATTTATTACAATTTTTGTTAAATTATTGATAATAAAATGGTTGTAACATAGCAGCTTATGTTAAAAAATTAGACTGGATGATCCTGTGACATTCAGTGATAGACAGTGGTGTTTAGATGTGTACTATATTTAGACTTGTGAGGCAGCAACCTTATAAGCATCTCCATTGACTGAAACAGTGTATCTGGAAAGATCAGGTATTGTTGTACAAAGCAATCTTAGCACTAAGGGGCCTGTAACTCCCACACTTTAACATAGTCGTAGCACTAAGGGGCCTGTAACTCCCACACTTTAACATAGTCGTAGCACTAAGGGGCCTGTAACTCCCACACTTTAACATAGTCGTAGCACTAAGGGGCCTGTAACTCCCACACTTTAACATAGTCGTAGCACTAAGGGGCCTGTAACTCCCACACTTTAACATAGTCGTAGCACTAAGGGGCCTGTAACTCCCACACTTTAACATAGTCGTAGCACTAAGGTTATGTACTTTAACATAGGTAGCACTAAGGGGCCTGTAACTCCCACACTTTAACATAGTCGTAGCACTAAGGTTACTTTGTACAACAGCACACTGGTAATTTTTGTTTAAGTTGTTACCTCTTGCCTCTCACATTACTGTAATTGCATGAACTGTCAAGTAACAAGAAGATCCAGCATCGTGTGAGATGATGATTCTACCCAGGATTATTCTGCTTTGATGCCAATTGGATTACTGCTGCCGAGAGGTGAAAAATCAGTCAATGTCTTTATTGCTAATAACTACTGCTCTTGTTGTATATTGCATTTGAATTTGTACTCGCACTCTGTTTTATACTTCCATACTGATACATTTGTACTGATTTGTGAACTTAGTAGAATACAGTTGTTAATTCCATCACATAGCTTTATTGTCTTTTGGTTTCACACCTAGTTTCTTTCAAGGAGCGGCAGTGGGGTAGCCTAGTGGTTACAACACCCGCTCATCACGCTGGACACTTGGGTTCGATTTCCCACATGGGTACATTTTGTGAATCCCACTTATGGTGTTCCCCACCGTGATATTGCTGAAATATTGCTAAAACCATACTCAGTCACTCACTCTTTAAAGGACTGATTCCTGGTTAACAATTTAGTTTCAACTTGTGATCAACACATATTCAATATGGATATAACATATACTCACTGCGCCCAGTTTTAAAGGCAAACACTGGCATGTGAGTATACTGCAGTCAGTCTAGTACCTCCCATCTGTAGATACCTTGACAGTTTATTGGATATAACTAGCTGTACCTTTCTATCAATAGAACATTGTAAGCTTCGGTTAATAGGGTCAGAGGCTGGACACCAGTAAGTTTTTGTGCTCATAATGCTGGTGGTGAGAGAGAGGGGGAAAAGCCTGATGCAATAGTTTTTTACGTCCACACAGATATTATTTCTTGTACTCTTGGCAAACTCCCACATATCAGAACATATTGGAGCTAAAAAATAAAGTAACAGATAAATAGCAGGCCACTTATCTTTATGGATTTTGTACTAATAGCCAAAGGGTAGATATGGGGAATAAACCTTAAGTCTGTCAACTATGTCAATATATTTGCTCATCAGGTGAAAAGAGAAAGGAAATAAAATCGCCTTATTCATTAAAGAAAGATGTACATCCTTATCATTACTAAGATGTACCCAGAAATACACAGTGGTGTGTATTTTCATATGTTCCTTCTTGATCGAACCATTTAACAATAATTCACCAGATAGGCATCAGTGAGTGTCAAACTTTTGCCTTGTGCGTTTTGTGATAAATGGTGTTGTTTCTGGAATAAGAGTTATAAGTTGGTTAACTTGTGACCTATATGAGTAAAAAATAAAATAGAATTTCACAGGTCGTAATGAAAGCATAGTAACAAGCCTGAATCTATAATAAAAGATAAATAAATAAGAAAATAAAACCCTGCATCCCCGGCGGGATTCGAACCCGCGACCTCTGGATTAGAAGTCCAGCGCGCTATCCCCTGCGCTACGGGGACCTCGCAAATGGGAGGGAAAGTTTAGCATGTTAATATCGGCTAATGTTATTGCCCATGCTTTTCGTTTTGATAACTGATAAGTCCAAAATACAGGTGGACTTTTACGGTTTATGAAGCAAAATGGTTTCCCAAGTTAACGGGGAGTGGTCACTCCTCGAAAAGCCCCTCAGCCCGGCTTATTTTCAACAGCTGATTACATTCGCTGAGTGTTGTGACAACTGAAAACCTACACGTAGAAGATAAGTTACCTATTCTGTCACTTCATTTTAAGTCAAATGATTGTTATAAGTGTCAGTATTAGTAAAGTAGATTTGTAGTAAAGTTTCAAGTCGGCATGTTGTAGCTCACTGGCTTCAATTCTCGGTACACAGCGAAGAAAGACTAAATTCTATCGCTAAAAACTTCTTTCACATATTCGTTTAATTTTTAGAAGGGGAATACCATCAGGTGAAAGGTGTTTGCTAGTAATAGTGATAGTTTTATAATTTAAAAAAAAATGTTAGGGTGTGTTTGAGGTGTGTGAAGAATATGACGTATCGCAGATCGAATTACCCCCGAACCGGCCCCAAGCCGAACCGTCCCCTGATATTTAACCCGAACCGGCCCCTGATATTTGCCCCAAACCGGCCCCGAGAAGTAAATATTTCTACATTGACATATGAATTAAAGTTCCTTTAACATAAATGACGAAAACATATTACTCATATATGTCTTTACATGTTATATCGATTTTTGAAAATATATTAGCGAATATTAGTGTCGATGCGAGGCAAGTGAACATGCACGTGCTGCTGATGACGGAGATCCCGTGGTAGAGGATCTTCATGTAAATGAATTGAAATGTCTGTATCTATATAATAAATTAATTGAAATCTTCATGTCTGTATGTATATTAATTGTCCGTATCTATATAATAAATTAATTGAAATGTCTGTATATAATAAATTAATTGAAATCTTCATGTCTGTATATATATATATAATAAATTGAAATGTCTGTATCTATATAATATATTAATTGAAATCTTCATGTCTGTATCTATATAATAAATTAATTGAAATCTTCATGTCTGTATGTAATAAATTAATTGTCCGTATCTATATAATAAATTAATTAAAATGTCTGTATATAATAAATTAATTGAAATCTTCATGTCTGTATATATATATATAATAAATTGAAATGTCTGTATCTATATAATATATTAATTGAAATCTTCATGTCTGTATCTATATAATAAATTAATTGAAATCTTCATGTCTGTGTCTATATAATAAATTAATTGTCTGTATCTATATAATAAATTAACTGAAATCTTCATTAATTGTCTGTCTGATTATCGTTCATTAACCCAGGGGCCGGTTCGGGTGCGGGGACGGTTTGGGTTAAATATCAAGGGGCCAGTTTGGGTTAAATATCCAGGGGCCGATCTGTTCTGATCCGCCATTGATGCTTGTGATGCTTGAGTGTTATAGTTCTAAAACTTCTTTGTTTCTTGTTGATCTTAGTATTTGACAAAACTGCAAAGGTGTTTACAACGCTTTGTGATAGTTCTAAACTTTCTATTTGAGGGGTGTGTGACAGTGTCAGTTAACATTCTGTCAATGTCCATGCGCCATTCCACACATGCACTTTGATATCTGAATCTGATGTTAACACATGTGTTCTAGCGATAGTTTTGCGTTCTTTAACATGTTTGGGGAGGGATGGCCATGGTGTATCATTTATTCTTTCATTCATTCACATATAATTCTTGCTCTTCATTCATTCATTCGCTGTAAAATTCCGACTGATACAATAAACTGGCTGAAGTACTGTTAAACGCAGCCGAAATTGCGCTGAGAACGGACCGAGTCACTGTGTGCGTTGGAGCATGATGACGCTAATGTAGTACAAATAATGGTAAAGAAAGCAAGCGAGTGAGTGACCTATCCCTGTTGTAGTTATCCCTGGTTCTATCTACAACATTTACCTGATAAACATAAAATTGCTTTAACATTGTTTAGATTATCATGTCATCGACTACCAATTGAGACTGGTAGATGCACACTCCGGCACAGCGATGACTTAACGTAACATCACTGCCACAGGCTAATTTGCATATCACGTGACCGGACTTTTCTCTTGTTTGTAATCAAACGCGCATATTCATAAGAAGAAGAGACTGGACTCACGAAAGCTTTTCGGCGCTCTCTTCATAATGTTTTACATTGTTACATATATATTCATCCACAACTGCGACAGTAAGGTCTATGACAGTACATATTTTGATATCAAACTGGCTGCATCGTTTGCTCTCCATCAGCTTCGATGACAGCACGTGGAGCCGTACAAACCTATGTAAACAAAGGATCGCTGCGCAAATCGAAATAGTGTTACATGTTTTAGGATATTTTCTCAATGAAACTAAACCATTCTATCAAAGATGTTTAATTAGTTGTGTAGACTCGTCAAAAATAAAAGAGTTGAGAAATATGTAAATTATATTGAATGGACGGAGCAAGATGTGACGAATCGTCACATTTTTCTGGCCTGTGGCAGAGATACTATGCTGGCTTGCCGCATGGAACTCTGGGTAGGAGAGTGTGGTAGATGGTACAAAATTGATGATTTTGATTGGAAATGTACCCTATGTGTTTCACATGATATTGGAGATGAATACCACTACTTGTTTAATTGTAATTATTTCAAAGATATGAGAAAGAAACTACTGCCAACACTGTACATCAAGAGACCCATCTGTATTTAAAATGATAAGTTTATTTCAAAGTAAAAATGTCTCGGATTTGATAAAACTATCAACTTTTTGTCGCATTAAATTATGCAATTATAAATAGACCTTATGTCGCCATTACTTACTTTGCATGACCTCTGTAAACCCTCATTATGCTATGTATGTAGCTTTGAGAGAGAAATAAAGTTCAGTTCAGTTCAGTTCAGATCCCTCTACATACTTAAAATGGATCTATGCACAAAAGAACCCAAACAATTAAGGTAGTCGTATGTTAATTGACAATCACACCCACCTTTGGGAAGTGCACTTTACCGGGCGCACTTTTTCAGATTCATTAGCGCTGGTGGGGCTTGAACGCGCTTTGAAAATTCCTGGATCTGCCTATGGAGCTCACAGCTTTGTGGCAAAATAGCTAGAAGCCAAGTATGATTCAAAGTCACTAAATTCACATAAACATTTGCTGCAGTGAAATCACCACGTCCCAGAAATGTTCATGTTTAAAAACAACAACAATACACGTACAAATGAGATCTTGTCGAATGTGACTCTGTTAACAAAACACTAAATAAATTAAACAAGTTAATACTTTGCAGTAGTCATAATTAGATTTTGACAATTACAGTCTGTGTGACTGATCCTTGCTCTAAACAGAGACCATAATATGGTAACTGCTCTAAATCATTGTCTATCTCTCGTTTCAGTCGGTTAAACATTTAGAGACTTCCCACACTCCTTGGAAAGTATTGCTACACAATCTTGGCACGTTCCAGGATTTTGTTTTATTCAGTTTTCAGATTCATTCAAATATCTTTCAAAGTTCACTCAGAAATGTAATTCTCCGTTTTGAAACAATTATGTTCAGCTTGAGAATGCTTCTACAACAATACAAGACAAATCTTATGGATAACAAATTCTTGATTTATTTTACGCAACGTTTCTGGGCGAGTTCTTGATCCTTCGTCAGGTGGATAAATATCATAGTGAACAATACAGTATATATATATATTGATGTACATGGAAATGCAAAAAAAGAAATCCAAAACCAGACCAGACCAGAAAAATTAAATATAACATATTTCCTCGTTTTCATCTTTTGTTCACATAGAAGATTATCTTTTGTGTGATGTAGGTTTTAGTCATGGTCACTTCTCAGAATCTTGTCCTAACTCTGAAGGTACTTCAGGAATACAGTAGATTTGAATGCATAGATGCAGTTTGACATATCCACTGCCAGTACAAGTGTGTATTAGGGCTGAAGGGTCCAAATTTTCTACCCTACCCCACCCTGATACCTGTTATGTTAATTCCTGACACCAAGTTTGAAAGAAAAGGCATATATTCTTCGGCTCAGAGGCTAAAATTTTAACGATCTTAACGATATATAATATTCAAAACAGGTGACTGTTATTATGTCTAAATCTTCAAAGACAATACAACCTTTTAGTCATGAAAGAATAACATATTACATTAATCTGTTAGTTACATGATCATAACAGGTCCAGGGATTGAGAAGGGTGAGATTTTGAAAGTCTCATGCGACCTTGAAATAAGGTAAAGGTCACTCTGAAATTACTGTTGTGGGTGTAATCACCCAATGTAGGCTGTCGATATAGTTGAAGACAGTGGGTGCAAAGTTTTATGAGATATCACGTTTACATAAGTTTGAAAAGTGGTCAATGTGTGGTGGTGACCTTGAAGATAAGATCAAGGTCACCAAAATTGACTTGTGTCTGTGCAATTTCCCAATGTAGGCTGTCACCAAATTTGAAGACATTGGGTACAGCAGTGCATGAGATATTGGTTAACAAGAGTTTGAAAAAGAGAAGTGGTCAAAGTGTGGTGGTGACCATGACAAATCGACTTGTGCCTAATCCCTTATGTAGGCTGTCACCAAAATTGAAGACTTTGGGTACAACAGTTCCTTAGATATTGCGTTAACAAGAATTGGGACATATGTACAGACGTTTGTAACCCATAAGATAAATTTGTCGAATTCTGATTAGTTAATAGCCAAAGCATACGAAACCATGTAGGTAAATTTGCAAGGGTGTACGAACCACGACACACTACACGGGTTGTACGAATGACCTTGACCTCAGATGGAATGTGCCACAAACGGCTGATCACTTCGAAATTTTATAGTTGGCGTATACATACAATTATGAGTATAAAAAGAGTAACAAAATTGTTGCCATAATTTCTTATTTGTTTGTGTCAATAAATATATCCAAAAAATAAAATGTTTCTGTATTTCACTTGTCATTAAAAAACCCCTCAAATTCGATAATTTTTATCATAAACTAAGCCATCCCGAGTTATCTCCCTTTATGACTGTTCAGGAAAAATCAAGACGAAATGTTTTGCGTCTCATTCTGCTGAAGGTTGAATGTTTTTGTTAACAGATAAGCTAAATTAAAAGATCTTAAGGGTAATAAATTCATCACACAGTGTTTTGAAAGGGTGTACGGGACTGTAAGACCCTTGTAACTTCAGGAGGCTGAGGCTGAGGCTGCGCCTAAGGAAATACAGACTTTACAAGGGTCATATGTAGTCCCATACACCCTTTCAAAACACCATGTAACTAATAATGGATGCTGCTGAATACCTAGTTCCGTTTCGTGTTGCAGCGGGGGACAATAACCACCTTTTTTGACATATTTTTCAAACATCTATTCTTTAAAACCATGTAGCTTTATTCGTTCAGTCATTTGTACAAGTAGTTAAATACCACTTTGTTCCTTAAGTTAAATAAACACTTAGTATCAACAAATAGTTGTGGCAAAAATATCACTTGAAACAAAGACAGTGTCCAATTGGACAGAATACATAATCCACTTCCAAATGAGGACATACTTTGCTCAACAGATCATGTTTACACTTCACTGTAAACACAGGACCATATCTGTTCTTGCGATCTGTACACATTACACTTTACACACAGGTTGATCTCAACTACTCTAAGCACATTCCATTTTAAGCACAGTTTGATCTCTTTGTGAGTACTGTGATCTCTTTCCATAAGCGCTGGGATGGGTAACTCTGGTACTGACAGTTTGGTCCTGTTTAGAAACTCTGGATCACATCCATTCAAGTATTCCAGCACCACAAAATGGAACACATCTGTTCAAGTATTCTGTGCACATTCCTCTTTAAACACTGGACCACATTCAGTATTCTGTGCACATTCCACTTCAAACACTGAACCACATCCAGTATTCTGTGCACGTTTCAAACCCAGGACCACATCTGTTCAAGACAGCTTCACCTACAGTGGTTCCATCAGTGGTCTCCTCCAGTGTGCACCATGTGTAGTCTCCAGCGAACATCCTTCCTACGCTTGGGTGGGGCCATCAACACTGGATCTACAATATGCCAACAGATTATCACACACAGTTCAAATACCAATAACAAGATTACACAATTCAGGTATGATGCACATGTAGCCCCAGAGATTATACACCTCCACCCTCCAGAAACATACCTTTCTGTTCCCTTGTGTTGCTACTGCTGTTTTGTTGCATGGCCTGTGCTATGGCATTTGATGTCATGTTTGGACCCAGGATCTGGAACAGGACATGTATTGAATGCATGGACAACAGACAGTTTAAGTACCCGGGACCAGATTCAAGCAGAAATGAAGAAAATATGTAATTTTCTGACTAAAATTGATATTTTATACTTATCCTGACTCATGCTAAATGCTTGTCTCCTTCTTCTTGCGAATGATAGTGGAACACTTGAAATCCCTTGAAGTTCCCTTCTAAAAAGCGGACGTATAATCATCACTCACCCACGAGTAGTCTCCCTTGCCTCCTTTGTCGCCTTTTTTGGTCACATGACCAGCCATGTTTGTCACTCTCTCTGTATGTATGCCTGACACCTGGATTTACAGGGAAATCCAGAGTGCCATAAGAGGGGATGTTGGGAAGCACTTAGCATGAGTCAGGATAAGTATAAAATATCAATTATAGACAGAAATTACATATTTTTCCTTATCCTGACTCATGCTAAGTGCTTGCAGAATCCGTCGGAATCGGTGGTGGGTCAGGCCACTTCTGGATTCTCTGGCTGTTGATTTACGTCCTGTACTACCCCCCATGGGAACTTATGACGAGACTGCTGATGATTCTGTTCTTTCAACTTCCTCTGATGAGTCTCGGGGGACCACAACTTGTCAGATTTCTTCCGAAACTTCTGACATTTTCATGTGGATTTTTAGATATACTAATATTGCATTAGTTATCTACTGCAACTCCATCTCTTGATGCGTGCATCAAGTGGAGATACGACCCTTCTTCATGTACAAGTATGTCCTATACAAGTACAGGGTCTATCACTCATGCTAGTCTGTCCTAGACGTGTGCATGGACTTTAACCATTTGCTCTCCAGCGCGTTGGTTTTCACAAGTCACGTGATAAACAGGGTGAGATTTTCTCAGCGCCTTTGTGGAACCGTTAGTTGTTGTGCTACAACAAGTGGCTCAAACTGGTGAATGCCTGAGACGTCTTCGGTGGCAATGTCTCTGTTGTAGTGGTTGGCAAACACCGTGTCCGATTTCCAAAAGCAGCCCTCCATTATTGTTGTAATTGAGAAGTTTCCATGCAGAGCAAGTGTAGACGCCAGGGCACTGACTTCATGGGGATTGGAGGCTCGTGAAGGCTCAAGTCCTGCTGCTTTGTAGGCCCTTAGTATAACAGCTCTCATCCATATCGATATCGTTGTCCGAGAAACTTCTGTGGGCATCTCAGTGGATAAGGGGATGAATAGCGCTTGAATTTTCGTCTCCTTGTTTTTGTCCATTGTAGGTAGACTTTTAGTGCTCTGACAGGGCATAAGGATAGATCCTGTGTATCCTGTGGCCCAAGATCTGTAGAGAGTGCTGGGATGTGGAACTGTCTGTCAGGCTGGCCGGGCAGTTGGTTCTTGGAAATAAAATCCCATCTCAGTCCTAGATGTACGATGTCACAATGTGTTGATTCAAACTGTGTTCATTCGAAGTCCAGAGCATGTATTTCTGACATCCGTGCTGCTGTTGCTAGGGCAATCAGAAACAGCGTTTTCTGAGTCAGTGGTTCAAAGGATGTCCGTTCTAGAAGCTCGTAGACATCACTGATGAGATGTTGTAGAACTACGTTGAGATCCCAGGCAGGAGCCTTGAATTTCTTTTGTTGGTCTTCCAACTTGAACGAGCGTAGTAGTGCCAGTATCTCTGGTACTTTGGTCGGCTTGACACACGTCTTCATGGTGATAACTGTGCTGAGAGCAGCCAAATATGTTAAGAGTGTTGAACCTTTTAAGTGTCTCGTCTGTCGCAGATGACACAGCTACTTGAGGATGGGTTGCTTTTACCGCTGTAAAACCTTTCCTCGTTGCATACTGTTCAAATCTCTGGCACTTGTCGTCGTACAAGTTGCGAGTTGATCTGCGTAGAGCTAGTGTTACTGCTTTCGCTGCTCTGGCAGAGTACCCTCTAGTCTTCAGGCAAGCTTTGATACACTCCACGCGTGTAGCTGGAACAATGCCGGATTCCCGTTAGCTTGCTTGGTGTGTGGATGGACGAGCAGGTTCAACCAGTCTGGTAGTTTCAGGGTTGGAATTCCGAGTTCTTGTATGAGGATGGGAAACCATACACTCGCTGGCCAATAGGGCGCGACCAAAATCAGTTGCAGCTTTGTCGTCTGCTTGATTTTCTGTATTACTTGTTGTAGTAGTGCTGGAGGTGGAAACATGTAAGCGTTTAGTCCTTCCCATGAGATGCTTAAAGCATCTGTTGCCCATGTCTGAGGATCCGGAATCGGAGAGACGAATGTTGGTAGTTGCTTGTTGAACTTTGTTGCAAACAGGTCTATCAGTGGAGATCCTGTTGTCTGTATGACGAACCAGAACACTTCTGGGTGTAACATCAACTCCGTCAGAGATGGTGGACGAGATAGGGCGCCTGCTATGACATTCTTGCTTCTGGAATGTGACATGAGGTGAGGTGAGGTGAAATTGGGTTTAACGTCTTGCTGAAGAATATTTTGCTCATATGACGAAGTGAATGCGTGTGTATGTGTATGTGCGGCTGCTTGTACTAGCCAAGACTAAAGCTGGTTTTATAGTGCTAGCACTCTGAGATTCCATGCTGCAGTGAAGCATGAATACCCCACTCAGACACATTATACTGACTCCGAGCCGACCAGTCCCATTAATGCCGAGCGCCAGGCAGGGACCCACAAATACCATATTTTAACCTCTTTTGGTATGACGCAGTCGGGCATCGAACCTGCGACCTTCCGCTCTCCGGGCGCACGCTCTAACCACTGCACCAAGGAGGTGGTCCGAATGTGACATGCCTTCATGTAGATGTTCAGGTCGTTGACGATGCTGAACAGGAGAAAGCTGAGTTGTAGCAGACTTGTTGATCTTGTTGACCCTTATTTGTTGATGTAGAATGCCACTATGGAGTTGTCCGTGTGGACCATGAGTCTTGTGTTCTTTAGTACGCTGGACCAGTGTTGTCGAGGTGAGCACCCCATCCTTGTAGTGATGTATCCACGTAGAGATGAGTGTTGCAATCCGGCTCTGACAAAAAGGTTCCTCCGCAAACATTCGAGTCCACCATAGGAGTTATGGTTTAAGGCTGTCCGGTAGTATCAGTGGATCCAAACTGTAGAGATGGGCGTTCACAAATATTATAGTGGGTGCAGCTGTAATCTCCCTCTGCGAGTCATGTCTTGAGCTGAGGTGAGTAGACCAAGCATGCTTTGTCTTGATGGCTGAGTGGAAGCGCGCGAAAACTTAGCCGCATAGTACCGATGTAAGCAGACTGTTCCATGTCTGTTGTGACTGTATTCTTCAACTTTATAATCTTTACTGCAGTCGTCATCTCATACAGATGTTCTGTAAAGTTGACCGTAACTGATGTCTCGCTGAGGAACTGCAATAATGCTGCTTACTGTCCCCTTGATATCTTGTAAGCCCATGTGATGAAAATTTATCTTCAGTGTTTCATCGGATGTTATCTGACATCGTTACTTCAGGTGTGTGTCTCTTCCTTCAGCCACGCGTTGATCCAACATGACCAACATCTAGTTGTAGTGTAACCCTTCGACGAAGTCTTAGGAGCTGTAGACTTCTTCTTCTGCGCTGAAGAAGATCTCGTCTTCTTTCTTCTGCGAAGAGGACAGCTCCATTGACGACGATCTCTACTTACTCGAGACGGAGTTCATCACTGGAACAGCGGCCTACCCTCGTAAAATGCTCGGCAATTCACTGGAATTATGAACCTCTGCATCAGTAGTTAACACATGATTATCAGCGCAAATCACTCGATTTACCAGACATGACTTGTGAATACCTTCTTACCCAGTCCTTTGCACATCTATGAAGAGAAAATAGGTAGTTAATGAATTCAAAAGTAGTTAGTTTCTGACAATGTTTACAGCAGGAGCTGGAAGAACATGTAGTAGTGCAATCAGGACATAATATATGCGGGTCAGCCACAGACAGCCGGTACCTACAACGAATACAAGTTTTCATCAATTGTAAATCAGATGAAAAACATGGCAAACAACGTATAAACTAGATATAATATCAAAACATTTGATAATATACAATCCAAAAACCGTATACAGCTGTCAGTTAGATGTAAAAGGTCCAAAATAGAAAAGGATATGTACCGTATAGGGACCCAGGTGCTCTCACAACCGTCCTCAAGGGCGAAGAAGGAGAGAGTGACAAACATGGCTGGTCATGTGACCAAAAAGGGCGCCAAAGTAGGCAAGGGAGACTACTCGTAGGTGAGTGATGATTATACATCCGCTTTTTAGAAGAGAACTTCAAGGGATTTCAAGTGTTCCACTATCATTCGCGAGAAGAAGGAGACAAGCATTTAGCATGAGTCAGGATAAGGAAAAATACAAAGAGCTGCATGACTCTGCAGCTCACCTGAATTATGCAGAAGTAATGGAAGCCATGTTTATGTCTGAATTGCAATTGTGTGAGCAAGTTTTATTTTTATTTTATACAAACTCTCAGTTAAACACAGACTAACATGACTTTCAGTGAGGTGGGCAAAAAAGCCTAAATATTGATAAGCTCTAACTACTCCAACATTACCTGGTTCAAGATTTGCATTTAATTGGGTATTCACAATGTATGATCACAATGAATGTCATCAATTCACACTCCCGACGTAAAGATGGAATTGTTGGTGGAGCTGGTCAACTCAAACAACACTGTAACCAGCTCATCTTTACACACACTTTATACTTGTAGTTTTGTACAAAGGAAGCAAATAGATTTGGTAAGGGAGAAGTGAACATCCCTGAAAGGTTATTTACCCGGATCACAGTGCAAAACTAGCAAAGCCCCAATACTATACCAATTGGACCCACACAAAACACATAATGTGAGACCACCTAGACACTAGTGAGAGACTAGCTGTCCCCCTATTCTATATCTGGTGGGCATGGACTCACCTCCACAGATAACCCACTAAATGAGAGACTAGCAGTTCCCCTTATTCTAGCTGGCTGAGTATGGTTTTACGCCGTTTTTAGCAATATTCCAGCAATATCATGGCGGGGGACACCAGAAATGGGCTTCACAAGTTGTACCCATGTGGGGAATCAAACCAGGGCCTTCGGCGTGACAAGCGAACGCTTTAACCACTAGGCTACCCCACCGCCCCCATCTTATTCTAAGCTAGGTGGGCAGGGACTCACTTGCACCACAGATAACCCACTAAATGAGAGACTAGCAGTCCCCCTTATTCTAAGCTAGTGGACTCACCTCCACCACACAACACACACACAGTGATATTAGGTAGAGACTAGTCAGACTAGTATTCCCCTCTGCAGGTGGGTTCCCCTGTGATTCTGTGTAGGCTGAAGTAACAAAGGATTTACTCACCGGGTGAGCATCCTGTAGGCTTTCTTCCAGCCAGATGCAGGGGATGGACTTGTCAATCAGTGTGAGAAAAGAGTCCAACTGCTGGTGGAGAGATAAAGCTAAGGCATCGTAGTGAAACTGTACCAGTGCCCTCATCAGAGAGTTGACTTCCTCTGAAACACAATTCTAATAATGCATTTATAATGCACTTGAATGCACATAAAGGATATTACTTCAATACATAAGAATGAAGCATCCATGTAGAGATTAGAGGTGGAAGACAGCATATAGTTATGATGGAACAATTAAAAAATAAAACCTTCAAAAACAACATAATTTAAAAAAAATAAAAATATTATTAAAAAATACTCCTAGGCCAAATGTAGAGATAACATCAGGTAATATGATACACCAGGCCTTATCACCCATACTGCATATCCTGATCATGTTGAACATCAGTGCTTGTCACCATCCATTAAACCATGTGGTTAATACTCATGAAGTTGGTCTATGAACATGTGGACACTGTTTCAACAGCAGGGTAAACCTTGTTTGTTTTCAGCAACCTAATACATTCTGTGTCTAGTTCCACATTGACAAGAATCTCTGGAGGGTGGGAGTTGTCATACCAATTACTGGATAAAGCTTTTACTGCTGCTGAGAGATCCTAAAAGATAGGGACTTTTCTAACATTTGGCCTAGGACTATAAAGTAAACTCAGTATGTGAAGGCCACACAGTGATCATTTAGTGGAGATGACTGCAGCTTCACCACCCACCCTTCAAGCTGTCCACTGCCGTGATGATCTTGGCCAGAGCATCAATCAGGGCACAGTCTTCATACTGACTGCCCTCCTTCAGACTCCATCTCAGCTTGTCCCCTTCTTCCTGCTCTTGGAGGAGTGTCTACAGGACAACAAACACTTGTCATTGCATCTACATACCCTGGATGCTCAAACTGAACCAGAGTTAAAGCTACCGATTCCAATACCTTCACAGTAGACAAGGGCCTTCAGATGTTTGGCACAAGTATATCAGTGAGTGAGATTTACTTTGTGTTACATTATTGTTGTTATGACACTATGTCAGCTTGTCGTTGGAGGAAATGCCAACCTGAAGCAGATGCCATGTATACCATAATTATAAAGACAGGAAGTTTTTGTAGACAAACCCAGAAAGCTATTCAAGGGTGAATTCAAGGTTTGGATTTAAACCAATGATCACGTTTTTCTGGTATACAGTACAACAAGAAATTAATGAGAATTTAAAGATTGTAAATTATATTATTTTTTCACTCATTACTCACGTATTAAATGTGAATATTAGCAGAACATAACTCCAAATTCAAAGACAGGTGAACAGTTAGTATTTTGTCAAGTCACCATGGGCAGCAATGCAGGCTTCAATGCGGCGGGGCATACCACTGATCAAGAAGTTAGAAGCCCATTTCTGATGTCCCTCGCCGTGACATTATTGGAATATTGCTGTATGCCGCGTGCATCGTAGTCAATCACGACAACAGAGTTCGATCCTAATCAAGGTGGACGCACTCCACCTTGCATATCTGTCATCAAGGTATGTCGTTCATCTCGGCGTCTGTCCCAGTTATAATGGCCGGAGGTCAAGTACACATATAAAGTTGAGTGTGTGGTCAAGTAGGTGTGTAACTACCTTGGTCCACTTGTCAGTGTTTATGACAACTGTTGACAGCTCCTCATATCTCAGTATTCATGTCGACTCTTCAGGAGAACGCAAACTCCTTCTTGTCGGCAAAACTTCACTGTAAATAGTTTGCTTTAAACAACGGAATCGGCTCATATGTGGAGCAGAGACTGTCCCGTGGGTCTCCTCGCAGAGACTGTCCCGTGGGTCTCCTCTCAGAGACTGTCCCGTGGGTCTCCTCGCGCAGAGACTGTCCCGTGGGTCTCCTCGCAGAGACTGATATAGTGACGTCAACAGTATCGGAGGGCATTTCGATATTCACTCTACAGGATACTCTTCGATACTGTGTGTCGTGAGACTTTGTTGACACACCCCATAACTAAGATCAACATTTCAGTCATTCTTGTGGTTTTGTGAAACCCTGTGGTCGGAAAACTGAAGCCGGGTCGGTGGCCGGCCCCTGGACTGCGAGTTATGTTGACCACCTCTGTTCAGTCAAGCGTGGTACCAGAGACCATACAATAGATTATATAGTCTGTCTCACAGTCCCTGAACCACTAACAGTACAACCAGAAATTATTGAGAATTTAAAGATTGTAAATTTTATATTTTTTTCACTCATTACTCACGTATTAAATGTGAATATTAGCAGAACATAACTCCAGATTCAAAGACAGGTGAACAGTTAGTATTTTGTCAAGTCACCAAGGGCAGCAATGCAGGCTTCAATGCGGCGGGGCATACTACTGATCAAAGAAGTTAGAAAGTCGTTGTCCATGCTGTCCCAATATCGCACCACCTCTTCTTTCATTTCAGCAATATTTGTCAGATTTTTCTTATTGACACTTTCCTTCATAAGTCCCCAAACATTTTCTATTGGATTTAGGTCAGGGCTATAGCTTGGCCAATCTAATAATGTCATATTTGGGTCCGAAACCAGGCCTGTGAATGCTTTGAACGATGTTTTGGGTCGTTGTCCTGCTGGAAAATCCAAACATTTCCATAGAACACATGAGCAGATGGAAGTAAATGTCCCTCAAGAATATCTGTGTACCGCTCACTGTTCATATTCCCTTCAAATACACAGAGGGGCGTTGCCCCTAACACAGATATGCCACCCCACACGCTGATACAAAGGTTTTTCAGTTTGTTTGGTCCAGAATTTCAGTGTATTAGGAAACAGCCACACAGAACTTTCATCTGAGAAAATCACATTGTCCCAGTTAAAATTTCTATGCTGTAAGCACCAGTTCAACCTTCGCCCCTTTTGTTCAGGTTCCATGATTGGTGATGGAATTCCTCGACTTTTCTGCAAACCCATTCCATTCGGCTCAGTTCTGATTGTCTCCTTACAGAAAGCCACAGTTCCTCTATCAATCATATCCAGCCGTAAGTATTCTAAACTCCTTCGTTTGTTTTTAGAAACAAGAATACCAAGCCGCCTCCTGTCACCGACAGTCAATTTTCTGGGCCTACCTGCACCTCCCTGGTGCTCAATGCCATATCCATTTGCAATATTTTTCAAAACACGATAAACAGTGGACAAAGGGATGCCTGTTCTACTTGAAATCACTTTAGCTGATCTGATGTCCTTGTTATAATACTCTAAAATCAACTTCCTCTTCTCTAACTCATCCATACTGAGGATCACTGAAAATGTCGTCTGCTAACAAGTAAACAAAGGGGGATAACTCTTCACAAACTAATGAAAAAGGATTAACGGAGTTGTCTGTCTTGAATGAAACCAAGCACTTGATAGCTGGTCAAGGTTGTTTATACTAGAAATCCAATCAAACATATTCCTAAAATTCTCAATAATTTCTGGTCATACTATAACTATCAGAAGCAACTCTGCATGACTTATATCCGTAAGGTTGATGACGTATAAATATCACTAACATGTCTCTGCAGTGAATATAACTTGCACATAGTTTTTCCCGTCAATATCAGTATGTAATCTCAACCATACCCAGTTCTGCGACTGATGACTGTCGACCTCTGGCTATTGTAGGAGTAGTGAGAGGACTGAAGACTGGCCCCTGTAGCACTGCTTGTGTCAGAGAACAAGTCAGAGTCCATATTGTTGCAAGGCACATCACCATCTAAACAGAAGGTTGTCAGCTGTTACTAAACTAAATGAAGTAAAAGTACATTTGACTCCTCACACAATTTGTTTATCTTCTCCATGTTTTCAGATAGAATTATAGATTACACAATGTACAACCTGTCTGTGTTTCCCTGTCCTTCCTTTCAGTGTATGTCCCAGTGTATGACCCAGTGTATGTCCCAGTGTATTAGTGAGTAAGTTGGGTTTTACGCCGCTTTTAACAATGTTCCAGCAATATCAATGCGGGGGATACGAGAAATGGGCTTCACACATGTTACCCATATGGGGAATCAAACCCAGTCCTTCAGCGTGACCAGCGAACGCTTTAACCACTAGGCAACCTCACCGCCCCCCACCCACCCCCAGTGTATGACCCAGTGCATGTCCCAGTGTATGACCCAGTGTATGTCCCAGTGTATGTCCCAGTGTATGAGCCAGTGTGTGTCCCAGTGTATGAGCCAGTGTATGTCCCAGTGTATGAGCCAGTGTATGTCCCAGTGTATGTCCCAGTGTATGAGCCAGTGTATGTCCCAGTGTATGACCCAGTGTATGAGCCAGTGTATGTCCCAGTGTATGTACCAGTGTATGACCCAGTGTATGAGCCAGTGTATGTACCAGTGTATGACCCAGTGTATGTCCCAGTGTATGTACCAGTGTATGTCCCAGTGTATGTACCCAGTGTATGTCCCAGTGCATGAACCAGTGCATGGCCCAGTGAATGGCCCAGTGTATGTCCCAGTGTATGACCCAGTGTATGTCCCAGTGTATGTCCCAGTGCATGAACCAGTGCATGAACCAGTGTATGACCCAGTGCATGAACCAGTGTATGACCCAGTGTATGTCCCAGTGTATGTCCCAGTGTATGAGCCAGTGTATGTCCCAGTGCATGAACCAGTGTATGACCCAGTGTATGTCCCAGTGTATGAGCCAGTGTATGTCCCAGTGTATGAGCCAGTGTATGTCCCAGTGTATGAGCCAGTGTATGTCCCAGTGTATGTCCCAGTGTATGAGCCAGTGTATGTCCCAGTGTATGAGCCAGTGTATGTCCCAGTGTATGACCCAGTGTATGTCCCAGTGTATGACCCAGTGTATGTCCCAGTGTATGTACCAGTGTATGTCCCAGTGTATGTCCCAGTGTATGAACCAGTGTATGACCCAGTGTATGACCCAGTGTATGTCCCAGTGTATGAACCAGTGTATGACCCAGTGTATGACCCAGTGTATGTCCCAGTGCATGAACCAGTGTATGACCCAGTGTATGACCCAGTGTATGTCCCAGTGCATGAGCCAGTGTATGTCCCAGTGTATGTACCAGTGTATGTCCCAGTGTATGTCCCAGTGTATGTCCCAGTGTATGACCCAGTGTATGACCCAGTGTATGTCCCAGTGTATGACCCAGTGTATGTCCCAGTGTATGAACCAGTGTATGACCCAGTGTATGACCCAGTGTATGACCCAGTGCCCAGTGCATGAACCAGTGTATGACCAAGTGAATGGCCCAGTGTATGTCCCAGTGTATGACCCAGTGTATGTCCCAGTGTATGAACCAGTGCATGAACCAGTGTATGACCCAGTGTATGTCCCAGTGCATGAACCAGTGAATGTCCCAGTGTATGTCCCAGTGTATGACCCAGTGTATGTCCCAGTGCATGAACCAGTGTATGACCCAGTGAATGGCCCAGTGTATGTCCCAGTGTATGACCCAGTGTATGTCCCAGTGCATGAACCAGTGCATGAACCAGTGTATGACCCAGTGTATGTCCCAGTGCATGAACCAGTGAATGTCCCAGTGTATGTCCCAGTGTATGTCCCAGTGCATGAACCAGTGTATGACCCAGTGTATGACCCAGTGTATGTCCCAGTGCATGAACCAGTGTATGACCCAGTGTATGAACCAGCGGACTCCTATCCAAGCTGCTGTTGTGGGTTATGACAGGAGGTACACTGTTTGTCATCACCCAGCTGTGTCGTCTCAAGTACCCCGTATTTGCTGATGTCATAATGACAATCGCTGTATTTATCAAAATCAAATCTGCAATTTGCTAACCCAGCAACTCACAGTAACTGCTGTCATTACTTGCCTATTGAACAATACATTGAACATTAGTGAAAACGAGAGTGGCAAACCAGGCAATATAATACTGGTAATCTGCACAGATGAAACATAAACTGCTTTTTCTTGTTTGTATTTTAGTGAATGTGAACTAAAATCTCAAATGGTAAGTTTCGATCCCACGTTCCTATTTCAAAGGAGTTTAAATTACTCATACAGAAAATCTTGAAACATGGTTCTAAGTGATTAAACCCCAGAAGTAATGAACTATGGTTCAACTTCTAAACACTTCCCTGCTCACTTTACTGATTTCTCATAGTGAAACAATGTGCTCAAGAGTTTTGTACAAGAAGTCTATGTCATCATCCACTGTCCACTAGCAATCCCCTCCATTCTATGCTAGGTGGACACTCAGCTTCACAGATAACACAGTTTCACAATTACCCCATTCTTTCAGAACTCTTCAGTCAATACTCATGTCTGACTTGTTGCCCCCTGTGACGTGGCTCACCAACCAACTCACCCAGAATCTCCAGTTTCTGTTTCTCCCTCTGCTCCCGAACAACACTAAGTCTTTTCTTGTGTTTCTCGAAATTATCACGGTACTCCTCAAGAGTCTCCAAGTGTTGTTCATGACATTCTAGAAGAGCAGTCTTCAGATTTGTTTCAATGAAATCAGTTCTTCTGTGTTGGTGCATCTGTAGAACAAACAACTGCTGATATAGAAAGTTATTCCCTGTACTTGCCACCACCAAACCTTGTAAGGTATGGACATAACACTTGCAAGGTGATGGTGAGTATGTTTCATATTCATATCTTCAATCTATATCTCTGCTGGGCGAACATAATAACTTGTGCCCAGGAGATAAATATGTATGTACAATAATGTGAGCTGAACTGTAAAAATGCATTATGGAAATGCCAACTGGTAAGTTATCAGGTAAATGTGGTGAGGAGAGGAAGTCAAGAAGATGAAGCATTGTTTCATTCTGACAAGGGTTCATACTGGCACTCACCATTCTCAATGCTTCTTCCCACAATGCACCTTCTATAAGGCAGACAATGGCCTCCTCAACATCCTGAAAGGAACAAATCTTTATAATGTAATTATTTATATTTACATTAACTTAATCCCAATGAAAAAACTCTGAGACAGTATGTGATTGGATTTGGGTTTTCTATCAGTGAAGGTCCCTCTATACAGGGACTCTCTGTCATCATGTCACCATCACAAGATTACCCAGGCCTGGTGATTACAACAGCAGCACTGAAGTATAGATGTTTCTCATGTATACATGCTACACAGGCATGGACTGTGTGTGTAGTCAAGCATGAAGTGGATATGAAGATGACAGGCATGGACTGTGTGTGTAGTCAAGCATGAAGTGGATATGAAGATGACAGGCATGGACTGTGTGTGCAGTCAAGCATGAAGTGGATATGAAGATGACAGGCATGGACTGTGTGTGTAGTCAAGCATGAAGTGGATATGAAGGTGACAAGCATAGACTGTGTGTGTAGTCAAGCATGAAGTGGATATCAAGATGACAGGCATGGACTGTGTGTGCAGTCAAGCATGAAGTGGATATGAAGGTGACAAGCATGGACTGTGTGTGTAGTCAAGCATGAAGTGGATATGAAGGTGACAAGCATGGACTGTGTGTAGTCAAGCATGAAGTGGATATGAAGGTGACAAGCATGGACTGTGTGTGTAGTCAAGCATGAAGTGGATATCAAGATGACAAGCATGGACTGTGCGTGTAGTCAAGCATGAAGTGGATATGAAGGTGACAAGCATGGACTGTGCGTGTAGTCAAGCATGAAGTGGATATGAAGGTGACAAGCATGGACTGTGTGTGTAGTCAAGCATGAAGTGGATATCAAGATGACAAGCATGGACTGTGTGTGTAGTCAAGCATGAAGTGGATATGAAGGTGACAAGCATGGATTGTGTGTGTAGTCAAGTATGAAGTGGATATCAAGATGACAAGCATGGACTGTGTGTGTAGTCAAGCATGAAGTGGATATGAAGGTGACAAGCATGGACTGTGTGTGTAGTCAAGCATGAAGTGGATATGAAGGTGACAAGCATGGACTGTGTGTGTAGTCAAGCATGAAGTGGATATGAAGATGACAGGCATGGACTGTGTGTGCAGTCAAGCATGAAGTGGATATGAAGATGACAAGCATGGACTGTGTGTGTAGTCAAGCATGAAGTGGATATCAAGATGACAGGCATGGACTGTGTGTGCAGTCAAGCATGAAGTGGATATCAAGATGACAAGCATAGACTGTGTGTGTAGTCAAGCATGAAGTGGATATCAAGAAGACAAGCATGGACTGTGTGTGTAGTCAAGCATGAAGTGGTTATCAAGACGACAGGCATGGACTGTGTGTGTAGTCAAGCATGAAGTGGATATGAAGGTGACAAGCATGGACTGTGCGTGCAGTCAAGCATGAAGTGGATATGAAGGTGACAAGCATGGACTGTGCGTGTAGTCAAGGATGAAGTGATTATGAAGATGACAAGCATGGACTGTGTGTGTAGTCAAGCATGAAGTGGATATGAAGATGACAAGCATGGACTGTGTGTAGTCAAGCATGAAGTGGATATGAAGGTGACAAGCATGGGCTGTGTGTAGTCAAGCATGAAGTGGATATGAAGATGACAAGCATGGACTGTGTGTGTAGTCAAGCATGAAGTGGATATGAAGATGACAAGCATGGACTGTGTGTGTAGTCAAGCATGAAGTGGATATGAAGGTGACAAGCATGGGCTGTGTGTGTAGTCAAGCATGAAGTGGATATGAAGGTGACAAGCATGGACTGTGTGTGTAGTCAAGCATGAAGTGGATATGAAGGTGACAAGCATGGACTGTGTGTAGTCAAGCATGAAGTGGATATGAAGATGACAAGCATGGACTGTGTCTGTAGTCAAGCATGAAGTGGATATGAAGGTGACAAGCATGGACTGTGTGTAGTCAAGCATGAAGTGGATATGAAGATGACAAGCATGGACTGTGTGTAGTCAAGCATGAAGTGGATATGAAGATGACAAGCATGGACTGTGTGTGTAGTCAAGCATGAAGTGGATATGAAGATGACAAGCATGGACTGTGTGTAGTCAAGCATGAAGTGGATATGAAGAAGACAAGCATGGACTGTGTGTAGTCAAGCATGAAGTGGATATGAAGGTGACAAGCATGGACTGTGTGTGTAGTCAAGCATGAAGTGGATATGAAGGTGACAAGCATGGACTGTATGTAGTCAAGCATGAAGTGGATATGAAGATGACAAGCATGGACTGTGTGTGTAGTCAAGCATGAAGTGGATATGAAGGTGACAAGCATGGACTGTGTGTAGTCAAGCATGAAGTGGATATGAAGATGACAAGCATGGACTGTGTGTGTAGTCAAGCATGAAGTGGATATGAAGATGACAAGCATGGACTGTGTGTGTAGTCAAGCATGAAGTGGATATGAAGATGACAAGCATGGACTGTGTGTAGTCAAGCATGAAGTGGATATGAATAGGACAAGCATGGACTGTGTGTAGTCAAGCATGAAGTGGATATGAAGGTGACAAGCATGGACTGTGTGTGTAGTCAAGCATGAAGTGGATATGAAGATGACAAGCATGGACTGTGTGTGTAGTCAAGCATGAAGTGGATATGAAGGTGACAAGCATGGACTGTGTGTGTAGTCAAGCATGAAGTGGATATGAAGACAAGCATGGACTGTGTGTGTAGTCAAGCATGAAGTGGATATGAAGATGACAAGCATGGACTGTGTGTAGTCAAGCATGAAGTGGATATGAAGATGACAAGCATGGACTGTGTGTGTAGTCAAGCATGAAGTGGATATGAAGATGACAAGCATGGACTGTGTGTGTAGTCAAGCATGAAGTGGATATGAAGATGACAAGCATGGACTGTGTGTGCAGTCAAGCATGAAGTGGATATGAAGAAGACAGGCATGGACTCTGTGTGTAGTCAAGCATGAAGTGGATATGAAGAAGACAAGCATGGACTGTGTGTAGTCAAGCATGAAGTGGATATGAAGAAGACAGGCATGGACTGTGTGTGTAGTCAAGCATGAAGTGGATATGAAGGTGACAAGCATGGGCTGTGTGTAGTCAAGCATGAAGTGGATATGAAGAAGACAAGCATGGACTGTGTGTAGTCAAGCATGAAGTGGATATAAAGACGACAAGCATGAACTGTGTGTGTAGTCAAGCATGAAGTGGATATGAAGACAAGCATGGACTGTGCGTGTAGTCAAGCATGAAGTGGATATGAAGACGACAAGCATGGACTTTGTGTGTAGTCAAGCATGAAGTGGATATGAAGACGACAAGCATGGACTGTGTGTGTAGTCAAGCATGAAGTGGATATGAAGGTGACAAGCATGGACTGTGTGTGTAGTCAAGCATGAAGTGGATATCAAGAAGACAAGCATGGACTGTGTGTGTAGTCAAACATGAAGTGGATATGACGACAGCAAGCATGGACTGTGTGTGTAGTCAAGCATGAAGTGGATATCAAGACGACAAGCATGGACTTTGTGTGTAGTCACGGATGAAACATACCTCAGCATATCTCTCGAACACAACTGCAGCATCGTTGAAATTTTTCATACTTTGCAGCTGACCTGGTAATGCAATAAACACAAATAAAAATTCAATCTCAGCATCTGTGCATGAACTAAGAAACCATTGTTTGAATAAGGCAGCTAGGACTATGTCACCCAAATACCTACTCTAGTTGTCTTTTGAGCTAAGTAAGAAGATGACATTATAACAACTGAGAAACATGTCACAACCTTGCTGCTACCTGTGTTACAACCTCACTGTGTGACAACCTCCCTACCTCACAACCTTGCTGCTACCTGTGTTGCAACCTCACTGTGTGACAACCTCCCTACCTCACAACCTTGCTACTACCTGTGTTACAACCTCCCTACCTTACAACCTTGCTGCTACCTGTGTGACAACCTCCAACTTACGTGCACACTGTCTGGCAATCTCTGCCTCCTTTTCAGAAGAGTAACCAAGTTTGACAGTCAGACAGAACATCTGTCTCCAGTTGTTGCAGGCTGTGAATGCTTCCAATGCCAGCTCCCACTCTTCAGCTTTGATGTACATCACTCCTGCCTCGTCTGAACGGTTCTTCTCACACAGGTAGTTCCCATACAATGTTGCTAATTGCTGTAATACACATTACACTGGCTTCATGATTCTTCTGTGTAAACATAACACACAGTTTACATACAATGTCGCACATTAATGTAAACCACATAACATTTGCATCATGTCATATCTGGACACATAATAGTTCACAGTCAGACAACTATCAGATTATGGGGGGCCAAACTGGATTTCATTCACCTTCTTGTTAGTGTGTTGTTCAATGCCATACTGGACAGTACTCCAGCTGTATGATGGTAGCGTGTAAAGACAAAGCAAGACAATGCGTGTAAGGTTCACCAATACCCCCTACCAACTTCAGATTCGCAACAATCAGTAATGATTCTTGATATTCTTGAAAAAAAGACAAGATTGGCAATTCACCTTTCCTATAAATAAAGAAACCATTACCCAAATCTAAAAAGAATATTCCAATAAATGACTGGAATGTTATTGGTTGAACAACTTTGATGTGACTTTTGAGTTCAAGAGATGTAATTTGTGATAATTCTCGACAAATTAAAAATATCACAATATAACTTTGAACTGCATCTCTCCTTCAGACAAAGAGGGTGATCACCAAATTTGGAAACAATCCATTTAACTCTTTCAGAAATAAAAAATTGGAACCCAACTTTGCACTCTACCTCTCCTTTAGACAAAAAGCTTATTATTAACCTGGATCTTACTGGCTTTAACCTTAATGCCTTTTGATCAAATGTTATGATGCATGAGAAAATGATGTACAATACATCATCAGTAGTAGGCCTCTGGGCTTCATGCCACTGATCAGTCACAGCTTCATAGCCCTGCTAACATGTCGGAGGTTATATGATTATGGTATTAATTCTGTGGATAACATTTAATAGGAAAGTTTATAATGTCCTTACAATGTCATCAAAAGCTATCACTGCCCATAATGTTAAAATGGAATAAACAAGAACTGAGTTATGACATAAAGTAATTTTGTGAGTAAGAAGTGGGTTCCAGCTACCTTGAACTGTGAAGTCCCTGGGGCAAATAGCTTCAGAGCATCCCCATACAACTTGTGCTCCTCTACAAAAGTCAGACATTCTTGGAACTTGTCGTCACCTGCAGGAAAAACACGAGGGAAACATTAAAAAAATAGGATGACTCTCTCTGTGGCATACATGTTAGACTCACAACAAATGGACAAGGGTTAGGAGGTGCCCTGTAGGATGACTCTCTGCACCATACATGTTAGACTCACAACAACTGGACAAGGGTTAGGAGGTGCCCTGTAGGATGACTCTCTGCGCCATACATGTTAGACCCATAATATCTGGACAAATGTTAGGAGGTGCCCTGTAGGATGACTCTCTGCGCCATACATGTTAGACCCACAATATCTGGACAAGTGTTAGGAGGTGCCCTGTAGGATGACTCTCTCTGTGGCATACATGTTAGACCCACAATATCAGGACAAGTGTTAGGAGGTGCCCTGTAGGATGACTCTCTGCGCCATACATGTTAGACCCACAATATCAGGACAAGTGTTAGGAGGTGCCCTGTAGGATGACTCTCTCTGTGGCATACATGTTAGACCCACAATATCTGGACAAGTGTTAGGAGGTGCCCTGTAGGATGACTCTCTCTGTGGCATACATGTTAGACCCACAATATCAGGACAAGTGTTAGGAGGTGCCCTGTAGGATGACTCTCTCTGTGGCAAACATGTTAGACCCACAATATCAGGACAAGTGTTAGGAGGTGCCCTGTAGGATGACTCTCTCTGTGGCATACATGTTAGACCCACAATATCAGGACAAGTGTTAGGAGGTGCCCTGTAGGATGACTCTCTGCGCCATACATGTTAGACCCATAATATCTGGACAAATGTTAGGAGGTGCCCTGTAGGATGACTCTCTGCGCCATACATGTTAGACCCACAATATCAGGACAAGTGTTAGGAGGTGCCCTGTAGGATGACTCTCTCTGTGGCATACATGTTAGACCCACAATATCAGGACAAGTGTTAGGAGGTGCCCTGTAGGATGACTCTCTCTGTGGCATACATGTTAGACCAACAATATCAGGACAAGTGTTAGGAGGTGCCCTGTAGGATGACTCTCTTTGTGGCATACATGTTAGACCCACAATATCTGGACAAGTGTTAGGAGGTGCCCTGTAGGATGACTCTCTTTGTGGCATACATGTTAGACTCACAACAACTGGACAATGGGTGGGTTGAGTGGGTGGGTGGATGGATGGATGGATGGATGGATGGATGGATGGATGGATGGATGGATGGATGGATGGATGGATGGATGGATGGATGGATGGATGGATGGATGTAAACTCACCACATCCAGCAATGTGTTGCAGAGCCTTTCTGAAGCGGCGGAGATGTTGATCAATGGCAAACCTGCGGTAATTATCCTCCATCCTACGCAGTTTGTTCAGGAATGGAATATACTCCTTCGGGTCCTGACATCACCCAAAAACACAACATCAATAGAATATGCCAATGTTATTGAATACTATAGTCAGCAATATACCAGCTGAAACATGAGTGAAGCCTCGGGATGATTAAGTCGGAAACAATCCTGTTTCTGAGCTATGATGGAATCAATAAAGTCACAGATCTGACATCTGATCCTTATAACATAATGTTTTTTTCCTTATAAAGAGTTTCCATCCACATAATGATTACTTAAATCCATCCCACCAAGAACTAAAACTCACATAAAAATATAATGCATAAAAAAATAATCTTAAGGGACTGTTCATAATTTATGGCTAGGGGGGATGATGATGATTGTTATGTTGAAGCCTGTACAATGTGAGTGACCCCCCTAAAATTCATGTACAAAATAAGTGACCTCCCTGCATGTCATGTACAAAATCAATGACCCCCTTCCCCTTCCCATAATTTCTAAGCATAATTTGAAACATATTTTTATGTACAAAATTGCTGAACTCCTCCCCCCAAGTATGTGTGAACAAAATTGCTGCCCCCTAGTTCCCCAGAACAAAATGGGTGACCCCTTAACATCATTTCTCCCCCTCTCTCTTCTCTTTTCTCTCTCTCCCCCAAAAAACCCCAACAAACAACAACAACAAAACAAACAAACAAAACAACAAAACAAAACAAAACAAAACAAAACAAAACAAAACAAAACAAAACAAAACAAAACAAAACAAAACAAAACAAAACAAAACAAAAAAACCCAAACATTTTGAGCGGTCCCTAAGTACATCTACAGTTGTACACAGAGGCATATTTGGTAAACCCCTTTCTCGGACAATCAAACAGACTTTTCTAGTCAAGTATGTAATACAGTGTATTTTATATACCAAAACAAAAGATATGTTTGTATTTTTGTTTGCTGTCGAAGTCAGCAACATTCCCAGTATCACAGCAACATTGAAATACTTGAGTGTTGGCCTGACCAGCTAATGATTGATATTACTAAGAACATCCCATGCTGTAGAAGGAAGACAGCAATGTCACAGAGTCTGGGAATCCCAATTTAAATGTCTCTCTAAATGAGTTCTGGGGACCTCTTGTAACCTGGATGTGATGGGGAGCTGGACAAAATGTCAAGATGGAACTACAAACATAGGAATGAAAACATAAAGTGATACAGATTTCACCTTCTGAGATTTCTCTGCAACCATCAACACAAGGTCAAAGTCATAAGATCCAAGAGCCACATCATACAGTTCATTGACATCAACAAGGAAGAGCAGGTACTTTAGCGTCTCCTCCGCCGTGACAGTGACTCCCTCCTTTCTTGTCTCTGCATTGACATGTGTACATCATGAATACCATGTAGAAACAACAATGAGCAAGTGCATGAATGAGAATAACAGTTCCTAGATGCGACATCCTGATGGTTCTGAAATGTGACAAGATCAAATACAGAGGCAAATTTCAACAAAATATTATGTCTACATCATTGTTTCATGAAAATGTAATTTTTAGAGTAAAATTGATATTTTATACTTATCCTGACTCATGCTCTTTTGCTTGTCTTCTTCTTCTTGCGAACATAGTGGAACACTTGTATCTCCTTATTTGAAGCTCCCTTCAAAATAAAATCACTAATTGGTACTCACCACGAGTTGCTCCCCTTTGTCTCCCCTGGCGGGAAAAGGTGTCGCCACCCTCTGGCCATGTGCTCCACTCTCTCCTGATTTAGCGAGCCCAACACTTGAATTTACAGGGAAATCCAAAGTGTTATGTGGGGAAGGATGGGAGGGTTAACCTCATGAGTCAGGATAAGTATAAAATATCAATTTTACTCTAAAATTACATATTTTTCCTTATCCTGACTCATGCTCTTTGCTTGTAGCATCCTACGGAACGGAGGTGGGTAACAGAATACTTTGGATTTATAATTAGTGATTTTGTATAGATATACTGTAATATCCCCTACGGGAACTTCATGAAGCCTTAGATTTAGGATGTTTCCTGTATAAAGAAAACCATAGGTTATATAAAGCCATTAAAGGGGAATTACATTATGAATATATTGAACAATACATATAAATTATATATATATATATATAGGTGACTCTGATAGAGGCACTGAAATTGACTATATCCAAGTATATGCTTAAGGTAGAATACTTAAGCTGAACATATATACATAGCCCTAAAACTCCTTAGAGTTATAAGCTAGATGAGTATGTATAAAATACATATTAATCTTGTGAGGCTAATATTTTAACGCCTACGAGGGACTGTCAGTTGCTGAGCGAGGAGACATCTTCTGTAGTGATGTCTCTTAGGTAGTGATTAGCAAATACCATGTTAGATTTCCAATAGCATCCTTCCATAATCGTGTTCAAGGAACAGTTACCGTGTAGGGCGAGGGTAGAGGCCAGTGCCCTGATCTCATGTGGATTTGATGCTGTTGGTGGGTCCAAGCCTGCTGCCTTGTAGGCACGGAGAATGACAGTCCTTATCCAAATAGATATTGTGGTCCGTGACACTTCTGTTTGATTAAGTGGCGATAATGGGATGAATAAGCGTTTGAAAATCTTCTCCTTGTTTTGGATCGTCAGTAAATAAACTTTGGCTCTTACGGACACAGTGATAGGTCTTGTGTATCTTGTGATCCGAGAATAGAGGATAGCGCCGGGATGTGGAATAATCTGTCTGGTTGACCTGGCAGTTGATTCTTTGCAATGAAATCCCATCTTAATCCGAGGAGTGCTGTGTTATGATTGTCATCAAACTGTATCCTCTCGTAATCCAGAGCGTGAATTTCAGACATTCTTGCTGCTGTGGCTAGCGATAGCAGAAACAATGTTTTCTGTGAGAGAAATTCAAAGTTTGTCGATTCAAGGGTTCATAGACCTCACTTTCGTGAGGTGTTGTAACACTACATTCAGATCCCAAGCTGGAAGTGGAACTTCCGCTTTTGGTCCTCAATCGAAAGCTTCGTAGTAAGGCCAGTAACTCTGGAGATCTTGTCAATTTGACACCCGTTCTCATGGTGATTACAGAGCTAAGCGCGGCAAGATATGTTGATATCGTTGAACCTTTTAAATGTTTGTTTTGGCGTAGGTAACACAAATAGTCTGCCACTTGAGGTTGTGAAGCCTCTCTTGCTGTAAACCCTTTCTTTGTTGCATAATTTTCAAACTGTGCCACTTGTCGTCGTACAAGTTCACGAGTTGAGTAGCGAAAAGGCAAGCGTGACTGCTTTTGCCGCCCTGGCAGAATATCCTCTCTTGTTTAAACACATTTGTATACAGTCCATACGTGTAGTTGGAACATTGCTGGGTTTCCGTGCACTTGTTTGGTGTGAGGATGAATTAACAGGTTTCTTGGCGCTTAGGTAGCTCCAGTGTTGGTTGACCGATTTCTTGAATTAGTATGGGAAACCGCGTTCTGGCCGGCCAGTAGAGCGACCAAAGTGAGTTGTAGGCTCTGTGTTTGTCTGATTTTCTGTAATACTTGAGGTATTATTGCTGGCTGAAGCAGCGTCGCGCGTGAGGCCTTCCCATGATAGACTTAGGCGTCCGTTGCCCAAGCTTGGGGGTCTGGGACTGGTGACCACGAATGTCGGTAGCTGATTGTTGAATCGGCGTGGCGAATAGGTCTATTAGCGGCTCCTAATTGCTTGATTATCTGTGCAAAATTTCCGGTTGATCATCCACTCTGTCGGTGATGGTAGATGAGGCCGAGAGAGAAGCGTCTGCTAGTATATTTCTGGCTCGGGGAATGTGCACTGCTCTGACATGTAGATTTAGATCTTGTATTAAATCGAACAGTTGAAAGCTTAGGTTCAAAAGGTTCATCGATCTCGTTGAGCCTTGCTTGTTTATGTAGAACGCCACTGTCGAATTGTCTGTATGGATCATTAGTGCATTTTGTAAAATGTGCTCCAATGTAGAATGGCGTTGATTACAGCTTTCATTTCTAGACTGTTTATATGGAGTTTGCATTCTTGCTGATTCCATAACCCTGATATCGTGTGGTTGGTGAGATGAGCTCCCCAACCTTGGAGTAACGGCGATCTACATACAGATGGGTTTTGTATTCCTGCTCTGCTAAACAAATCCCTTAAACGCAGACATTCGATTTCTTGGTCCACCATAGTAGATGTGGTCTGAGATGTTTGGTAGACTGAATGGTTGTACATCGTTGAGATGTCGTTGATGAGGACCTGTAGGGGGCGTAACTTGTAATCTGCCTGTGACAGTCATGTCTTGGGCTGATGTGAAGACCTAGTAGGCTCTGCCATTGTCGCGAGTAGTAGCGGAGAGAGTAGAGCTGGTGGAATGGTCTGTTGTATCTTGAGCCAACGGTCTTCTGGTACCATAATACGGTTATGATTTGTGATGAATCGAATACCTAGGAACTGTAGGTCTTATACGCGATGGTACTAGGTCCGACTTATGTAAGTTTACTAACCAACCTAGTTGTGTTAGTAGCTTTATGATGTAATTTAACTGTAGTTTGAGACGCCAGGGATCTTGATCTACTTGTATCCCGTCGTCGAGGTAAAACGCACTGGCGTAGCCCTTGGACGATGTAGAAATTTGATAATCGGTTTAATTATCCTCGTGAATAGCCAGGGGCTGATGATATTCGAATGGGAGTACTTTCCACTGGTAATGTAGCCCTTCTAGAGTAAATCGTAGGTATTTCCTGGAATCGGGATGAATGGGGATGTGCAAGTAGGCATCCTGTAGATCTATGCTGCCCATGTAGTCCATAGGACCGAATCATCTGGCGTAACTGAGGTAAATGTATCATGTTGAAACTTCGTGGTTTATGAGATAGTTCTTGTTGAAAAAGCTCATGTTGTAGATGAGTCTGTATTTCTCCGTGGAGTTTTCTTGGGAACTAGGAAAACTGGGGAGTAGAAACCTGGTTCGGCGTTTGCTTGGTCTATTACTTCTATGGCCTGTTTGGATAGGAGTGATGAGACAGCCTCTTTATCTTTGGTAGTTGTTGCTTTGTAAATCGAACTTGGGGGTTTGATTGTCAGCGAGGCTTGTCCTGTAGAGGGATCTGAAATCCGTGTTGAATAATGTTGGAGACGTAAGGATCTTGCAGTATTCCCCAGTTTTCCCAGTGTAGTTGAGGCGTCCACCCACTTGAGCTGGTTGTACTGGAACGGCTGGGGTGGAAGACTCCAGTCGTTCGAACCTGTGTTTCAGCGTCTATAATTGGCGGAACCTCTGGGTGTCCTGCCTCTTCCTGATCCTCCTCTATAGTTGCCATATGGGCTTACTGAAAAGAATCTTACCTCTAGAGCTGGCTATCTTCCTGTCTCTTGCTCTTTGTAGGCCCGTGAACTTAGATCTGCCTGAGTATCTTTGTGAAGTCTGAATCAATGAATGGCTGGCTAGTGTGTCCATCGATCTAATCATAAGGACTTCCCTGGAATCATTAGAGACTTCCTTGGCGACCTTGTCGATTTCTCCGTCAAAGATGGATGTTGTCGACCACGGGGCTGTATAAAGTGGGGCTGTAAAGTTCTCCCCCCAATTACAGGAGGCGAGGAGGCCTTGACGACGAGCTAAGGTCAGTGCTGCTGAAACAGATGTAAGATGATCCGTTAAAAACTGCTGATCTTTCTTTTGCATAAGTAAGGCAGAATAAATCATTCTATCATCTTCCGTCAGGTGGAATCCGGAATCTAGTAATAAGAGTCTCATTGATCGTCCTAGATCTATTTAACCCAAAGAACATCACGTCTCGTCATGGTTTCTATATGAGCCAACTTATGCGATCATCCATCTTGTAAATCTTGTTCTTTACATCGCTGATGATCTTATAGTTCTCATCGATGTCCTGGGCCTTGTAGAAGGAGTCCATGTTATGCGTGGAGAACTTCTTGGCTTGAAAGTTGGGTAGATGTGGTATCTGAACTTTCGTAGCTTTCTGGAAAGCTGCATCTAGATTCGTGGCACTGCACCGCAATCGGGTCGATGTCGGGGTAGAGTGATTGCATCTGGATCATCTTCCTTCATCAAATCACGTCTGAGCTGTATACGCCACTTTTAGATGGTGATGTGAGATCTAGGTTATTGACCATCCAATACCGTATCTCTGCATCAGAAAATATGATTCCTCCATCATCCTCAAAACCATCATCATTAATAAATTGTAGATGCTCTTCCGGGACTGCGTAGCTGTCTGTATATCTGATGAGGTTTGTGGCGATCTAGTTGACTTGTGCGCTACAGCTCTATGTGGAGATCTGATGGGTGATCGACCTGGTGATGAAGCGGAGTGGAGAGTCGTCTATGGGATGATCTTCGGAGGACTTGTGAGGTGAATGTTGATAGCTTCAAGCTCTTCGGCAGTCCCTCGATGTTCTTCTAGGCGATGAAGATCTGGAATCATATGTCCTTAGCGAATGCCTTCGAAGCTTCATTCGTCGGTCGTCCGGGGATCGATGATATGACCGGCGAAGGCTTCCGTGATGTCTGATGGTCTGAGTCCATATCTAGAGATGAAATCGAAGATGGTGATGATCTCTCCCGCCTTCGCGAAGGCCTTCGCGAAGGCTGTACATCTAGGTCCTTCGTCAAGGTGGTGCGGGACTTCATTCCCTTTGAAGGTGACATCGTCTTGGCTGCTACTGGCCGGGGGTGCCTCTGGGGTGCTGTCACGTTGGAGCCTTAAGCGAAGGCTCGGACCCTGCTTGCGCGGTTTGTAGTGGTCCTCCATGATGTTCATAATCTGCCGCATCATGTCTTCTGGGATGATCTGTGGCGAAGTTAAATTAAGTCTTCTTCTCTGCGATTGGTTTCACATCAATGGCGTCTGGCGCCGGGTGTAGAGGCATCAGGCTGCATGGAGATCTCTGCAGAAGTCACAGTCGCTGACACGGTCGCTTCTTCTGCCGTAAGTCGGGGATGATTATCGGCTGATCATCGTAGAGAGCCCAACTCTGCTGCTGGAGCGATCACCGGCTGAGAAAGTTCTTGCTGTCTTCGTAGATTTCCCTTTGGAAGTCTGGCGCTGCCCTGGAGTGTCCTCAATCTGCGTTGAGGCGGCGATGAGGCCCCTCTTAGACTTAGTCTGCAATGGCCGGGATGTCTGGGGAGCCGGTCGCTTTCTCGAGGTAGCGGACTGCGTCCCGTTCCTCTGCCGCAGGGGTCTCTAGCAGAACACCAGGCGGGAGAGGGTCGATCGCTAGCAGCTGACTGGAAGGAATATCTGGACTCTCTGCCATGTTTTGCCCTTGTTTATGCGTGATCTATCTGCAGCACGTCTTAAAGGCGAAAAGATGATATTTATTAAATGCAGAATGAGATAAATTAATGCAGTAACTGCAGCGGAATTAAACGCACGGCTCTTACAAGGTCACACATTCTTCATCAACTCACTTGACTCTGTCTAGTGCATTGATTCTCTTACAAGGTCACACATTCTTCATCAACTCACTTGACTCTGTCTAGTGTAGCATTGATTCTCTTACAAGGTCACACATTCTTCATCAACTCACTTGACTCTGTCTAGTGTAGCATTGATTCTCTTACAAGGTCACACATTCTTCATCAACTCACTTGACTCTGTCTAGTGTAGCATTGATTCTCTTACAAGGTCACACATTCTTCATCAACTCACTTGACTCTGTCTAGTGTAGCATTGATTCTCTTACAAGGTCACACATTCTTCATCAACTCACTTGACTCTGTCCAAGTGTGCTATTGATTCTCTTACAAGGTCACACTTTCTTTATCAACTCACTTGTCTCTGTCCATGTGTGTGAGTGCCTCTCTCACACAGTCACAGACTCTATCCACCTTGGATGTCACCTGGCTGTCTGGCTGTGAGTGTCTGTTGTATGCTGCAGTGTACATGGTAATGGTCACATCTTCCTCCCTGCAACATTAAAGTGTAAAATCTGTGAACATGCTGAATTGGAGTCTGTCATTAGTCCTCTGCTCAACACTTTCTGTTCACACCTTCAACACTAGCCTTGGACCAAGGTGTACACACTAGACTTCTAATAAAGTCAGCCAACTTGACTTGGATTAAGGTACACACACTCTGACTTGGGTATTAAGGAGTGCAGACTAAACCTGGACTGAGTTTTGCTGACTAAACATGCATTAAAATATGCAGACTAGATTTTGAATCAGGCATGCAGACAAAATGTTAATTCAGGCATGGAGTCATGGTGCTGAGACTTGACTAGAACTACAGAGACAAACTACCAGTAAATCATTGCAGTATGTTAAAGTTAAAATTTATACAAACCTGTAGAGGTTATGAATTCTTTGAAGAAAGTCCTCCTTGGGGTACTTATAAGCATTAAAATGTCCATTTTAAAACCTACGACAGTTGTAACTATATTTCAATAAGAATATTTACAAAACGTTCTGCGTTATGAGACCACCCCTACAGGGCCCCGCGGGGCCCCCTACCGGCAAGAGCAGGTAACTCTAGCCGACAACCTCGCACCTCACTTTTCATGCTGAACGGATCAGACAGAATGAGGGGAGGCGGGTGGCGTACCCAAGGAGGACTTTCTTCAAAGAATTCATAACCTCTACAGGTTTGTATAATTCTTTTTCAGAAGAAGTCCTCCTTGGGGTACTTATAAGCATAAAACAGACTCCCAAAGACCAGAAAACCGGGAGTGGCATTCTGTCTGAGACACTGGTCCGATCGCAGTAACTAACTACAGCGGTATGGAAATAGAAATCACACTTACACAGTCACGTGGCCGCCAATGTCAATCAAGGCGGGGTCGTGACTAAGGCGAGGACCCTGGGAGGTCAAAGCTTTGAGCCCATTGGTCAATCGGTACACACACCCACGATAAAACTCCACCTCCCAGCCTGATTGGTGGGAGTGAGTAAAACCTAGGGACTCGCCAAAACGAACTACTGTCCATAGCACACCGCTAGCCAAGCGGGGAAAAATGGAAAATATAAGCCAAAGGCACCGATACCAAAAGAACGGAAATAAAAACCGCCACCATATACCTTCACCAGTGCAAAATAGGGAAGGATAGACCCGACACCAGTGTAAAACACTGAGTAAATCAGCGACAAGGCTCACTCGGCCTGAGGCGTGTTACTCTGTCCACTGTGGAGAACCGTCTGGCCAAACCGAGCACGCTCACGCGAATGTTTGTCCAGCTGATAATGGCGAATGAACGTACTCGGTCGGCTCCAAATAGCCGCGGAGCAGATCTCCTCAATGGGCAGAGCAGCAGCATACGCTTTAGACGTGGCAACTGCTCAAACCGAATGAGCCTTTAAACCCTCTGGGGAGTCATACCCTTGTGTATGTAACCAATACAAATAGCCGACACAATCCACCTCGATAAGGTTTGTGTTGTAGCCGGGTGATCTACTTTACGGCCCCCGTAACAGCAGAATAACTGCTTCTCTTTACGGATGGACGTTGTTCTCTTGACATACGTCTTAAGTGTCTTATGTACATCCAACACATGTACTCTGCGTTTCGCGCTACCAGACGAAGCAGAAAGCGCAAAGGCAGGCAAATCAATAGGAGCGGTGACATGAAACGCTTTATCGATTTTTGGCCGGTAGGAATCAGGTAAGCGAATACTTACCCTATCCTTGTGAAAAACGGTAAGCTCCGGGTCTGAGGACATAGCATGAATGTCCCCAACCCGTCTACCTGAAGTAATGGCCACCAAAAATGCCGCTTTCCAACTTAACAGTTGAAGTGACAACCCCGACATATCGTAGAAGAAAGGACTAGATAGCCAATCTAAAATGATGGACAGATCCCATGGCGTACTTGTCCATCGGACGACCGGACACACTCTGTCCACACCTGCTAAGAAACGCTGGACCAGAGGGTGTTCTAACCGAGACTGTAAAAACTCCAAAACTTCGACTACAGTCGAAGAAAAGGGATCAAGTATCCCTCTGTTTCCACACCAGCGTGCATAACAGGCCCATCTATCCTCATACTGTAAGTTAGTCGAATCCCTCCGCGAAGCCAGAATTGTGTCTGCAACTGGTGCAGGAATTCCACTCGCATGGAGGCGATTCCTGACAGTGGCCAAGCCACCCACTGGATCCATGGATCCGGGTGTGGCAGGCCTTCCTGGGATAGAAGGTCCGGTCGCATCGGTAATAGCAAAGGAGGCTGTACGAGCGATCTGAGTATTACCGGGAACCAGCGTTGAGAAGACCACAGAGGTGCAAGAAGCAAAAGTAGTCGTGCTGGTTGGGTGGCGAGCTGCGATAGGACTCTGGGAATCAGAGGTATCGGTGGGAAAGCCCACAGAACCCTGTCCGTCCAATCGAGCTGGAAGGCATCGGCGGGGATCGCTCCCGGATCCGGGGTCCTGGAGCAAAACACCGGAGTCTGGTTCGTCACCCCAGAGGCAAACAGATCCACCTGGAACGACCCGAACAACTGGGAGATAACCCTGAATATCTCCCGGTCGAGTAACCACTTGTGAGGGGCCAGGATCCGACGTGAGAGTGCATCTGCACGCACGTTGTCCTCCCCCAGAAGATACACAGGTAATACCCGTGTGTTGAACCGGTCGCACCACAGTAGAAACTGCCACGCCTCCTGGAGGAGTGACGGAGACACCGTACCGCCCTGCTTCAGGATATAGGACATCGCCAGTCTGATTGTCCATTTCTAGACGAACCACACGATTCCGAACCTGCTCCATGAAGCGTTCGAATACCAGTCGGACCGCTCTCAACTCTAACACATTGATGTGCAAGGTCGCCTCGGTCACGGCCCAAAGTCCGGTGAGGGAGGCGTCCGTCTGAATTGTGAGTGTAGGCACCGGGGTCTCCAGTGAGATTCCCGGCGCCAGTCCACCACCTCAGGTGAGGGATAAGCCACTCCGGAGTTAGGAGAATAGTCTCGTAACTCCCCGAGTGTGACCACAGCTGTGCTAACGCTTGCTGAACTGGCCGCATCCTCAGACGCGCACGCCAAACTACGTCCACCGTCGCCGCCATGTTGCCTAGCAACTGAAGCCATGTGCGAGCAGAGGCTCTGGGGGACTGAAGGAATTGTAAAACAACCCTTTGGTCTTGAGACAGAGAGACTAAGCCCTGCTGTGTCTCGAATCTCACCCCCAAGAAAACCCGATCCTGGGATGGAACCAGCTCGGATTTCTTGAGGTTGATGACCCAACCCAACCTGGTGAGAATATCCATCACTGTCTGTGTGGAGTCCCGACTCAAGTGAGTGGAAAGCGCCCTGAGAAGCCAATCGTCCAGGTACGGGTAACAAAAGTTGCCCTGTGCCCTGGCGACTTGAGCTGGCACTAACATTAGTTTTGTGAACACCCTGGGCGTTGGGTAATGCCGAAGGGGAGCACACGAAACTGATAGCACCTCCCGTCGAAGGAAAACCGGAGGTATTTCCTGAACTCGGGGTGCATTGGCACATGAAAGTACGCGTCCTTGAGGTCGATTGACGTAAGCCAATCCCCTGCCTCCACAGATGAGATCACTGAACGCAGTGTCTCCATCTTGAAGGACGGTACCTCTAGCAAGCGGTTCAGACCCTTTAAATTGAGAATGGGCCTGAACCCTCCGTCCTTCTTGGTAACCAGGAAATAGGTTGAGTAAACCCCTTGATTTTCCTGGCCCGTTGGAACCACCTCTATGGCTGCCTTGTCCAGCAACGACTAGACCTCGGCACGGAGAATATCTGCCTTCTCCTGAGAGTTCGGCACTGGCGTGCAACGAATCCCGGAGAAAGGAGGAGGGCCTCGCTTCCACTGTGGCATATGACCATCCCTGAGTGTGGACAGGACCCAGGGATTTGAAGTGACTTTCTCCCATTCCCGAAGGAAGAGAGGTAGCCGGCCGCCGACAGGGACGTCGGGTAAGAGGCAGTGAATCCCGGCAGTCGGCAGTGTAACAACTGCTTGTGCCGGGACCAACAAGGGCTCCGGAGGAATGCTTACTGGGAAGCCGGGGCCGACTTCCCCTTCCTCTGAAAATGCTGCTGAGAGGAGGCAGCCTTGCCCCTACCTCTACCCCTGCCCTTGCCTCTACGTGCCTGAAGTGGAGCCGTCCACTTCGGCGCTTCCTTTCCTGAAGAGGAAGGGTAAGCGGAGGCAAGGACGGAAGGCCGGGCGCGAGAAGTTAGGGGTTGCTCGAGTAAGGGCTTTGAGTCCTTAAACTGGCTAACCGCCTCCGCAGCCTCCCTGACTACTGTCAATGCCCCCGGGAACAGGGTTGAGCCCATCCTGAATGGCAGAGACAGCAGCGCCTGCTGAGTAGCCGGTGAATACCTGGCCACGGACAGCCACAACCGACGGAGGCCCATAACTGCAGACATCATCTGGTTAGCGCACGACCGAATGGCGAGCCAAGTCGCCGAGAACCCAGGGAAGTGCCTGCCGAAACAGGATTCCCCGGAGTACCTGAAGGCACCGAGTCGACCGGTAACACCGACGCTCGGGTAACCCCAGCTTGTGGGCTGGTGGACAACGGTACGAGACCCGTAGCCCCAGCGCTAGTACGCTGCGCTGAACCGGAGCCGAAGCTCGGGCCAGACACAGGCGCACCAGCAGAGAGGTCGCCAGAGCCGAGGCTCAAGGCAAGCACCCCTCCGGGGGTAGAACCGTCCCTGGGCCAAAGCCTGAGGTAGGGGTACCCCCGACAGACGACCCCGGAGCGCCACTAACTCCCGAACGGATACCGATCTCCTGACGGAGACCGGACATCGCGTCCGAGATAAGCGGGCGAACCGAAGTCATCTGTTGCTGCAAAATAGAGGTTAACACTGTTATATGTAAGGGTGCGGAATCAGATTGAGTAGAAGTGGAGGGGATAGGGGAAGAAGGTTTCTCCGCCGTCTTGGCCCGTTTACCCCCACCCCCGCTAGCAGAAGATGAACTCTTCTTGCTTTTACCCGCTTTAGAGGGTGGGTCCTGAGCCCATAAGTCTTCCCCGCCTCCAGCAAATTTTTGTAAAACAAAAAATCGGCAGACCGACGTTTGGTAGTCTTGGGTGAGAAAATCTTGCAATTCTCACAAGTCAGATCATCATGTTGATCTACCGCCAAACAACGGAGGCAAACATCATGTGTATCCTGGGGTGGCAACATGGCACCACATGCAACGCACGGGTGAAACTGTAACAAACAGAACCATTTTAATGGAAACTGATGTACAGTCTAAATTACACACAAATATGAAAAACAAGTAAGACCAAAACAGAATACGCACGGGCGATAAACCATTTGTCAAAGCTAATGCGATTTTAACCCTTTAACATGTAACATGAACAGGAGGCAAAATGCAAGCTCCCTGCGTAACATATACAGCGTAAAAAATATGAAAAACTTACCCAACTCACCTTACATGCCTGAAAGTGAAAACATTAGGCAAGCCTACAAAAGTAAATCTAAAAGAAAATACCCACCGACCTAGCTATGTAACACTAAAAGTTACAAACGTAGGACAGAAGGCAGCCAAACCGACCGCCATCTTGCCTGCCACATGGCTGGAAAATGGAGCCTGTCCGACAAAGTTACAACAATCATGAATGAAAAAATCAACCTACAATTCAATCTAGCGGCTCGTGCGAGAGAAAAAGGAACCATACATACATTAGTTGATTCTTTAGCACTCATATCCAAGGCTCGAAGTAGTAAACTCCAATGAACAACACGCACGTCTCACATGGAAAACGACAGCATGAAAAGTGAGGTGCGAGGTTGTCGGCTAGAGTTACCTGCTCTTGCCGGTAGGGGGCCCCGCGGGGGCCCTGTAGGGGTGGTCTCATAACGCAGAATGTGTTTTTTCGTTTTGTAAATATTTTTATTGAAATATAGTTACAACTGTCGTAGGTTTTAAAATGGACATTTTAATGCTTATAAGTACCCCAAGGAGGACTTCTTCTGAAAAAGAATTCTGTTTTACCAAACTTGACTCCATAGATCAAGGAAATGAGTTTCAGCAGAACTTAGATCACATTCATGTGCAAAAAACCCCAGAACCAATGAAGTATCTTTTATATCAGAAAGAGCATGCAAGATTTTCCAGTGAGACAGGACAAACTGAAGATGTATGAATAATATGAACTAACTGGAGGTCGGTGAGGAAGAGGTTTAGATGGTTTACTGCCTCCACTTGAGATACAAACAGCTGGATGTGATCGCAAAACATCTGGGGGTCATGGTCGTACATCAGGTTCATGTTGATCCGATGTTTCCGCATTGCCAGGAATGCATCCTTGTACTGCTGCCTGCACAACAACAGACACACACATTCAAGATAACACACTCTTTTTCGTGGTATGAATTGTGTTTACTCTATCATTTTGTCATTCCCTCTAGATGATTACATGTAATGGAAAGTATTTTGTGCCACACCAGTGTAGCTCACCTGACTATGAACTCACAAGTTTTAAATGTCCACAACAGCAGAATTTTAACACTTTTACTATTTACGTAAAGTTAATACTGATGACCAAAGTGTTACCAAATATGAACGATGAAATTACATTTCCACCATGTTTGAATCTGTGTGAATGTACCATTATGTATAACACTGTTACAATACAAAAACGTTAAAACTATTTCACACAACTTGCAAGAAGAAGAAGTTTTCTTATGTCATGCAATATTTCAGATATTTCACAAACACAAATCACTAAAACACAAATAATTGGAACAAAACCACATGTCATCACAAAAAGAAACATACATTCAAAGTCTAGCTTCCTGAAGTGATGATTACAGAGCCTAAATTACACTCTAAGAGAATTTAAAAGCATTAATTACATGAGCAGAAACAGTGGAACAGTGGCTGTAAAAAGCTTTTTCTATGTGGCTTTAGCTTTAATGGTTATGAGATTTGTCAGAGAAAACTTTGACAAAGCAGCAAGAATGTAGGACCATGGTCAAAGTGCAGAAAAAGATGAAATAAAAGTCATAATTCATATATTGAAAAATCAGAAACAGACTCACTACTAACTTAACATACACCAAGTTTGATTACATTTTGAACAAAACCACTAAATAATGATGAAATAATTTTTGCTCTCAATCTGGTGAAGTACTGAGGTCAGATCAATGTCAAAAGAGTGAATGAGTGAGTGAGTGAGTGAGTGAGTGAGTGAGAGTGAATATTCCAGCAATATCTCAGCGGGGACACCAGAAATGAATGTCGAAAGAAATGGCATTAATAGGAGCAAGCCTGTGAAGTTTCAGCATCACTGGTCCAGTGGTTTCTGAGGAGATGCTTACAGATGCTTTCAGATGCTAGACACTCGATTGGTTCACAATGAACCATGTTCCTAAACTTCCGTTAATGCAAATAGGATTATGTCTAAGATATTTCATATTCAATCCTAAGCATACATGATATATTACATTCCCTTTTGTTTCATTTCACGTGACTGGTAAAGCCAAAGGTGGTGTTTGCCACATTCAGTGCTCACTGGTTCTTCCAAGATGTGTGGGTAATAATAGTCCCATCAGGCTAGATTCACTGCACACTGACAGTTGTTGGTTGAGACTGAAGCATCAGTGAAAATCTGCCAGTCGGAAGAGACTTCACCCAGTTGTTAGAGAGTGAATATTGCTTTACAGTATAAATATACAGCAATGTTCCAATGACATATCACTGCAACCTGCAAATAATGTCTTACACTCCTTTGTGGGCCCTACCACATGCTTATTAGGAACACTGGAATTAAATTGAAGTGCTAAAGGAAAATTATATTTAGAGACACAGACTACTGTGTATACTAACAATAAAATCCATATTTTGAAATTGTGAAAATGTATGTCAGTAGAAACATTTTGAGATGCTGACAAAGTGTGTGAGTACCTATCAAGATACTTGCGGACAGCTGAGAGTACGAGAGCCCGTGGATGTATGACCTCCAGGTTCCCCCTCGGCATCTGCAGCACCAGCTTTGTGTCCTCCGGGACCACAGTCACGATGCGGGACCCTCGCTCCACACGCCGTACACTCTCATCAAAAGGGTGGGCCTTGCCATCAGACAGGCTAGGTAAATCTGCAGTCATATACATTGTTACACTAATGTTTACAGCAGTTTGATTCCTTTCCACAGGCAAAGAATTCGGTCTGGTTATGCCTGGCACTAAGCACAAGAGCCAGTGCAAACAGCATGTTTTAGTGAAAATGTAATCTTTATGATAAAACTGATATTTTATACTTATCCTGACTCATGCTATATTGCTTATCTCCCTTCTCCTTTCGACGGTTACGTGGAAACTTGAATCCTTAGTTCCCTGAAAAGAACATAAAATTACACTACTGTTATGTTGTCCGTGTGAATCATAAGGACTTGATTCCTTAGAAGGTGCGCCCAATGTTGAACTGCATCGATAACCGCCTTGAATTCCAGTTGATTTATATGCAAGGTTCTTTCTTTCAGTGACCAAGTTTCTTCCAACCTCTTCGTTGAAGTCCACTCCCCATCCTTGTAGAGAAGCGTCGACAAAGAAATGAAGATTGTAGGCTGGCTCTTGCAAATAAGTCCCGTCGCAGACGTTCGACTTGTCTGTCCACCAGAGTAGATATGACTTCAGGTGCTGAGGGATGGATATATTCTGCACACTGTCGAGATGAAATCGTAGGAAGTGTTGAAGTGGTTGTAACTGCAACCTTCCTCTGCATGGAAGAGCCTTTGCTCATGTGAGGAGACTGAGTAGTCTCTGCCATGCTCTTAATGGTAGAGGTGAGTTGGTATCCATCAACTTGATGTATTGGAGTTCGGGGTATTGGTATACCTGTGGATGACAGTGACAGGTGGTGTCACCTTGAGCAGGATCTCGTATCTTTCACGCAGTACATGTAGAATGTAGTCGTCTTCAAGGATCCTCCAGTTCTCCCAGTAGTAACCTAGACGTCCACCCATGGTTGATGGTTGTACAGGAACGGCTGGGGGTGGAATGGACCAGTCGTTCCGAACCTGATCTTCACTGACGAGAGGATCGGGAAAATCCTGAATCGGCCTCTCCCAGAACGTCCGCTTGAATTGGCGAATGAGCGGCGAAAATTTACAGGTTTGCCCCCTCAAGATCCTGATGCCTTCTTATCTCTGGCCTCCTGTGTGCCTGGGAAATTTGATCGGAATTGTACTCGTTGTGATGTCTGCCGATACATGCAACTCATAGTCTGCATGGATCTAATCAACATTTGATCCTTGGAGTCCTGGCATACTTCCCCAGACGCTGCTTGAATACTGCCGTCAAATAGAGTTGGCGCTGCCCAAGGTTTACGTAGTAGAGACACTTGGTGTAATAATCTGGCTAGTTGCAGGTTGAGAGGAGTCCTTGATGCCGAAGTAAGGTCACGCCCACCGATGTAGAAGCAAGGTGGTCAGACATAAATTCCTTATCTTTCTTTTGTGTGACGAGTGCTGATAAGACCATTCTTTCAGTATCTCTCTTAAGGTTCTGGAATGTCTTAGTCAAGCCTTTGTTGATGGCCCGGGATCTAGCCAACTCAAAGAAGTTCCTTCTCATAGTTGTGTCAAGATGTGCCAGCTTCTTATCGTCCACTCTATAGCTGTGTGACTTAGAGTCGCTGAGGAGATAGAAGTCGTCATCTATGTCCGGCACTCTGAAGAAAGGTTCCATACTGTGTTATGGAAATTTCCTCCCATTAAATGCAGGAGTATGTTGCCCTTGAGATTTGGTAGCATTCACGAATGCTGACTTGAGGTTAGACAGGACCTGCGATATTGGATTTATAGGATGGGATCGTCAGCGTTTCTAAATCTTCCTCCACAATGCAGTAGTTCTCTGCTTATAGGTAGATCATCTGCAATCCATGATAAGACCTCTGAGTCTGTATATATAGATGTATCTTCCATTTCATGGTCGCTAACATCTAAGGTCACTGCTTTATCTTGAATGGAGTTGCCGATAGTGTCCGTTGGAATAGAGTGGCTGAGAGGATTATGTTATTCCGTTGAATGTTGTTGTTGCAACATGGCTAGAACAACTTGTCTGGTAACATTTGCCACAAAATCTTGATCCAACGATAGCCTGGTATTCTCTGGAGGGTTCGCGAATGCTTGTGGAGTAGATGAAGGCATATTGCTTCGCTGGTGATGCTGCTTTTTATAGGTCGTCTGCGCAGATGGGTTTGCAAACGCATTCTCGGACTCTATATCTCTCAGGGCAGGTAGAGACAAAATAGACTGACTGCTCGTTGACTGGTTCATGAACTGTGTAGAGACATGGGTAGAATCAGTAGACTGAGGAAAAGCTGGTTGTTTACTGACTGATGGGTTCATGAACCCTTTTGTGAACCCTGTAGAATCAGTAGTCTGAGACACAGCTGGTTGATTGTTGATGGACGGGTTTGCAAACCCTTCCGCAAACTGTGTAGAGCTGACCGGCGGGTTCGCGAACCCTGATGGTGTGGAGGAAGGTCTACATAGAGATGACTGTTTTTTCCTCGACGTTGGAACAGCTGACAGTTGTTTCTGCGAACCCTAAAGAGTTGGTTGTCGTCGTCTTTTGTGAACTAATCACAGTAATTTGCGTTTTGAGAGCCGGGGGTGATACATCTACTTCATCCAATGCTATACACGGAGACTTCATTGATCTAGTTGATCTAGATGAATGATGTGAACATGTTGTCTTCGATGTAGATGACTTCTTAGACGATTCAGATGCTCTCTTCTTTTTAACCAGCCTCTGTAGTTCAGCCGAGTAACTGTCTCTGTAACAGTGACAGAGACGGGAGGGAATCTCTAAATCATTTCAGACAACTCACACTCACACTCAGATGTCTGAGAGCAACCCTTATCTGTAGCTGCCCTGCTGTCATGATAGTTTGACTCCATGACCTTGTGTAAACATGCTAATAAATATTTATTGAAATTGGGATAAATGTGCACAATATTTAGTATTTACAGAGTGAGACTAAGGAACATGAATTATTGAAGAACACACAGGGAGTGGATCAGCTGCTGACATACATAGCCTGCATTGTCAACATGCTACCATGTTTAGACAGTCATCTGAAATGGAGTGTGAAAATTCAAAATTAGTAGAAATTTATACAAACCTGTAGAGGCTATGAATTCTTTGAAGAAAGTCCTCCTTGGGGTACATATAAGCATTAAAATGTCCATTTTAAATCCTACGACAGTTGTAACTATATTTTTTAATAAAATATTTACAAAAGGAAAAAACTCGTTTTGTCTTGTGAGACCACCCCTACAGGGCCCCACCAAACCCCCTACAGCCAAGAGCAGGTAACTCTCGCCGTCTACCTCGTACCTCACTTTTCATGCTGAACGTGTCAGACAGAATGAGGGGAGGCGGTTGGCCGTACCCAAAGGAGGACTTTCTTCAAAGAATTCATAACCTCTACAGGTTTGTATAGTCCTCCTTGGGGTACATATAAGCATATGACAGACTCCCAAAGATATTTGAGATGGGAGTGGCATTCTGTCTGGCAACAACTAAACCCGTGGTGGAGTGAAATCTATAACCTATACGGAAATAGAAAAAACACTTACCGAGCCACCTGACCGCTGATGTCAATCAGACGGGGGCGTGAACTAGAGAGCCCAAGCTTATATGTCAATTGTCTGAAATCAATTATGACATAAAACCCCGTCCCCAACCATTACAATGGAAAGGAATGTATGGGGACATGCCGAAACAACTCCCAACCCTAATATAGCCCCAGCCAGAGAAGCGTGGCGAGAAGTATAAGGGTAGGGAAAGCGTAAATATTTAAACGCTAAAAAGCCAATAACCCAGGAGTCGAGCTAATAAGTATTGCAAACTAATGCTCGAATGCACCCTTCCTGTTTGGAATAGGGCTTGCCGGGACCCCGAGAAATTATTAGCCTCACTAAAAACTTTCTGAGGAAATCGACTGAGTACAAACGCCATGCATTGTACGGGTGAAAAACAGGATAAAACACCCCCACCAAACACTCTCGGCGTGAGGAGGGTAAGTGTAGACCACCATCCCACAAAGCTTATTAACACAGACTCCCAAATACAGAAGTCTCGAGAAGAGGGAAAAAACTGTAAGCGTACAAAAATCCCCTGAATAGCGAAAAGCGTAGCCGAACATGTGTTGACTCACCATTACACTAAACTGGTCACGTGACATGTGGCTCGAAGAGAGGCATACCAAACAGTGACCCGTGGGGGGTTCGTACCCAATTCCGTCGTAAGACGGGTTAATAGCGTATGACTGGTTAAAAGCATTCAAAACCGACCCCGTCCTCTTGCCTTTAAGTGAAGAGGACGTAAGGGACGTATGTACACCCAAACCCGACCCAACCCGAAAGGGTGGTAAGGCTAATACGATGTAGTGATATGAACCATATCGACATTGAACACAGAACCGATACCAATGACCAGTTACTAACTTGGTCAGGGTGGCAGGACACTCTCCACTGGAGAGAACCGAAAGACAGAACCGAGCACGATCCTTAGAATGCGTGTCAAGTCGGTAATGGCGAATGAAGGCGTTCTGCCGGCTCCAAAGAGCGACAGAACCGATCTCTTCATTGAGCAGTGCCACTGTGTATTCCCAACAAAGCGGCATCTGCCCTACCCAGTCTGCCTTCAACCCCTCGGGGGAAGGTAAACCTTAGCATTGTAACCAAACAATTATGGAAACAAGCCAACGAAATAAAGTCCGCTTGCTAGCAGACTCCCCAGTCTTCCCGCCACCAAACAGAACACATGGGTACCCGTACGGATCCCTTTTGTTCGTTCGTTACAGTCACGGGTGAGCAATCGAAAGATTGGTCCCCGGTGTGGAAGGCTGGGTAAGGGGTGGAAGTTCGATATGAGCAGCCACGTGGAACTGAGAGTGGTAGGTATCCGGGAGGCGAATACGGACATAATCAGTATAAAATACTGTCAGTGTCGGGTCAGTGGGTATTGCATGGATGTACCCGACCCTTCTACCGGAGCTCACCACAACAAGTAAAGCCGGCTTCCACGTCAACAAGTGAAGTGAGAGAGACGATATACTTGAAAAGACAGCCAATTGAGAATAATTGGCAATTTTAAGGTGGGCTGGGTTGCTGCCGAGGCGGTCGAACCCTGTTCATGCCAGCTACGGAGCGCTGTACGAGAGGGTGCTGCCTAGGCAGAGCACCTTCGAACGAGGTGTGAAACGTGGAAATAGCCATGGAGTACCCGGGAATGGTGGAGGTCATAAGGCTCTCAACCAAAACGAGGTTATAGTAACTCCAATATCCGAATGAAATCCGCAGAATAGGGATTATGAAATCCCCCTACCTGCACACCAGCGAGCCCCACCTGTCAACACACTGAACGGGTGTCGAATCCCGACTCGAAGCCAGAATTGTGTCTGCAATGGTTGCAGGAATTCCGCGTGTCGGGGGTTAGACCCGACATAGGCCAAGCCACCAAGTGAATCCGAGGATTTGGGTGTGGCGCCCCGTTTAGAGTGAGAATGTGTGGCCGAAAAGGTAATTCGAATCCCGGCGTGCGGGATCGAACACCAACCTGACTGCTGCCAATTCCAGCACATTGATGTGCAGGTTGTGACTTCGTCGTCAAGAGACCGCAGGTCGCCCAGAACACATTGCCCTAACCCGGTAGGGATGTATCTGGCTGGACTGAGAGCGACGGTGTCACCAGGGGGAGCCCCTTTGAGAGACGCCTGACGTCTGTCCTCCTGACTGCGTGAGGTTGACAATTCGGCCCAGTTTCGTAAGAGTGACCAACACTGATCGTGAGGTCCCCAGACTCAACAGTTATTCTAAAACCACGATGAGCCAGTCGCCTAGGTACGGGTGACAACACCGGCACTGCGATCTGGCTATCTGGGCTGTAATAAACCTCAATTTGGTGAACACCCTTGACACCATAATGTAGCCTAAGGGGAGCACACGAAACTGGTAGCACGTTCCGTTAAACAAGAACCGAAGGCTAATCTTGAAATCAGGGTGCAATGGAACAAGGAGGTATGCGACCTCGAGGTCGATTGACGTGCGCCAATCCCCTTACTCGACAAATGAGATCACCAAGCGCGGTGTCTCCATCTTGAAGGACAGTACCTCTATTAACTTGTACAGCTCTCAGATGAGAATGTGTCTAAACATTCCGTTCTAAATGGCAACGAGGAAATAAACCCCACATTTTCCTGACCATAGGAAACCACCACGCTGGTTGCCTTGCCCAGCAGAGACTGGATCTCGGTACGTAGTATTTTTGCCGTCTCCCTGGTGTGTGTCGCTCCGACCGGGGTTTGTGGCAGAATACAGTAAATCCCTGCAGTCGGCAACTTAACGTTTGCCGGTGCTTGGGCACCTGAGGAATTAAAGAGAAGCTCGACAGACTTCCGTATTCCTCGAAACAGTCCCGGGTGCCATAGGCTAATAACCGCACTCATCATTTGGCTGGCACAGCTACAATGCAGTCCCTAGCCAGATGAGAGTTTACCTCCGTCAGATGCCGCCCAGAGTCGCAGAGGAAAAAACCACCGGCGCTCTTTCCCCTTTCCACCAGCTCCTTCGGCAGAGCTGAGAGATGCGCTGAGTGGAGCCTACAGCGTTGAGCTGTTAAGGGGAAAGAACGGCAGAGTGACGGTAGAGTGTGAGGCCTTGTCTCGGATGCCTTGCTGGAAGCAGGCTTCCTTCCGGGAGGCAAACTCCAACGGTTCGGGTATTCGACGTGGACAACACCTGAGGCAACACAGCCGCGATTCTATCTTGCACTTGCCTCAGGGACGAACCTACTCATTGGTAAGTTCAAAGTAGCGAAATGAGCCGAAGCTATAATCGACTTGTCCACTGTACGAGCCTGAACCCTGTTCCGAGGCACATGTGAGAAGCCTGACAAATCAAGGTTTCCCAGGTTTCCCAAGCACTCAGACAGACCTTGGAGGGTCGAGGTGACAGACACATCCGGCACACTCGATAGCATCTTGGTCAAGACGTCGATAGAAATCAGGCCAAGACCTGAACTACCGGCGCCGGGAATCTGCACCCTACCAGTGCCGAAGCCTGGGTCAGTGCTACTCGCGGGGTTCAGAGCATCCGCGGAGCCGAAGCTCGGCGGTTCTAGACCGAACCCCGATCCCGAGACACATAGGAGTAGCCTGATAAATCAGGGTTCCCCTCCAGTACTCTCCCAAAGTGCACTGAGCATATAGTCAAACATAGCCTATAGCGCTATATAAATACCCATACATATATATATATATATATATATAGTGCTGCTCGGGTCGGCGGTTCGAGTTCAAACCCCGATCCCGAAACACCTGGGAGTAGCCTGACAATGCAGGGTTCCCCTGGTGTACACGGGTAGACCTCAGTGCGTCGAGGTGATTGGTAGCTCCGTAACACTTAACAGCCTCTTGGCCAGGGCATCGATAGACATCAGGCCGAGACCTGAGCTAACAACGCCGGGGATCTGCTCCGTACCAGAGCCGAAGCTCAGGTCGGTGCTAGTCCTATCCCCGGTCCCGAGACACATGGGAGTAGCCTGGCAATGCAGGGTTCCCCTGGTGTAAACGGGTAGGCCGAGGAGCGTCGAGGTGGTCTGCAGCTCAGTGGAACCCAGACCGGGGCGCCGAGGTGCCCGAGAGGAACCTGCCGCTACAGGTTTCCCGGGCAACCCCGACTGACCACTAGGCACCGAGGTGTCCCTGAGCTGGTCAGCGCCAGTCAGGGCACCAGGCGAAGACAGGGTGAAACCTGCATCGCCGGCGCCAGGCGCCTGTGACGAACCTGAGCCTGAAGCTAGGTCGCACTGACCACTAGGCAGCGAGGTGTCCCCGAGCTGGTCGGCGCTGAGGCGACCGCCAGTCAGGGCACCAGGCGAAGACAGGGTGAAACCTGCATCGCCGGCGCCAGGCGCCTGAGACGAACCTGAGCCTGAAGCTAGGTTGCCACAAGGCGCCGAAGGAACACCATCACATGAGCCGGAGCCAGGATCAAGCTGCCTGGGAGGAGGCGCGTTCCCCGAGCTCAGGCCGCAGCCAAACACACACACACACACACACACACACACACACACACACACACACACACACACACACACACCACACACATGCGTCACACACACATCCACCCACACGACGACATGCACACACACAGCTCACACGGAACTCACAGACAGCACGTGTCAATCAAAGGGATTTCACGGACGACACCTGGACCATCGAGATAAACACATTGCGAGCCGAGTTCCTGACGGAGCCCGGACATCGCACTATCAATCATCGACTTCACATTTTAGTCATCTGCTGTAGCATATGTTGCTGAAATAGTGAAGCAATTGAGTCAATATTTAAGGCAGCAACATTGTTTGCGGGGGAACGATAAAGGGATATCCTTAGAAACCTTTCATCAAATATTATCCCCCGCCTGAAGCAGATTAGTGAAAAAAATAAACTATGCATGCCTGAAAGAATGCGCATGAGGGGCAGAAACCCAGACAAAAAACACAACCTCGGCCACTATGAGCCACGTTATGTGTAAACCTAGAAAATATGTATATGTATAACATAACACAACAAAATGTAACAGGTATACTGATGCAAGGGCGTCCTTGATCGTCGTGAGCGTCCTCGGCTTAACACCGGAGGCACACTTTATGGCCATCCTGTGGTGGTAGTGTGCCTTTCTTTTCGACGGCACAATGCACAGGGCTTAAACTGCAAGAAACAGAACCATGCCAGTGTTACTAGCAGGAACTGTGAAGCAGCAAACACATAAACACAAGTAAATAGCAATAAATAAAACGCACGGGTGATATTTAAATGCTACAAGCTTACAGCCATTTAAATACTAAACATATAATGCAAAGCAGAAAAAAGGCTAGCCACACCTGCGTGTACATACTAGTGAGTAAAGTGGAGTGATACGAAAACACTATCAAAATTACTCAACAACGACTTACCACAAATTCGCTGAAAAGAAAGAGAAATTTAGGCAAGCCTACCATACAATATGCAAACATAATATATGAACTCCCTACTTACAAGCTACCAAGAACATATAGCAAGGAAGCCACGATCGCGCGGTCCGCTATTTTGCCTGAGAACAGAGAACCCACGGCAAAGTAACAACAAAAGATGAATGAGAATATCAACATATGAAGTCCATCTAACCCCCGTGCATAAAGAAAGGAACCATACATACAGATTGAGACTCTTTTACAGTCATCGTATCGGTAGGCGGGCAAACTCGAAACGAACACCACGCACGTCTATTCAACAGAACAACAGCATGAAAAGTGAGGTACGAGGTAGACGGCAAGAGTTACCTGCTCTTGGCTGTAGGGGGTCCGGTGGGGCCCTGTAGGGGTAGTCTCACAAGACAAACTGAGTTTTTTGTTTTTGTAAATATTTTATTAAAAAATATAGTTACAACTGTCGTAGTATTTAAAATGGACATTTTAATGCTTATATGTACTCCAAGGAGGACTTCTTCTGAAAAAGAATTACATAATTTAATACATCGTTATGATTATATAAATAAAGTATATAAATACAATTCACGACCCTAATTTGGATTGACAGGCTGAAATAGGAAACATATTAGCCGCAAATGGGACCCATAGTGACCTCCCAACCATCTGCTTGGGTGATGAAGGAGAGAGTGAACAGAGCTAGGCTTTAGTCACATGGGACGCTTTTGGTGGGAAAAGGGAGGCAACTTGTGGGTGAGTGATTTTTTCAGTCTCTTCAGGGAACTAGGGATTCAAGTTTCCATGTAGCCGTCGAAAGGAGAAGGAAGATAAGCAACATAGCATGAGTCAGGATAGGGAAAAATCTTAAATATCACAAGTATAGAGCCTAACACATCAATATGTATGTTAGTCTTACGTTATGCAACAAAGATCATTTCACCATGTCATCATTAAGTATCGGTTAAAAAATGACATATAAGCTAACCTCTGACTCTGGTATGTCGTGAAATACATCGACACGTGTGGCTCAGTGTAGTCAGCAGCAGGAACTCATCATGGACAGCAAATGATGTACAGTTAGAAGCAATCTGGAAACAACCATGACAGTGAGAAGCAATCAGGAAACAACCATGACAGTGAGAAGCAATCAGGAAACAACCATGACAGTTAGAAGCAATCAGGAAACAACCATGACAGTGAGAAGCAATCAGGAAACAACCATGACAGTGAGAAGCTATCAGGAAACAACCATGACAGTGAGAAGCAATCAGGAAACAACCATGACAGTTAGAAGCAATCTGGAAACAACCATGACAGTGAGAAGCAATCAGGAAACAACCATGACAGTGAGAAGCAATCAGGAAACAACCATGCCAGTGAGAAGCAATCAGGAAACAACCATGACAGTAAGAAGCAATCAGGAAGCAATCAGGAAACAACCATGACAGTGAGAAGCAATCAGGAAACAACCATGACAGTTAGAAGCAATCTGGAAACAACCACGACAGTAAGAAGCAATCAGGAAACAACCATGACAGTGAGAAGCAATCTGGAAACAACCATGACAGTAAGAAGCAATCAGGAAACAACCATGACAGTGAGAAGCAATCTGGAAACAACCATGACAGTGAGAAGCAATCAGGAAACAACCATGACAGTTAGAAGCAATCAGGAAACAACCACGACAGTGAGAAGCAATCAGGAAACAACCATGACAGTGAGAAGCAATCTGGAAACAACCATGACAGTAAGAAGCAATCAGGAAACAACCATGACAGTGAGAAGCAGGAAACAACCATGACAGTGAGAAGCAATCAGGAAACAACCATGACAGTGAGAAGCAATCAGGAAACAACCATGACAGTGAGAAGCAATCAGGAACAACCATGACAGTTAGAAGCAATCAGGAAACAACCATGACAGGAAGTAGAAGCAATCAGGAAACAACCATGACAGTGAGAAGCAATCAGGAAACAACCATGACAGTAAGAAGCAATCAGGAAACAACCATGACAGTGAGAAGCAATCAGGAAACAACCATGACAGTGAGAAGCAATCAGGAAACAACCATGACAGTGAGAAGCAATCAGGAAACAACCATGACAGTGAGAAGCAATCAGGAAACAACCATGACAGTGAGAAGCAATCAGGAAACAACCATGACAGTGAGAAGCAATCAGAAAACAACCATGACAGTGAGAAGCAATCTGGAAACAACCCATGACAGTGAGAAGCAATCAGGAAACAACCATGACAGTGAGAAGCAATCAGGAAACAACCATGACAGTGAGAAGTAATCAGGAACAACCATGACAGTGAGAAGCAATCAGGAAACAACCATTGTAGTTAGAGGCAATCTGGAAACAACCATGACAGTGAGAAGCAATCAGGAAACAACCATGACAGTGAAAAAGTAATCAGGAAACAACCATGACAGTGAGAAGCAATCAGAAACAACCATGACAGTGAGAACAGCAATCAGGAAACAACCATGACAGTGAGAAGCAATCAGGAAACAACCATGACAGTGAAAGCAATCTGGAAACAACCATGACAGTGAGAAGCAATCAGGAAACAACCATGACAGTGAGAAGCAATCAGGAAACAACCATGACAGTGAGAAGCAATCAGGAAACAACCATGACAGTGAGAAGCAATCAGGAAACAACCATGACAGTGAGAAGTAATCAGGAAACAACCATGACAGTGAGAAGCAATCAGGAAACAACCATGACAGTGAGAAGCAATCAGGAAAGAACCATGACAGTGAGAAGCAATCAGGAAACAACCATGACAGTGAGAAGCAATCAGAAACAACCATGACAGTGAAGAAGTAATCAGTGGAAACAACCATGACAGTGAGAAGCAATCAGGAAACAACCATGACAGTGAGAAGCAATCAGGAAAAGAACCATGACAGTGAGAAGCAATCAGGAAACAACCATGACAGTGAGAAGCAATCAGGAGGAAACAACCATGACAGTGAGAAGCAATCAGGAACTAAATCCATGACAGTGAAAGCAATCAGGAAAGAACTCATGACAGTGAGGAAGCAATCAGGAAACAAACTCCATGACAGTGAGAAGCAATCAGGAAAGAACTGCTAATGAAGTTATAAGCAATCTGGAAACAACCATTGAAGTTAGAGGCAATCTGAAACTGCTCATGACAGTAGAGAAGCTATCAGGAAACAAACCATTGCAGTTAGTGGCAATCAAAACAACCATGACAGCGAACAATCAAAACAAATCCATTAGAAGTTAGAGGCAATCTGGAAACAACCATGACAGTGAGAAGCTATCAGGAAACAACCATTGCAGTTAGTGGCAATCAGAAACAAATTCCATGACAGTGAGAAGCAATCAGGAAAACAACCATGACAGTGAGAAGCAATCAGGAAACAACCATGACAGTGAGAAAGCAATCAGGAAAGAACCATGACAGTGAGAAGCAATCAGGAACAACCATGACAGTGACAGCAATCTGAAAACAATCCATGACAGTGAAACAGGGAAACAAACTCATGACAGTGAAAGCAATCAGGAAACTCAACCATGACAGTGGAGAAGCAATCAGAAAACAACCATGACAGGGAGAAGCAATCAGAGGAACCATAACAGTTATAAGCAATCACAACAACCATGACAGTGATGAAGAATCAGGAAAATATGACAGTGAAAGCAATCAGGAAACAAATCCATGACAGTGAGAAGCAATCAGGAAAGAACCATAACAGTTATAAAGCAATCTGGAAACAACCATGACAGTGAGAAGCAATCAGGAACAACCATGACAGTGAAAGCAATCAAAAACAAACCATTGTGGTTAGAGGCAATCTAAAACAACCCATGACAGTGAAAGCTATCAAGGCTCAACCATTGCAGTTAAAGTGGCAATCAGGGAAACAACCATGACAGTGAAAGCAATCAGGAAACAACCTCATGACAGTGAGGAAAGCAATCAGGAAACAAACCGCGACAGTTGAGAAGCAATCAGAAAACAACCGCGACAGTGAAAGCAATCAGGAAAGAACCATAACAGTTATAAGCAATCTGGAAACAACCATGACAGTAGCAATCGAGAAGCAACCGCGGCAAACCATTGTAGTTAGAGGCAATCTGGAAACAACCATGACAGTGAGAAGCTATCAGGAAACAACCATTGCAGTTAGTGGCAATCAGGAAAGAACCATGACAGTGCGAAGCAATCAGAAAACAACCATGACAGTGAGAAGCAATCAGGAAAGAACCATGACAGTGAAAGCAATCAGGAAACAACCATGATGAAAGTGAAAGCAATCTGGAAACAACCATGACAGTGAGAAGCAATCAGGAAACAACCATGACAGTGAAAAGCAATCAGGAAACAACCATGACAGTGAAAGCAATCAGGAAAACAACCATGACAGTGAGAAGCAATCTGGAAACAACCATGACAGTGAGAAGCAATCAGGAAACAACCATGACAGTGAGAAGCAATCTGAAACAACCATGACAGTTAGAAGCAATCAGGAAACAACCATGACAGTGAGAAGCAATCAGAAACAACCATTGTAGTTAGAGGCAATCTGGAAACAACTCCATGACAGTGAAAGCTATAGAAACAACCATTGCAGTTAATAGTGGCAATCAGAAACAACCATGACAGTGAGAAGCAATCAGGAAACAACCATTGCAGTAAGTGGCAATCGAAAAAACTCATGACAGTGAAAGCAATCAGAAACAACCATTGTAGAGTTAGAGGGCAATCGAAAACAACCATGACAGTGAGAAGCAATCTGGAAACAACCATGACAGTGAGAAGCAATCAGAACATCCATTGCAGTTAGTGGCAATCTGGAAACAACCATGACAGTTAGTGGCAATCAGGAAACAACCATGACAGTGAGAAGCAATCAGGAAACAACCATGACAGTGAGAAGCAATCAAAGAAACAACCATGACAGCGGTGAGAAGCAATCAAGGAAAAGAACCATGACAGTGAGAAGCAATCAGGAAACAACCATGACAGTGAGAGAAGCAATCAGGAAGAACCATAACAGTTATAAGCAATCTCTGAAACAACCATTGTAGTTAGAGGCAATCTAAAACAACCATGACAGAAGCTATCAGGAAACAACCATTGCAGTTAGTGGCAATCAGAAACAAACTATGACAGTGAGAAGCAATCAAAGAAACAACCATTATGGTTAGAGCAATCTGAAAGTAACCATGACAGTGAGAAGCTATCAGGAAACAACCATTGCAGTTAGTGGCAATCAGGAAACAACCATGACAGTGAGAAGCAATCAGGAAACAACCATGACAGTGAGAAGCAATCAGGAAACAACCATGACAGTGAGAAGCAATCAGGAAACAACCATGACAGTGAGAAGCAATCAGGAAACAACCATGACAGTGAGAAGCAATCTGGAAACAACCATGACAGTGAGAAGCAATCAGGAAACAACCATGACAGTGAGAAGCAATCAGGAAACAACCATGACAGTGAGAAGCAATCAGGAAACAACCATGACAGTGAGAAGCAATCAGGAAAGAACCATAACAGTTATAAGCAATCTGGAAACAACCATGACAGTGAGAAGCAATCAGGAAACAACCATGACAGTGAGAAGCAATCAGGAAACAACCATGACAGTGAGAAGCAATCAGGAAAGAACCATAACAGTTATAAGCAATCTGGAAACAACCATGACAGTGAGAAGCAATCAGGAAACAACCATGACAGTGAGAAGCAATCAGGAAACAACCATTGTAGTTAGAGGCAATCTGGAAACAACCATGACAGTGAGAAGCTATCAGGAAACAACCATTGCAGTTAGTGGCAATCAGGAAACAACCATGACAGTGAGAAGCAATCAGGAAACAACCATGACAGTGAGAAGCAATCAGGAAACAACCATGACAGTGAGAAGCAATCAGGAAACAACCATGACAGTGAGAAGCAATCAGGAAACAACCATAACAGTTATAAGCAATCTGGAAACAACCATGACAGTGAGAAGCAATCAGGAAACAACCATTGTAGTTAGAGGCAATCTGGAAACAACCATGACAGTGAGAAGCTATCAGGAAACAACCATTGCAGTTAGTGGCAATCAGGAAACAACCATGACAGTGAGAAGCAATCAGGAAACAACCATGACAGTGAGAAGCAATCAGGAAAGAACCATGACAGTGAGAAGCAATCAGAAACAAACTATGACAGTGAGAAGCAATCTGGAAACAACCATGACAGTGAGAAGCAATCAGGAAACAACCATGACAGTGAGAAGCAATCAGGAAACAACCATGACAGTGAGAAGCAATCAGGAAACAACCATGACAGTGAGAAGCAATCTGGAAACAACCATGACAGTGAGAAGCAATCAGGAAACAACCATGACAGTGAGAAGCAATCTGGAAACAACCATGACAGTTAGAAGCAATCAGGAAACAACCATGACAGTGAGAAGCAATCAGGAAACAACCATTGTAGTTAGAGGCAATCTGGAAACAACCATGACAGTGAGAAGCTATCAGGAAACAACCATTGCAGTTAGTGGCAATCAGGAAACAACCATGACAGTGAGAAGCAATCAGGAAACAACCATTGCAGTAAGTGGCAATCGGGAAACAACCATGACAGTGAGAAGCAATCAGGAAACAACCATTGTAGTTAGAGGCAATCGGGAAACAACCATGACAGTGAGAAGCAATCTGGAAACAACCATGACAGTGAGAAGCAATCAGGAAACAACCATTGCAGTTAGTGGCAATCTGGAAACAACCATGACAGTTAGTGGCAATCTGGAAACAACCATGACAGTTAGTGGCAATCTGGAAACAACAAAGACAGGTACAGGCAATCTTGGAACATGGCTGACAGTTAAAGGCAAGTTTGAAACAAGGGATGTACAGCTAGAGAATTCTGCAATCACTGATGACAGTTAAGGACAATCTTCAAACATGGGATGCATATATTTATCTTTTTTTCCCGTTATTCCACACCTTATCATCAACATAGGATATCCACCATTCCTCACCTTGTTATTGACATAGAATCTGTATCTGTCACTTACCTCCTTTCATGCACATAGAATCTGTATCTGTCACTTACCTCCTTTCATGCACATAGAATCTGTATCTGTCACATACCTCCTTGTCATTCACATAGAATCTGTATCTGTCACATACCTCCTTGTCATTCACATAGAATCTGTATCTATCACATACCTCCTTGTCATTCACATAGGATCTGTATCTGTCACTTACCTCCTTGTCATTCACATAGAATCTGTATCTGTCAGTTAGTCCCAGGACAACTTCCTGCAAAATACACATGATACATATATCATGTCATGATGAACATCCAATGGGGTAGTCATGAGTCTTAGCTGCCTCCTTTAATAGTAAATGATATAAAATTAATGCAGTGTCCCCACCTCACCCCCTATCAGACACACAGACATCTGAGCATCTCCCAACCCATCTCTCCCCCTATCAGACACACAGGCATCTGTATATCTGTCGACCCACCTCTCCCCTATCAGACACATAGACATCTGTATACCTCCTGACCCACCTCTCCCCTATCAGACACACAGACATCTGTATATCTGTCGACCCACCTCTCCCTTTATCAGACACATAGACATCTGTATATCAGCAGACCCACCTCTCCACACGTACAGACATCTGTATATCTGCTGACTCACCTCTCCCCTATAAGACACACAGATTTCTGTATATCTGTCGACCCACCTCTCCCCTATCAGACACATAGACATCTGTATACCTGCTGACCCACCTCTCCCCTATCAGACACACAGACATCTGTATATCTGTCGACCCACCTCTCCCCTATCAGACACACAGACATCTGTATATCTGTCGACCCACCTCTCCCCTATCAGACACATAGACATCTGTATACCTGCTGACCCACCTCTCCCCTATCAGACACACAGACATCTGTATATCAGCAGACCCACCTCTCCACACACACAGACATCTGTATATCTGCTGACCCACCTCTCCCCTATAAGACACACAGATTTCTGTATATCTGCCGGCCCACCTCTCTCCTATAAGACACACAGACATCTGTATATCTGCTGACCCACCTCTCCCCCTATCAGACACACAGACATCTGTATATCTACTGACCCACCTCTCCCCTATAAGACACACAGACATCTGAAATCTGCTGACCCACCTCTCCCCCTATCAGACACACAGACATCTGTAAATCTGCCGACCCACCTCTCCCCTATCAAACACACAGATTTCTGTATATCTGCCGACCCACCTCTCCCCTATCAGACACACAGACATCTGTATATCTGCTGTCCCACCTCTCCCCTATCAGACACACAGACATCTGTATATCTGCTGACCCACCTCTCCCCTATCAGACAAACAGACATCTGTATATCTGATGACCCACCTGCTGACCCACCTCTCCCCCTATCAGACACACAGATTTCTGTATATCTGCCGACCCACCTCTCCCCTATCAAACACACAGATTTCTGTATATCTGCCGACCCACCTCTCCCCTATCAGACACACAGACATCTGTATATCTGCTGTCCCACCTCTCCCCTATCAGACACACAGACATCCGTATATCTGCTGACCCACCTGCTGACCCACCTCTCCCTATCAGACACACAGACATCTGTATGCTGTGACCCACCTCTCCCCTATCTCTGCTGCAGACTCACTCTCTCCTCTATCAGACACACAGACATCTGTATATCTGCTGACCCACCTCTCCCCTATCAGACACACAGACATCTGTATATCTGCAGACCCACCTCTCCCCCTATCAGACACACAGACATCTGTATATCTGCTGACCCACCTCTCCCCCTATCAGACACACAGACATCTGTATATCTGCCGACCCACCTCTCCCCCTATCAGACACCTGTATATTTGCCGACTCACCTCTCCCCCTATCAGACACACAGACATCTGTATATCTGCCGACTCACCTCTCCCCCTATCAGACACACAGACATCTGGTTGCAGGCATGTGACAGCTGGAGGTCCTGTCCAGACTCCATGTTCCATGGCAACAGACTGTCATCATCTGAAAAGTAGGACTTCCTGCCTTAGTTTTCCTGAATAGTCCTGCTGTTTTGCCAAACTCTCTGTCTTCACATCATAGTGTTGTGAGGAAGTAGGGTTCAACTCACCTTGTTAGGGTGAAGTAGGATTCATTGGGTTGGGTTGCTGTTTAACGCCGCACTCAGCAATATTCCAACTATATGGCAGGCGGTCTGTAAATAATCAAGTCTGGACAAGATAATCCAATGATCAACAGCATGAGCATCGATCTATGCAATTGGGATATGATGACATGTGTCCCCCAAGTCAGCGAGCCTGACCATCCGATCATGTTACAACATTACAACAAGCATGGGATACTGAAGACCAATTCTTACCCGGACCATACATAAGGGAGTGAGGATGTTTTATACCACTTACTGCAATAGTCCAGTAATATCATGAAGGGACCCATAGGCTTCACTTGTCAGGTGACAGAAAACAATAATGTAATGGTTAGGTACTGGAGCATAGTAAGGCAAGTAAGTGTGGTCACCTCACCTGTCATGTATCAGAGCAAAGTGAAGTGGTGGTCACCTCAACTGTCAGGTATCAGAGCAAGGTGAAGTGTTGGACACCTCACCTGTCATGTATCACAGCAAAGTGAAGTGGTGGTCACCTCACCTGTCATGTATCAGAGCAAAGTGAAGTGGTGGTCACCTCAACTGTCAGGTATCACAGCAAAGTGAAGTGGTGGTCACCTCAACTGTCAGGTATCACAGCAAAGTGAAGTGGTGGTCACCTCAACTGTCAGGTATCACAGCAAAGTGAAGTGGTGGTCACCTCAACTGTCAGGTATCACAGCAAAGTGAAGTGGTGGTCACCTCACCACTTCAAGCTGTCAGATTGTCATCACATCAGAGCAAAGAGAAGTGGTGGTCACCTCACCTGTCATACATCACAGCAAAGTGAAGTGGTTGTCACCTCACCAGGTATCACAGCAAAGTAAGTGGTGGTCACCTCACCTGTCAGGTATCAGAGTGAAGTGGTGGTCACCTGTCAGGTATCAGAGCTGTGGTGGTCACATCACCTATCAGGTATCAAAGTGAAGTGAAGTGGTGGTCACTTCACCTGTCAGGTATCAGAGCAAAGTGAAGTTGTGGTCACCTCACCTGTCATACATCAGAGCAAAGTGAAGTGGTTGTCACCTCACCTGTCAGGTATCAGAGCAAAGTGAAGTGGTGGTCACCTCACCTGTCAGGTATCAGAACAAAGTGAAGTGGTGGTCGCCTCACCGTCAGGTATCACAGCAAAGTGAAGTGGTTGTCACCTCACCTGTCATGTATCAGAGCAAAGCAAATGGTGGTCACCTCATCTGCCAGGTAACAGCCCACAGTGGTGCAAGTAAGTGGAGGTGACCTCACCTGTCAGATATCGAAGCACAGTCCCATCACACAACTGGACTGCCACTGACGGAGTCTCCATACTGACAGCTATAGCGATGTACCAGGTTTTCAACATGCAGGCTTGACCTGGAAGGTACACATTCAGGCATGACAGCATGCATAATTACAGTACAGGTTAAATCACTTGAGAACAAGCATTGTCACTAAGGTGACATAATCTCCCGCCGCAATTTATCAAATCAAACTTATAAAGTAATGAAAGTTTACGATGAAGTTAAATGTCAACAAAAACATTATCTTGCTCTTTAGTTGTTCAAACACACACATATTTTCAAGACTGACTTTGACCTTGACATGAATTTCATACTGTATGAAATATGCAAAACTAGTACTAAAGAAATTGCTTATTGAAAAACATTCAAGGGAGGTCTTGAAAGTCTATGAAGAAAATCCAGTGAACCGTTCTTAAAATATCTTGCTGACAATTCAGGTGAACATTCTGAAATCTTCATAGTGTCGTCGTGACCCTAAACATGATGTGAAGGTCACCAAAATTGACTGGGCCCTGCGCCTTCCCTAGATGAAGCTTGGTGTTAAATATGAAGAAAATCCAGTGAACGGTTCTTGAGATAGCTTAACATGCAGGTTAACATGCTGAAATCTTCAAAGTGTCGCCATGACCTTGAAAATTACGTGAAGGTAACCAAAATCGACTGGGCCCTGCGCCTTCCCTAGATAAAGCTTGGTATTGAATATGAAGAAAATCTAGGAAACGGTTCTGAGATAGCTTAACATGCAGGTAAAACGTTAAAGTCCCCTTGTGACCTTGAAATGAAGGTCAAGGTCACCAAACCTGACTTGGGCCTTTCTTATAGTGTGATGAACCTATGTACCAAATATGAAAACAATCTAGTGAACAGTTCTTAAGATATTCCAATTTGTACGTACGTCCGGACAGACAGACGGACAGAGCCTAATACTATATCCCCCGCCGCGCGCGTTTAGCATGTCAATTACAATTTGTTTACCTGACAGTTAACTTGTCTGTGGCCAGCTGGGCTCTGTACAGAACAGAGTGGGTGTTGCCAGTATCCAGGCCACAGAAGAGGAAGCAGTCCGGGCTTATCCAGGTCAGGTGGTGCATGTGAAGTGGAAATGTCACAATCTCAGACGCATAGTCAAAGCTGAAAAAAATACATATATGCAAGTCTCTTTTTCTCCATAGAAAAAGTTGATGCACAATGTTTACTGAAAGAGGTTCATATTCGTTTTGCAAAAACGTGTGTGTAACACACCTCCTACCTTGATCACCCACTGTCAACAAATTTGTTTTACACTGCAACAATGCTATTGTTTCACCATAGGGTAACTTGACACTTTTATTATTCTTTCTTGTATTGCTTTCATTTAGAAGGTTTGCTCAATATAATACTCCTCCATGGCCTTGATGGAAAACATAAAACCGCAAATTCAGGAAAAGTGCTTGAGCATTTGGTACACACTGTGCAAACATTGAATCCATCCTGTACAAATACTGAATCTATCCCTCACCTGTACAAATCCTGAATCTGTCCCTCACCTGTACACATACTGAATCTGTCCCTCACCTGTACACATACTGAATCTGTTCCTCACTTATACAAATACTGAATCTGTTCCTCACTTATACAAATACTGATTCTGTCAATCACCTGTACAAATACTGAATCTGTCCCTCACCTGTACACATATTGAATCTGTCCCTCACCTGTACACATACTAAATCTGTTCCTCACCTGTACACATACTGAATCTGCCGCTCACTTATACAAATACTGAATCTGTCCCTTAACCTGTACAAATACTGAATCTGTCCCTCACTTATACAAATACTGAATCTGTCCTTCACCTGTACACATACTGAATCTGTCCCTCACCTGTACATATACTGAATCTGTTCCTCACCTGTACACATACTGAATCTGCCACTCACTTACACAAATACTGAATCTGTCCCTCACCTGTACAAATACTGAATCTGTCCCTCACCTGTACAGATACTGAATCTGTTCCTCACTTATACAAAAACTGAATCTGTCTCTCACCTGTACACATACTGAATCTGTTCCTCACTTATACAAATACTGAATCTGTCCCTCACCTGTACAAATACTGAATCTGTTCAAATCTGAATCCGTCACTTAATCTGTTCCACAATACAAAAATACTGAATCTGTCTCTCACCTATACAAATACTGAATCTGTTCCTCACTTACAAATACAAATACTGTTCCTCCTTATATATGTCTCTCACCTATACAAATACTGAATCTGTTCTCACTTATACAAATACTGAATCTGTTCTCACAAATTGAATCTGTTCCTCACTATACAAATACTGAATCTGTTCCTCACTTATACAAATACTGAATCTGTTCCTCACAAATACTTATCAACATGAATCTGTTCCTCACTTATACAAATACTGAATCTGTTCCTCACTTATACAAATACTGAATCTGTTCCTCACCTGAATCTGTCCCTCACCTGTATACATACATACTGAATTATGTGTCCTCACCTGTACACATACTGAATCTGTTCCTCCTTATACAAATGAATCTGTGAATCTGTCCTCACCTGTACATACACATACTGAATCTGTCCTCACCTGTACAAATGAATGAATCTGAATCAAATGTGAATGTCCCTCACCTATACACTGTCCTCACATACTGAATCTGTTCCTCACTTATATCAAATACTGAATCTGTCTCCTCACTTGTACAAATACTGAATACTGTCTGTTCCTCACTCAAATATACTGCATCTGTTCCTCACTTATACAAATACTGAATCTGTCCCTCACCTATACACATACTGAATCTGTTCCTCACTTATACAAATACTGAATCTGTTCCTCACTTGTACAAATACTGAATCTGTCCCTCACCTGTACAAATACTGAATCTGTTCCTCACTTATACAAATACTGAATCTGTTCCTCACTTATACAAATACTGAATCTGTCTCTCACCTCTACAAATACTGAATCTGTTCCTCACTTATACAAATACTGAATCTGTTCCTCACTTATACAAATACTGAATCTGTCTCTCACCTATACACATACTGAATCTGTTCCTCACTTATACAAATACTGAATCTGTTCCTCACTTATACAAATACTGAATCTGTCTCTCACCTATACACATACTGAATCTGTTCCTCACTTATACAAATTACTGAATCTGTTCCTCACTTATACAAATACTGAATCTGTCCCTCACCTGTACAAATACTGAATCTGTCCCTCACCTGTACACATACTGAATCTGTTCCTCACTTATACAAATACTGAATCTGTCTCTCACCTGTACACATACTGAATGTGTCTCTCACCTATACAAATACTGCATCTGTTCCTCACTTATACAAATACTGAATCTGTCTCTCACCTATACACATACTGAATCTGTTCCTCACTTATACAAATACTGAATCTGTTCCTCACTTATACAAATACTGAATCTGTCCCTCACCTGTACAAATACTGAATCTGTCCCTCACCTGTACACATACTGAATCTGTTCCTCACTTATACAAATACTGAATCTGTTCCTCACTTATACAAATACTGAATCTGTCCCACACCTGTACAAATACTGAATCTGTCCCTCACCTGTACACATACTGAATCTGTCCTCACCTGTATAAATACTGAATCTGTTCCTCACCTGTACACATACTGAATCTGCCCCTCATTTAAACAAATACTGAATCTGTCCCTCACCTGTACAAATACTGAATCTGTCCCTCACCTGTACACATACTGAATCTGTTCCTCACCTGTACAAATACTGAATCTGTCCCTCACCTGTATAAATACTAAATCTGTTCCTCACCTGTACACATACTGAATCTGCCACTCATTTAAACAAATACTAAATCTGTCCCTCACCTGTACAAATACTGAATCTGTCCCTCACCTGTACACATACTGAATCTGTCCCTCACCTGTACAAATACTGAATCTGTCCCTCACTTGTACAAATACTTAATCTGTCCCTCACCTGTAGCCATACATAACCTGTCTCTCACCTGTACACATACTGTAACTGTCCCTACCCATAGCCTCAGAGAATCTGTCCCTCACCTGTAGCCATACATAACCTGTCTCTCACCTGTACACATACTGTAACTGTCCCTACCCATAGCCTCAGAGAATCTGTTCCTCACCTGTAGCCATACATAACCTGTCTCTCACCTGTACACATACTGTAACTGTCCCTACCCATAGCCTCAGAGAATCTGTCCCTCACCTGTAGCCATACATAACCTGTCTCTCACCTGTACACATACTGTAACTGTCCCTACCCATAGCCTCAGAGAATCTGTTCCTCACCTGTAGCCATACATAACCTGTCTCTCACATGTACACATACTGTAACTGTCCCTACCCATAGCCTCAGAGAATCTGTCCCTCACCTGTAGCCATACATAACCTGTCTCTCACCTGTACACATACTGTAACTGTCCCTACCCATAGCCTCAGAGAATCTGTTCCTCACCTGTAGCCATACATAACCTGTCTCTCACCTGTACACATACTGTAACTGTCCCTACCCATAGCCTCAGAGAATCTGTCCCTCACCTGTAGCCATACATAACCTGTCTCTCACCTGTACACATACTGTAACTGTCCCTACCCATAGCCTCAGAGAATCTGTCCCTCACCTGTAGCCATACATAACCTGTCTCTCACATGTACACATACTGTAACTGTCCCTACCCATAGCCTCAGAGAATCTGTAACTCACCTGTACACTCCCTGAAGTGAGTGTCTCCTGCACTGCACACTGAAGCCAGTCCCTCCTGCTGCTCCAACCTTCACACTTGCATCAGATGCATCTTTGGCTAGAAATATAAAATACAATGGATTAATACGGAATATGGAAAAATATGACCTTTCCTAGAACTGTCCTACCTAGTGAAACCTTGCACACAACACCAGGAACATCATGGTGTTTCAGCTAAGTGGGGTAGGGAAGTGAGGCAGGCCTCACATGTTCACCCTGTTGGTGAAACCCACATGCACTGGAGTGGTGCTGGCAAACCTAAAACATAATCAGGACGTGATTCAAACCAACAATCACAGGTATCATATGACACGTATGCCACAAGGTAGATATGTTGGCTATGAAAGTCAATCAATACAAAGATGGGGTCTCTCAGAGAAATGTAATTTTCTGAATAAAATTGATATTTTATACTTATCCTGACTCATGCTCTTTTGCTTGTCTTCTTCTTCTTGCGTACATAGTGGAACACTTGTATCTCCCTAATTGAAGCTCCCTTCAATGTAAAATCACTAATTAGTACTCACCAAGAGTTGCCTCCCCCTTCCGAAATGCGCGGGAAAGGAGGCGCCACCTCTTCCCTCATGCTTCACTCTCCTGTTTAACGAGCCCAACACTTGAATTTACAGGGAAATCCAAAGTGTTATGTAGGGAGGATGGGAGGGCTTACCTCATGAGTCAAGATAAGTATACAATATCAATTTTATTCAGAAAATTACATATTTTTCCTTATCCTGACTCATGCTCTTTTGCTTGTAGAATCCTACGGAAACGGAGGTGGGAAACAGAATACTTTGGTTTTAAATAATTAGTGATTTATATATGTAATAACCCCCTACGGGAACTTCATTATGGCACTGTAATTAAGATAATTCCTGCTGCTATAATACATAAGTTCTACCAGCTGCCATAGATGGGGGTACTACAATATTTAGATACTATGATAATAATATTAATAGTATAAAGCGACTCGGAGTGGAGAAGCGACCCAATGTACATGTAACATCAGTACTGGGCTTAAGACTAATGTAGACTTAAGATATGTATATAGTTAGCACAAAACTCCGTAGAGTTATAAGCTAGATAATACTGGTATGATATATACAGAATATCTCGTGAGACTATGTCTCATCGTCTACGAGGGACTGTCAACTGCTGTGCGAGGACCATGGGACCGAAATGGTGAATACCTGAGACGTCCTCGGTGGTGATATCTCTCAGATAGTGGTTAGCAAACACCATGTCGGATTTCCAAAAGCAGCCCTCCATAATGGTATTCAACGAGCAATTTCCGTGTAGATCGAGTGTCGAAGCCAGTGCTCTGATTTCATGGGGATTAGATGCTCTTGGAGGGTCGAGTCCTGCAGCCTTGTAGGCACGAAGTATGACAGTTCTGATCCATATCGATATCGTGGTACGAGAGACTTTGGTCGGAGTCGCTGTCGATAGAGGGATGAATAACCGCTTGAGTTGTCGTCGCCTCGTTTTGGATCGTTGTAGATAGATTTTGAGTGCTCTCACTGGGCATAATGATAGGTCAAGCATATCATGAGGTCCGAGAATTGAGGAAAGTGCAGGGACATGGAATAATCTGTCTGGTTGACCTAACAATTAATTCTTGGCGATAAAGTCCCATCACAGTCCCATATGCACTATGTTTTGATTGTCATCGAAACTTTTCTCTCATAATCTAGAGCGTGAATTTCTGACATCCTGGCTGCCGTTGCTGGGGATAACAGGAACAATGTTTTCTGTGTCAGAAATTCAAATGATGTTGATTCCAATGGTTCATAGGCCTCACTTGTGAGGTGTTGGAGCACTACATTTAGATCCCATGCTGGAGCGCGGAATCTCTGTTTCTGATCCTCCAATCGGAATGAACGTAGCAAGGCCAGTAACTCTGGCGTCTTCGTTAACTTGACACCCGTTCTCATAGTTATCACTGAACTTAGAGCTGCGAGATATGTTGACAATGTCGAGCGTTTTTGACGTTTAGTTTGTCGGAGATAACAAAGGTAATCAGCCACTTGTGGATGTGTAGCATTTCTAGCAGTAAATCCCTTTTTAGCAGCGTATGTCTCAAAACTGTGCCACTTGTCGTCATACAAGTTGCGCGTAGAATTGGGTAAAGCAAGCTGGATTGCTTTCGGGCCATTGTGGCTGAGAATTGGGTAAAGCAAGCGTGACTGCTTTCGCCGCTGTGGCTGAATAACCTCTCTTGTTTAGACACACTTTAATACAGTCCATACGTGAAGTTGGAATGCTTCTGGGTTTCCGTGCGCTTATTTGGTGTGAGGATGTACTAGTAGATTCGAGCACTTTGGTAGTTGTAGTGTTGGTTGTCCGATTTCTTGAATTAGAATGGGAAACCACTTTCTCGCTGGCCAGTAGGGCGAGCAAAATCAGTTGGAGGCTCTGAGTTTGTCTGATTTTCTGTAACACCTTTGGAATTAGCTGGCGGAAGCGCGGCGTGTAGAGTGGAGATGTAAACGCATTGAGGCCTTCCCAGGATATGCTTAGTGCGTCCGTTGCCCACGCTTGTGGATCCGGGACTGGTGATACGAGTGGCGATACGAATGTTGTTAGCTGATTGTTGAAGCGAGTGGCGAATAGGTCTACTAGCGGAGCTCCTATTTCCTTGATAATCTGTGCAAAGATTTCTGTATGGAGCATCCATTCGCGAAGGCTGGGTGTCTGAGTCAGAGTCCAGGGATGAGAGGATCTTCCTTCGCGAACCTCTTCGTGAGTGTTGATCATCGGAGTCCGAGGTAGGTGACGATCTAGATGTCCTTCGCGAAGGCCTTCGCGAACGCTGAACATCTGGGTCCTTCGCAGAGGTGGGCTGTGACGTCCTTCGCGCAGGTGGGTTCCCAAGCGATGACTTGGTAGCAGCCGCTACGTTGACGGGGGGTCCCTCTGGGGTGACGTCTATGTTGGAGCCTTCGCGAAGGCTCAGGCTCAGGGCTGGTTGTCTCTCCAGTACGTAGCGGTCTTCCATCATCTTCATAATCTGAAGAACCAGGTCGTCTGGGACGGTCTGCGAAGATGTAGTTGGTAGCAACGGGACCCTCAGGAAGATCGTCAGACATCAGCATTGGTACATCAGGCTGTGTGTAGATCTGCGCTGACGTCACTGTTGCCGACACCGGTCGTTTCTTGTGACGCACATCAGGTATGATGATCGTGACCTATCTGCTGCGTGTCTCAAGACGCAAAGATAATATTTGTTAAAAGCAGAATTAGACAAATTATTACAGTAACTGCAATGTGAAGAAAATGCACATGGTGCAGTACAGCTAGGGCATATTAAATGCGGATCAGCAGCAGAAAAACGTAACCTGCAAACAGTACAGATTTTCATCAACGTAAACTGCTGAACAATCACGGCGTCCGGTGAATAAACAGCAGAAATACGAAATAAATATCAATACATAATTGTTGAAGGATACTAGCTAAACCTCTATAGATGACTACAAGAGGTAACTAAATAAGAAAAATAAAAGGATATAGTGTGTAGGGAGACACAGGCGCTCTCACATCCTGCTCACTGGGCGAAGAAGGAGAGAGTGAAGCATGAGGGAAGAGGTGGCGCCTCCATTCCTGCGCATTTCGGAAGAGGGAGGCAACTCTTGGTGAGTACTAATTAGTGATTTTACATTGAAGGGAGCTTCAATTAGGGAGATACAAGTGTTCCACTATGTTCGCAAGAAGAAGAAGACAAGCAAAAGAGCATGAGTCAGGATAAGGAAAAATATGTAATTTTCTGATTAAAATTGATATTTTATACTTATCCTGACTCATGCTTAATTGCTTGTCTCTTTCTTCTTGCGAACATAGTGGAACACTTGAATTCCTTTTGAAGCTCCCTTCAAAAAAGCAGACATAAAATCACTCACCCAGTCTTATCTCCCTTTAGACTCTTTTGGCGGGAAAATGTGTCACATGATCCGACATAACCCTCACTCTCTCCTGAATATGCGCCCGACACCTGGATCACAGGGAATCCAGAGTGCCATGAGGGGAGGTTGGGAGGGCTTACCTCATGAGTCAGGATAAGTATAAAATATCAATTTTAATAAAAAAAATAGATATTTTTCCTTATCCTGACTCATGCTTAATTGCTTGTAGAATCTAACGGAAACGGTGGTGGGTCAAGCCACTCTGGATTCCATGCTGATTTACATCCTGCATACCTCCCTGAGGGAACTTCTTATAGTACTATGCTGATCCTTCCTTCCAGCTTCCTCTGATGAGTTTGGGGGGGACCACTTGTCAGATTTTCCGGAACCGCTTCTCCTGACATTAAGTGTGGATTTATACGACTCTATGTCTTGATGCTCGCATCAAGTGGAGAAGCCACCATAGAAGATATGGTTTCAGCCCGTCCGGTAGTCCGAAGGAGTCCAGACTGTCTAGATGACAGTTGTAGTTGTAGTCTTCATGTCCGTAATAGGAAACGGAGTAATGTCCGGTTCTGGAATCATGACTTGAAGTTTATTTCTTCAATCTTCCGATAATATGTCAAGAAGACTTGTCCCCAGAATCCCAACAAAGTGCTGTGATGATGCATAATTCGTCGTCTCTAGATGTACTGGAACTGCCATCGCTATGAAGTCTATGTATAGTAGACTGGCTGCCGCAAGCTGAAATCGTCAAACGTATGTTGCTGCAAATCGCAGGATAAACAATCTTCAATCTGCTGACAGGTAAGGTCCTTATGACCCGTGAAGACAGTCGAAACACGCTGTACCCTGCTAACTTGACTGTAAATGGAGCCTTTCTCCCACGTTGAAAAGTTGTTGTGAGCTATGCCCGACTTCTGTGCAGGGCGTTGTCTCTCATGGACCAATCAAAATGCAGCATTTGATTCATCTCAGATTCCCGCAATGTGACGACACCGGTGTTGCAGGAAAAAGATCCTTGTAAAATCTTGTGCAGTCGTTGATTTCCTCATCAACACTCGGCCTTGTCCGTAATCTCCCGGAGTTACACGAGTGAATACATGTATAGCAGGCTGAGTGGAAAACGCGCGGATTTCGCCACGTAATTCAGATGTAGGTGGACTGTCTCCCTGGCTGTTGTGATTGTTTCCTTCTTCACTGAAGATAATGTAATACAGATCTTATACAGATGATCAGCTGAAGTTCATACTTGCTTAACGCTGTTACTTGTAGACTGTAGTCATCGGTCTCAATGAAGCCCCGTAAAATAATCAATTGTGTTGAATGCATAAAGGTTCTTGTAGAGTTGATTTTTAGCTACGATGACCGTGAAAAACGATGTCATGCTGAGGACTACGACAATGCCAATGCTAGGCCAGTGATAACTGTCAAGCTGTCCCTTTCCTCACAAGAGTCAAGCACGCTGATGTATAAGTTCTGCAATTGGAGTCGTAGATGAACTTGCAGTTCTCATCAATCTCTGGAGCCTTCCTGAAGGTTTCCATATGAAGTAGTGGCGTTGAACGTCGGGACATGTTGACTCTGGAACTTCGTAGCCTTACCAAGGTTGAGCTGAGATTCTCCGGTACTTGAGCTATCAGGTTGATAGGTGAAAGGGGAACGTATCAAATCATTGTTAGATAACTTGTACGTGAGTGCTTCTGATCCACGACGATGTGAGTCCCTGCCTGTCTGAAGACCTGCCTGAAGACCTGCGCGCAGGTGAAGGGTTGGAATATGAATCTTCCCTTGAATCTTGAGACATATCCCTCTGCCGGCGTAAAGGTGTGGATTCTCTTCTCTGTGATGAGGAGTGCCTGCACGAAGGTTCAAAACGAAGATCCGCATCTGAAGGTGAAGATGATCCATGTGACCGACTTCTGCGATACTCTGAAGAACGTCTAGTCCTGTTCCTGCGCGAAGGTTTCTTGGAGATCTGCGTGGATATCTGCGTGGAGACTTGCGTGTGAGTGGAGCCTTGCGTGGATACCTTCGTGGAGACTGGAGACCTTCGCGGACACCTGCGTGGAGACCTGCGCGGAGACCTTTGCGAAGGACGATAATTTCGGAAAAGGATCCTCCCTGGATACCTTTGGGGAGACTTTCGTGGAGACCTGCGCAGAGAATTTCACGAAGGCGACGAATTTGGAAAAGGATCCTCCTTGGAGTCTTGAGATGTATCTCTGTGCCTTCGCAAAGGTGTAGATTCTCTTCTTTGGTGCCTTCGCGAAGGCTCCTGATGGCTGTCCATATCAGAGGAGGATGATGTGCGATGCTCCGGTGAACGTCTGGTTCTGCTCCTTCGCTGAAGGTGTCGTGGCAGGTCGTAGAGTGTGTGATCCTTCGCGCAGGCTTCCACTTTCGCGCAGGCTGCTATCTTCGGAGGGATGTGATCTGCAGGCTGCTTGTCCTTCGTGCAGGCCCGATGTAGATGGGCCTCCGTCGCTGCTTTCTCCTGCGCGAACCTCCGTTCCATCAGGCCCAACATCTGCTGTGTGAACTGCTGCATGAAGACCCCGGGGTTGAAGCTCTGCGACGATGACTGCTGCTTCTGCACTGCACTGAGAGTACCGATCTGCCATCTCTATCTGATGTCTGCGTTGATAAAACATCTGACTGCGTTGAGATGACTGCTGATGTTACTGGAGATGAAGACCTCGTCTTCTTCCTCACTGGCACTTCAGGGATGAGGATGGGTGGCTCATCATATATGTCTACTTCATCTGCCGGGATGATCTCTGTAGCGAAAGACCTTGTCTTAAGCGCTGCCCCATGTGAAGACTTCGCCGGAGTCTTGTTAGTAGACGACTTCTTCTTCTGAGAAGACGATGCCCTAGTCTTCTTCGACTGCGATCAGGTTATAGTTGATGTAGACGACCTTTTCTGGGAGCCGGAGCTGCCATCAGTCACAGCGACCTGCTCCGCAGACGCAGCCGGTAAACTACTAGAAAGGTGAATGTCAGCAGACAACAACAAACGGTTATCAACGCAATCATTTGGTTTAGACATGACTTGTGAAAGTCGTCTAGACCTGACCTTGGCATGCCTAATAATGGAATATAAATTTAAATTCAGATAAATGCTGACAAAGTTGACAGCGAAAGCTGGAAGAATATGGAGAAGTACAATAAGGGCATATTAAATGTGGATCAGCAAACGACAACCAGTATCTGCAACGACTGCAAGTTTTCATCAAATGTAAACACGATGAAAAAACATGTCAACAACGTGAATAAATATAGATAATTTGGACAAAATTTCAAACCATATTGTTGGTATATCAATCCTAAAGCCGTATACAGCTAATTTAGTAGCAAAGGCCTAAAAATTAAAGGATATAACGCCGTATAGGGGACCCAGGCGCTCTCACAACCATCCTCAAGGGCAAAGAAGGAGAGAGTCAGGGGTATGTCGGATCATGTGACACATTTTCCCGCCAAAAGAGTCTGAAAGGAGATAACACTGGGTGAGTGATTTTACGTCCGCTTTTTTTAAGGGAGCTTCAAAAGGGGATTCAAGTGTTCCACTATCATTCGCAAGAAAAGAGACAAGCAATTAAGCATGAACCAGGATAAGGAAAAATAATAGCCCATCCTGTGTCTTTGACATATACCTGCAATACAAAGTGAACCATAGACAAAATCTACTAATCAGATATATATGTTTAAATAAAGTCACCTTCTTCCTGGAGATGATACACAGCCAACCTCTCATCAGACAGCATCACTGCAATGTCATTACTCAAGCCTGTTGGACCAAATGTCACCTGACTGCCAGGGGCAGGCAACTCCAGCTGGAAGGCAGACAATGGTGGTGGTACAACCATCTGTCTCATTGGTGTCACAAGGACTTTGTCTACAAACACAAAGTAATTCAACATTCATTCACTTGAGGAAAATGATGTCAACACCAAGCACAGTTTTGCAGTTGTCACAAGATCAGACTTTCTTTCAAGTCGTTGTTAAAAGATTTTTTTGTGAATTCTTCTGGTAAGTGGGTTGGAGGAATAAAAACTCAAATGACACTAAAGAATTTAAGCTTTAAAATGTGTTGGTCAGAATTATATACTTTTACACTTTTCTTCTGGGGTTTTGTATTTTGATATGATCTGTGCATAACACAAGCATTGTCTGAGCATCACATGTTCCTATAGCATGACGTGAAAGTTACTTGGACATTATATGTATAAAGTGAGCAATAACCCTACATCAGTATTACAGAAACATTACAAGGACATTGTCTGAGCATTATAACCCAATTCTACTCTCACGTCCATCAATCGCTGTCACTGTGGCCAAATCATCTGCTGACTTCCCAAAGCTGTGACATGTTACCCAGGACCAAGTATACTGCAAGTATTGGGCCCCAGAACACACAATGTGCATTCTATATCCATGTTCAGGGTCCCACTGCACATCCAACACTCTTTGTGCAGCCGGGAACTGGAGACTTTGCTTCAGGTACCAGTGATAGTTGTTCACTGTCCAGAGTTGAACTGGAAAATGTAACATGCAAAATTGACAAGTTGAGTGATTCATACCAAGATAAGCAGGGTGACAGAAATATTTGTATAATAGTTTCCACAATACTAAGGAATCAACAATACCTTACATTGTTCATCAAGACATTCCTTCTGGAATTAGTTTACAATCTCTCCTTGCCATTTGCCACAGCTTAAAATCAGACCTAGCTACTTGCCTCAGTGTACTATCTGACCCAACCACTTGCCACTGTTTACAGTCTGACCTAACCATTGGCCACTGTTTACAGTCTGACCAAACCACTTGCCACTGTTTACAGTCTGACCAAACTACTTGCCACTGTGTACAGTCTGACCTAGCAATTTGCCACTGTTTACAGTCTGACCAAAGCACTTGCCACTGTTTACAGTCTGACCAAACCACTTGCCACTGTTTACAGTCTGACCAAACTACTTGCCATTGTTTACAGTCTGACCCAACCACTTGCCACTGTTTACAGTCTGACCAAACCACTTGCCACTGTTTACAGTCTGACTAAACCACTTGCCACTGTTTATAGTCTGACCAAACCACTTGCCACTGTTTATAGTCTGACCAAACTACTTGCCACTGTTTCTAGTCTGACCTAGCAATTTGCCACTGTTTACAGTCTGACCAAACCACTTGCCACTGTGTACAGTCTGACCAAATAACTTGCCACTGTTTACAGTCTGACCAAACTACTTGCCACTGTTTACAGTCTGACCAAACCACTTGCCACTGTTTACGGTCTGACCAAACTACTTGCCACTGTTTACAGTCCGACCAAACTACTTGCCACTGTTTACAGTCTGACCTAGCAATTTGTCACTGTTTACAGTCTGACCAAACCACTCTGACCAAACTACTTGCCACTGTTTACAGTCTGACCTAGCAGCAATTTGTCTGACTGTTTTGCCACTGTTTACAGTCTGACCAAACCACTTGCCACTGTTTACAGTCTGACCAAACCACTTGCCACTGTTTACAGTCTGACCAAACTACTTGCCACTGTTTACAGTCTGACCAAACCACTTGCCACTGTTTACAGTCTGACCAAACCACTTGCCACTGTTTACAGTCTGACCAAACTACTTGCCACTGTTTACAGTCTGACCTAGCAATTTGTCACTGTTTACAGTCTGACCAAACCACTTGCCACTGTTTACAGTCTGACCAAACCACTTGCCACTGTTTTCAGGTCTGACTGTTTTCCACTGTTTACAGTCTGACTTTGCCACTGTTTACAGTCTGACTGTTTTGCCACAGTTAACAGTCTGACCAAACCACTTGCCACTGTTTACAGTCTGACCAAACTACTTTACAGTCTGCCACTGTTTACGGTCTGTTTACACTGTTTACAGTCTGACCAAACTACTTGCCACTGTTTACAGTCTGACCAAACCACTTGCCACTGTTTACAGTCTGACCAAACCACTTGCCACTGTTTACAGTCTGACCAAACTACTTGCCACTGTTTACGGTCTGACCTAGCAATTTGTCACTGTTTACAGTCTGACCAAACCACTTGCCACTGTTTACAGTCTGACCAAACCAACTTGCCACTGTTTACGGTCTGACTAGCAATTTGTCACTGTTTACAGTCTGACCAAACCACTTGCCACTGTTTACAGTCTGACCAAACTACTTGCCACTGTTTACAGTCTGACCAAACCACTTGCCACTGTTTACAGTCCGACCAAACCACTTGCCACTGTTTACAGTCTGACCAAACTACTTGCCACTGTTTACGGTCTGACCTAGCAATTGGCCACTGTTTAAAATCTTACCTTACTTCTTGCCACTGTTTACAGTCTGACCAAACCACTTGCCACTGTTTACAGTCTGACCAAACTACTTGCCACTGTTTACGGTCTGACCTAGCAATTTGCCACTGTTTAAAATCTTACCTTACTTCTTGCCACCTTTGATAGGTGAAAGTAGCTACTAGCCACAATTTACGAACAGACATAGTCAATTTAGTAACTAACCATATGATACTGGAAGATGTTCGGGATGTTGGTTGAGACGATCTGGACACATCTCTTCACACCACACAGCCAAGACAGTTGACTCCATGTTCCACAACACCTCCCGAACCTGTAGTAAAAGAGATGCATAGACAACATCAGGATCTTGTTATTTCAACAATGACATTGTTTACTTGCCGGTAGTTACCTGCAACGCAGAAGTTTCCTCGTACAAGCGTTCAATCAATAAAATAGGCTTTTGCTACATACCTTCACCTTATTTACAGGAAATGGCAGAGTGAACTCCCCATGACGAAGACCATTCTTTTCAAAGAACACAACATCATGCTTGTTTGGTCGCATGTGGGAGCAGGCCACAAGACTTCCTGATGGTCTGTAACACAATCAATGCTCATGTCAGTTCCCATTATAACAGTCCCACACAGTCTGACAAGGCAGTGAGTGCTTAGTTCAGATCTCTCAACATCCTTGTCCCAGACAGTCTGACAAGGCTGTGAGTGCAATCATTAAAATACAAGATTAGGCGGATTTTGATAATATAGTCAGTGATCATGTCATAAATAGTTAAATAGGTGAGTTAACAACTTACCTCCATGCAAGGGTCTGCTCCAGCCCATCCACAGGCTCGCTACTGGAGTGATGTGAGCAGTCCCGTGTCCACACATGTAACTGTCGTCCACCTAACAAAAACATACTGCATATTATGTGATAAAAGTATTTCTAATGAAAGGACTGGAGAGGTGGGTTCTGTCAATATTATGTTCAAGTACATCTTACTCTGTATCTGCTCCTTATACTCTAAAGTTATGTACCTGTTCTCTATGCTCTAAGGTTATGTACCTGTTACCTATGCTCTAAGCTTATGTACCTGTTCCCTATGCTCTAAGCTTATGTACCTGTTCCCTATGCTCTAAGGTTATGTACCTGCTCCCCATGCTCTAAGGTTATGTACCTGTTCCCTATACTCTAAGCTTATGTACCTGTTCCCTATGCTCTAAGGTTATGTACCTGTTCCCTATGCTCTAAGCTTATGTACCTGTTCCCTATGCTCTAAGCTTATGTTATACTCTGTTGTTTACCTGTTCCCTATGCTCTAAGCTTATGTACCTGTTCCCTATGCTCTAAGCTTATGTACCTGTTCCCTATGCTCTAAGCTTATGTACCTGTTCCATATACTCTAAGGTTATGTACCTGTTCCATATACTCTAAGGTTATGTACCTGTTCCCTATGCTCTAAGCTTATGTACCTGTTCCCTATACTCTGAGGTTGTGTACCTGTTCCCTATGCTCTAAGCTTATGTACCTGTTCCCTATGCTCTAAGGTTATGTACCTGTTCCCTATGCTCTAAGCTTATGTACCTGTTCCCTATACTCTGAGGTTGTTTACCTATTCCCTATGCTCTAAGCTTATGTACCTGTTCCCTATACCTGTTCCCTATGCTCTAAGCTTATGTACCTGTTCCCTATGCTCTAAGCTTATGTACCTATTCCATATACTCTAAGGTTATGTACCTGTTCCATATACTCTAAGGTTATGTACCTGTTCCCTATGCTCTAAGCTTATGTACCTGTTCCCTATACTCTAAGCTTATGTACCTGTTCCCTATACTCTGAGGTTGTGTACCTGTTCCCTATGCTCTAAGCTTATGTACCTGTTCCCTATACTCTAAGCTTATGTACCTGTTCCCTATGCTCTAAGCTAATGTACCTGTTCCATATACTCTAAGCTTATGTACCTGTTCCATATAATCTAAGGTTATGTACCTGTTCCATATACTCTAAGGTTATGTACCTGTTCCAAATACTCTAAGGTTATGTACCTGTTCCCTATGCACTAAGCTTATGTACCTGTTCCCTATACTCTGAGGTTGTGTACCTGTTCCATATACTCTAAGGTTATGTACCTGTTACCTATGTCTTAAAGTTATGTACCTGTTTACAAATATATTGAACAAAATATTGTAACAGAACTGGAACAAAGCTCAGAATTCAGCGTGTTCTGGAGAGGAGGAGTTTACAGAGACAGGTATACTTATGAATCTGATGTATGGAATCCAACAGCCATCAAACAAAATGTACAAAATGACTGCTGTGGTGGTCATATTGAAAATTTGGTTCAAACCAATTCAGTAAATTAGGGTGTCATTGATGGTACGAAAAAAGGCATGTTCATTCATTGGTTTAGTGGCTTCCAAGGAGATGATTGCAGACAGAAACTGAATTTGATGCAATGTTTTACAAAACACTTACCTTGACCTTCAACTAATCTTTAGTAAAACCTTTCCAAAGAAGATACACATCCTAATGAAGGTATATGACAAGTTTATTGTAAAATGCATTCACTTGTGTTCAGAAAGTGTAACCACAAACTGTCTGGGAAGTACTTCTATCGTGTGACTTTTCACCTTAAATTGTGCCAAAAGGTTTGGAAGAATTCTATGAAGAATACACCATGATGACAGGAATGACAAGTCTTTATGGATGAGTAACTTCTTTATTGTATAATAGCGACATTATCATCCATAGAGACTTGTCACCCTCTCCATGTTCGTTATTTACAAGTCATTAAAAAACATTAGTGGAGAGCAGAGACAGTTAGGGGGGTACTTTAGCGTATGTGTCAGGATAAGTATAAATAATATTTTTACTCGAAAGATTTTAATTATAAATTGCACAGAGCATCTTGGGATGCCAGTGCATCCGGGATTGGTGATACGAATCTGGGTAGCTGATTGTCGAACCTGGTCGCAAACAGATTTGTCTGATTTGAAGATCTGAGGATATATCTTCCATTTGGTCGGGGACAGCCGATCTGATTGAGATAGAGCGTCAGATTAGAGATAGAGCGTCGGCGTCAGATTAGAGATAGAGCGTCAGATTAGAGATAGAGCGTCAGATTAGACATAGAGCATCAGCAGTAACGTTCTTGACTTCCGGCATGAGTCTGGCTTTTATATCATTATAATTATAAGGTTGAATACGCACATATGAAGTTGGAATCAGCTTCGACTTACTGATGTAGAGTGAAACATGATGCCTTGGTGATGCAGATGCTGTGTGATGGGTAGTCAATAACCATTGGCCGTAGAAATGCCAAACGGGAGAACCGAAAAAAGGTCAGGTTGTGGGAATATGTACCAATTATTCCACCAATCAGAATTTTAGATGAGGTGAGGCAGTTCATTGAATCCAAGTAGACGCGACCGGAGAGTTTGGAGGTATGGTTTGAGGCTGTGCGTCTGAGGTCTCCCCGATATGCTGTTCCAGTTGTTGTTCGGGCTGTTGTATCTGTCTCCACACACCATCATGTCAAAGTCTATGCTGGGATGCGGTTGAGTGTCTTGTGTGTGTTTCCAAGGAACCGGTAAAACTGTTTGCAGCGAACCAGTAGTCTAAGGCTCTGGTCACAAGGGTAAGTAGAATCTGAAGGGATAGTTGTCTGTCAACTGGTGTAGTTTGCCGCATCGAACTGGTTTGCTGAACTGGGATGAGTCGCCGAACTGGGACAAATCCCTGGACTGGGATGAATTGACGTCACTGGTGCATTATCAGGTTGACCCCATGGTATGTAATGCAACAGATGGTTGACTGAATATGCGCATATGAAGTTGGAATCAGCTCCGACTTACTGATGTAGAGTGAAAAACGATGCCTCGGTGATGCAGATATTGTGTGATCAATTCAAGCAGAATGAGGATCCGCATTCAAAAAAGTTTTATTGAATTGATAAAAAAACTTCCGTTTTCTAGATGAAGAAATCTTCCTTGACAATGTTGTTAGAGGATTGAGTGAAAGTAAGACTTCAATTCAGCACGTCTGCACTGCTGTGCGACAAGAAAGAGAATGATCAGACAAAGGAGTCAGATGATCAATCAGACTGGGCTTGCTGCATGCTTCACAGAGGCTACAAGGCTGCCCAGGTATCGGAGCAATGGGGAGAAAGGCCAGAAACTTCGTTTCCACTCAACTGTTGGACATGAGAGAGCGAGAGTACACTCCGTGAGATAGGATCAGTTTCAAAAATTACATATTTTCCCTTATCCTGACTCACTATTTGCTTGAATCCATTGTGGTGAGAGGCCACCTCATGTTTGGATTCATGTACTGTTCCTATAACTCCTAGGGAAGTTACAATCTTCTTGAATCTTAATGACAAATGGGAACCACCTTTTTGTGTGGAATAAAGAAATAAATCTCAAAGATTTTGTGGTGTACATGCTTTCATAACAGTATAGTAAAAGAAAATTTAGATGTACCTGTGTGTGGGCTGATACTGCTGACCACAAAGAACTGTCCATCCCCTCGCCAGCTGATCCTTGGACGTCGGTCATCCCATGATGTGGCAGAGCTGTATGCCTGCAGTACAGACAATTATATTTATTATTTTTACTAAGAGCTTTTTTCTATAAATATCTCAATCAATCTTTTTTATTCAGTAGAATGGCCACATGGCCTAGAGTACAGTTATCTGAAGTATATATATATATATGTAATCACGTGAAGGATCTTAAACGAAACACATGTTTCAGGAATATTGCAGGGGATTTAAGGGTATTTGCATTTTTTTAGTTTAACAGGTTTGTCATTGTATACATATTCTTAACATAAATTTGCACAAATAATATTAACATTTTCAACATTTTTACTCTTCCTTGCAATATTTACTTTAAAATTATGTAGAGATATTCTAAATTTACATAGAACTCATCGGAGGTTTTATCTTCAACATGTTTTATATAGAATTCTGGCTGTAGAGGGGATGTATCCAAAGTCTTGAAATGAGCTAGATATGTTGAGTTTGAGATTTCATCATGCCATGTTTGAGCATATATATCAGTTGGACGTTGCTTCAGTTGATAAATAAACTATTTTCATTTCCAACACCCTGGGAAAACCATACATGTGAGAATCCACAAGAAAATAGCAGACTCCTTATTTCAGATGTCCAATTTACTTTTCCTGTTTCATCTAAGTTTTTCAGCATTAAATAAGATTGGTGAGGATATCTGCGTTCATTCATTCTTAGTAGTCTGATCCATTATTTGACAGCTTTTACTTGTGTACATATGTATAGTGGGTATCGTCCAGTTTCTCCCAGAATTGCTTATTTGCTGCTAATTTTCCAACGTTCAGAAATCTTTTAAAATAAGTAGCTTGTATCTTTTCTATACTTCCTTGATATTTGATTCTCCATATCTCAGATATATAGAGCAGTATTGGTTTAATTTTGCTGTCAAATATGTGACAGGCAGACTCGAATGATATTGATGAGTATTGCTTGAAGAGACTGTAAAGCGGAGAGACTCTGGCAATTATTGGTCCATTTCAGTGATGACGAGAATAGAACTCAAAGATATTTATAATGTGTTGTACATTTCACAGGTTTATCTTCAAATGTCCAGGATTCATTTTTCGAGATTATGCCACCATTTCTAAACACAATTATGTTTGTTTTTTGCAAATTCACTTCAAGTCCCCATTTCTTACAAAAGGTTGATACACAATCAAGTTGTCGTTGTAAATCTATTATAGTATATGAAAACATCACTACATCGTCTGCAAACAGAAGAAGTAACACATGCTCTATAGCTGGTGATAAGAAAATACCATGGTTACAAATAGAATACAATTCACTCACAAGTTCATATATAACAAGGGACTCTCAAAATACATCCCTGTCGAGCGCCTGTGTTTGTTGTAAATAATGGTGTCTTTTCATTAGTAATTTTTACACATGATTTCACAGAGTCATACATAATATTGAGGATATTGTATACTTTCCCATGGCACCCTTTTAGCAATAACAGGTACAAAAGTTTTTTTCTTTGGAACAAAATCAAAGGCTTTTTCAAAATCTATAAAGTGCAGTAGAAACGACCCTTTGATCTGGATAAGTATTTGGTACATAGTGCTTGAAGAGTAAATATATTGTCAATAGTCTAATACTTTTCACGAAAGCCAGATTGGGATTCTGCAAGAAGTTCCTTAGTTCCATCCAAGATCTTAATCGTCGTTCAATAATAATAGTGAATACTTTTCCAATAACGTTTAGTAAATATATTCCACGGTAGTTACTGGGATCATCTCTTCCACCTGACTTATATAATGGCATGATCATTCCGATGTTCCATGCTTCTGGGAAAATACCACAGTTCAAAATGTTATTAAATAGTAGGTTCATATAGGGAAGTATATTAACAATGTCCGCTTTAAGAAACTCTGCAGGAATCCCATCTTCTCCTGGGGCTTTATTGTTCTTGAGTTGTTCAACAGCCTTTGTGATTTCGTGATTTGTTATTTCGGAAGATAGGTCCGTATTCGATATATTTTCACAGCAATCATCACATTTGTGATTTAGAAGAAAGTCGTTGACTTGCTGATCGAAGTCATTCATATTATCAGATTTATCACGACTTAAATGTAATTTTTTTGATTAAAATTGATATTTTATACTTATCCTGTATTTGAAGTTTTCATGGAAATCATGTAGATTCATATCATATGTATTTTTCTCATTTGACAAAGACATTTTCACTGTAATCCAGAATGCTTTACAATCTTTGGTATTGGCTGCTTCGTTGATATTTTCAGCTATCTTTTGTTCATATTCCCTCTTTCTGTATTTACAGTGTTCCTACAGTGTAGTACAGACAAGAACATGTATGAGAGACAGTGTGAGAGACTCTTAATATCAGACTAGTCATTTCTGTGACATACTTAAACCTGCAGAGCCAGCTGGCTATATGCTGAGCCTAAATTCATGATTGCATAATGCCACACTCAGCAATTTTCCAGCAATATGATTATTTGTAAATAATTTTCGACCAGATTGATTGGACAGCAATTTAGGTTGGTTGGTTGGTATATCTAATGCTGCACTCAGCAATATTCCAGATATATGGTGGCAGTCTGCAAATAATTGAGTCTGGACCAGACAATTCTGTGATCAACATCATGAGCATCGTTCTACGCAAATTTGGATACAATGACAGGCATCAACCAAGTCAGTGAGCCTGACCAACCAATCCCATTAGTCACTTAAAACACGAAAGAAATCTTTAGTATGTATCTCATAAAATCGAACAAACCTGTAGAGGTTGATGATTCTTTGAAGACAGTCCCCCTTGGGGTACTTGACAGCTGTAACTATATATTGAATAAAATATCGTCTTGTTTCACCCCCCCCACCGGAATGGACCCGTCTGCCGAGAGCAGGCAACCTTAAGCGCTAACCTCTTACCTCACTTACCATCTTTAACTTGATCAGACAGAATGTGGAGAGGCAGGTGAACCTACCCAAAGGAGGACTCTCTTCAAAGAATCATCAACCTCTACAGGTTTGTTCGATTCTTTTTCATAAGAGATCCTTCTTGGATACTTATAAGCATAAGACTCCCATAGACAAGAGTTTGGGGTGGCATTCTGTTAGCCAATGAAAACCCACAGTACAAGCAGAATTCACCTAATTCTAAAAATAGACGAAAAACACACTTATCTGGTCACGTGTCCTCCAATACCGACAGGTGAGGGTGCGACTTGGGGATCAGGGGTCAACCATATGCAATATAGTAATAAGCTATCAAAGTGCTTAATAGCTCAGAAACCTCACCCCCCACTCCCTCCTATACAGGAGGGACATGTAAATCCCAGAAAATACTTTCCCCGTAGCAAAGTTTTCTAAGGAAATTTGAGCGAAAAAATAATGCCCACATGCGTATGACAGAATAGCGCGGGGATACAAAACCACCACCATACTTCCTCAAACAGAGGAAGGGAGAGCATAACAACCCATCACCAAATAACAACAGGGATCGATTAGTCTGGGAAGCTCGAACAGCTAGGGGGGCACAACCCCGCCCAGTGCCGAGAACTGACTGACCAAACCGAGCAAGCGCACTTGAGTGCTTGTCGAGTTGGTTGTGTTTAATGAACGTACTCGGCTGGCTCCAAATAGCCGCAGAACAGATCTCCTCAAGGGCAGGGCCGCAGCATAAGCCTTGGAGGTGGCTACAGCCCAAACCGAGTGAGCTTTCAAACCCTCAGCAGGGGATAAACCTTTGTTAATATAACTTGTACAAATGGCAGAGACAAGCCACCTAGAGATGGCCTGCTTGTTCGCCGAAGACCAGCCTTCCCGCCGCCATAACAGCAGAACAATTGATTATCCTTACGAACATGCTTTGTTCGTTTGATATAAGCCTTGAGAGTCATATGGATATCTAATACATAAGCACGTCAAAGAGTGGTACTGGACGATGGATGCTGAGATAGAGCAGGGAGTACAATAGGCGCCATCACATGGAAGGAACTAACTCTCTTAGGACAATAAGAATCCTGATAGTGGCCAAGCCACCTACTGAATCCTGAGATTCAGGTGGGGCGCCCGGTTCTGGAATAGTAGGTCTGGTAGAAAGGGTAATAGTACAGGAGGCTGAGCAAGAAACCTTAGAATTACTGAAAAACAGTGGTATCCGAGAGCAAAACACTGGTATCCGAGAGCAAAACACTGGTATCTGGTTTGCCACCCCAGAGGCAAACAGATCCACCTGGAACGACCCATACAACTGGGAGATAATCCTGAATATCCCCCGATAGAGCATCCATTCGTGAGGGGCTATAATCCGTCGAGAGAGCACGTCTGCTCGGATGTTGTCTACCCCTGGGAGATAAACAGGCATCACCTGTATGTCGTACTGATCGTACCAAAGTAGAAACTGCCACACCTCCTGAAGGAGAGACGGAGATACCGTGCCGCCTTGCTTCAGGATATAGGTCACGTCCATCTGGTTGTCCATTTCTAGACGTACCACCTGGCCATGAACCTCTTCCACAAAGTTTTCGAACACCAAACGAACTGCCCTCAATTCGATTATATTTTCGTGCAGTCTGACCTTGTGCTCCGACCACAGGCATGAGACTGACTGGTCGCCATGAACACCCCCCAACCTGTGAGGGAGGCGTCCGTTTGAACAGAGAGCACTGGCATCAGAGACTCCAGAGGGAGCCCCCTGGATAAGTTCCCGACGTCTATCCACCACCGCAAGTGAGGAATTAACCACCACTGCAAGTGAGGAATTACCAATCTCGAGCTGAGTCTCGAGGTTCTCCGAGTGGGACCATAGCTGAGCCAAAGCTTGCTGTACCGGTCTCATCCTCAGACACGCATGCCAGACTACATCCACTGTCGCCGCCATGGTGCCTAGCAACCGGGACCATGTTTGAGCTGACGTCAAGGGGGACACAAGGAACTGTGTGACAGTCCTGTGAACTTTGACAATGCGGTCTTGAGACAGGGAGACAATACCCTGTTCTGTATTAAATCTCGCCCCCAAGAAAACCAGATCCTGTGTGGGAAC